AAACTGAGACAAAGTGTAAGCTACCCAGGTGAGGCTTGAATTTATAATCCTGCCTCAGCCTCCCGAGTTCCTTGGATGACAAGCTTTTTTGACTCTAGATCAGATTTTGAAAGTGGAGATTTTTGTCTTTGAGGTTCAGGCCTCTTGTTTATCCTCAGCCAACTCAGGTCTGGTGACATGTCATCTGGTGGACCATCATGTCACCTTGGAAATGCTTAACTTCCCTGGATTGCATATGTTCCCTTCATCATCCACTTCGTGTTCCTTTGACACACAGTACCAGCAGGCAGTGGCTTTCTGTGGGGATTGTGAACCAGCTGCAGTCATGGGAGTTTAGTGGGAGTTGACTGAGAGTTGACATTTATTGTGTTCAGTAAGTATTACCACTTGAGTAAAAATGCTGTGCTTCCAATGTTCTAATTACTGGTGGTGGAGTCGTGCTTGAAGCTGCCTGGACCCACGGAGGCACCTGTGTTGCAAATTCTTTTCTTCCTTCCTTTCTTTTTGTGGGACACAGCCCAGGCTGGCCTTAAAGTTGTAGCTTCAAATGTGTGGCAGAGGATGACCTTAACTAATTCATACTGGGTGCTAGCATGGTACACATAAGCCACTGCACCCAGTTTTTGGTTCCCTTCTTTGATTTGTTGTTTTTATTGATTCCTCTCTGAGGTCAGTGAGGTAGTTCATGTCACCAGCACCTATAACATAGCAGCTTCTCTAGCATCCAGGATGGAATGACTATGCATAGGCTGGGATGCTGGGATGGGGTAGATTGTGTCCCAGGTACCACCCGCCATCAAAATCCTCTCCCTCTTCATACAGCCTTCATCCTCCCCAAGGCGGAGGTGTGTGTGAGGAACCACGTCCAGCCCTACATCCCATCCATCCTGGAGGCCCTGATGGTACCCACCAGCCAGGGCTTCACTGAGGTGCGGGATGTTTTCTTCAAAGAAGTCACAGACATGAATCTGAATGTGATCAACGAGGGTGGCATTGACAAGCTGGGTGAGGTGAGATGTGGGCCTGGGTTTGGTGCCCCCCCCCCCCCAGAGCATCAGCTGTGTGTCTCATAGTGAGCTGCCCTTTCTCAGCATCTACTGAGACCAGAGACACAGGGCAAAGCTGTTCAGTCCAACAGGGGTTTGGCGGCTGAAGTGGGTAATTTTACCCTTCACCATCAGCCATTATGAAGCAAGATGGTTGCAAAAGCATAAAGGGATTGACAGTGAGGGAATGAAGGAAGGAGATAGGGAAGGTAAGCTTAGGGTATGAGCTGCCTTAGTAACAAGTCACACATCCATACTGAAGCCATGCTTCTTTCTTAATGGCCCTTTTGACCTAGCTCTCAGGGTGAATATCCTTCATTGGCTGCCTGTGTCTGGACTCTGTCCTGAACTTTAGCCTCCTCCTTAGACTTCAAGTTTTGGAGTTCCAGGCAGTAATAACCAGAATTTGGGAACCCAGAGGGCCTTAGGAATCCTGAAGAGATGTCTGCTGATTTGGGACCTGAAGACAGTGATGCTCAGAGAAAGTGGTGTTTGCCCAAGGTTACCAGTGTCCAGAGGGGAGAGCATGGGCTGGCCCCTCCCCTCATCACTGTGGTGCTTCAGATTCTCCTCTCTCCTCTCCTGGGCCCTCCCTGGGTAGCTGGTGCCAGGCCCAGGCAAGGTGTGGGTGTGTGGAGCCCTGTAGTCACCCGTGTGGCTCTGCCCCCTGCAGTACATGGAGAAGCTGTCCCAGCTGGCCTACCACCCCCTGAAGATGCAGAGCTGTTATGAGAAGATGGAACCGCTGCGGCTTGATGGGCTGCAGCAGCGCTTTGACGTGTCTAGCACATCTGTGTTCAAGCAGCGAGCCCAGATCCACATGAGAGAGGTGTGCCCACCAGCCCGCACCCTACTAGCTTCCCATGGCACCCATCGCCACGAGAGGAGGGAAGCCCTTCCCATGCCTCTCCGAACACCTTGCCTCCTGCTACTGGCTACTTGGTAGACCTCTTTAGGACCTACCCTTTCATCCCTGGAAGTTGTCCTTACAGCCTAGTCCCTTCCTGGGATTTCTGCACCCTCAGGCAGACACCTGTACCTAGACACTCAGTGAGCATACAACCCACAGACCATCCCCAATTGCTCCATGGCAGCTTTGGGGTGGGGACATTGGCCAAGGGTGCAGGAAGGGGCTCTGGTCACCCTGGGAAGGTCTGCCAAGTCTTGCTGTATGCCTTGCAGCAAATGGACAATGCTGTGTACACCTTTGAAACCCTCTTGCACCAAGAGCTGGGGAAGGGGCCCACCAAGGAGGAGCTGTGCAAGTCCATCCAGAGGATTCTGGAGCGGGTGCTGAAGGTAAGGCTGATTCTATTGGGCTGGAATCTGCATGGCCTGCTGAACCCAGAGCTGACTATCTAGCCACCATCCCCAGGCAGCACCCCGTGTTTAGGTGCATGCGAGTGCTCTGGGCTTGGGTTAGACCCTTCCTCCAGCTAGGGGAGCCCCTGACCCAGGGTCCCCCGTGTCCTTCCTGTAGAAATATGACTATGACAGTAGTTCTGTGCGCAAGAGATTCTTCCGGGAGGCACTGTTGCAGATCACCATCCCCTTCCTGCTCAAAAAACTGGCCCCCACCTGCAAGTCGGTGAGTCCCAGCCTGCCCTAGCCCTTCAGGGTCTGGCCAGAGGGGTAGGTAAAGCCTCTGACCCATCTGTACCTGCTACCCTGGCAGGAGCTGCCACGCTTCCAGGAACTGATCTTTGAGGACTTCGCCAGGTTCATCTTGGTGGAGAACACGTATGAGGAGGTGGTGCTGCAGACTGTCATGAAGGACATCATGCAGGGTGAGCGGGCAGGGCCAGCCTGGGGAGGCTTAGGTGGCATTAGCTCAAGGGCATAGAGAGGCCCACGCCTCCAAGGGGAGGCAGGGTTGGGTCGCTGGCTTCGCTGTGCCTGGTTTCCTCTCTGGTTCCTGGCTTTGCTGAGAGTGGCCAGTAGGGTCATGGTGCCTGCTTGAGGGTCATGTAGGGCCAGTAGGGTCATGGGCTCTGGGCTTGAGTTACAGCTTTGCAGCAGGGAGGTCTGGGGTGAGGCAGGGCCCAGGTGGTTCGCTGTGATGGTCCCTGTGCTAAGAGTATTCCCTCTCCCTGTGGTTTCTCAGCTGTGAAGGAGGCCGCAGTGCAGCGCAAACATAACCTCTACCGGGACAGCATAGTTCTGCATAACAGTGACCCCAACCTACACCTGCTGGCCGAGGGTGCACCCATTGACTGGGGTGAACAGTATGGTGACAGTGGCGATGGCAGTGACAGTGGTGGCAGCCCCAGTCCCTCTGAAGCAGCCACACTCACTGAAAAGCGCAGGCGTGCCAAGCAGGTGGTGTCCGTGGTCCAGGATGAGGAGTCAGGGCTGCCTTTTGAGGCTGGCTCCGAACCGCCTTCACCTGCATCCCCGGACAGTGTCACTGAGCTCCGAGGCCTGCTGGCCCAGGATCTGCAGGCTGAGAGTCCTCCACCAGCCAGCCCCCTTCTCAATGGGGCCCCTGTCCAGGAGAGCTCCCAGCCCATGGCAATCCTCGAAGCCTCCTCACCGCCAGCCTCACCCCTTGGGCATCTCCCACCTGGAAAGGCTGTGGACATTGAGACCCCTAAGCCCAGTGATCAAGAGACTGGGGAGCAGGTGTCCAGTCCTGGTAGCCGTCCCCCCATCCACACCACCACTGAGGACAGCGCAGGAGTGCAGACAGAGTTTTAGGCGTCGCCTCCGGGCTTCTGGACGCTGCGCTGGACCACTTCTCCTTGGGCACTGTAGGCTGATCTCTGGGGAGGGGTACCCCAGCCTGTGCCTTGTGGGGGAGGTGGCTGGAGCAGTGTGGCATCTCCAGGGTCTGTCTTACCCAAGTCACTTTATGGGGTTCAGTATATCTGTTACTGCCCCGTTTTCTGTGGGCTAGTCTCCGATGCTGGGTCTGACTTTGAGGGCTTCCTTTTTGTGCAAGGGGCTGGTGAGCCTGTCCTTCCTGCCCTCATGCTGTCATGTTTCCCTCATGGTTGTTCTCGTCTTTGGATGGAGGTGGGTCAAAGCACTGGTGCTGATACTCAAGTCTAGGAAGTGGTAAGCTCTGTAATCTCACTCTGGGGTTCCTTGACACCAAGGTGGTACGGAAGAGGTAGGGCACACTCTGTCCTGTCCCTTCTGCAAGCCCAAGACTAGATAGACTTGGAGTGCCGCTGGCTTCACTTTGCTGGCTGCTGCTGTGGGAGGGTGGGCCTTGGGGGTCTTACAGGGGAGTGGTGCAGGGGGTCTGTGATGGACAGAAAGACCCAGAATGTGATAGTGTGTGCAGGGGAAGTATCTTGGGGGCAGGCGGGGGTTGGGAGCTTGGAGTGTCCAGTTGAGGCCAGGATGGCAAAGTGAAGAAGGTAGCTGGAAGCTGGAGTATCTGAGTCCATCTGCCTGGCTCCTCACACCCACTTTGGGCTCACAACTGCTCAATGGCAGAGCTTGGATGTGGGTGGTCATTCCCTAGCTCTTCTAAGGTACTCACTACCTGCCAGGAAGCTGGAGGGGCTCCTGAGGGGCATTGAGGACCACCGCTTTCTGAGATACTGTTGAAGACCACACTTAGCCTCTGAGTCCCACTCTAACCCTGACGATTCCAGACCCCTCGTCCTTTGTCCTTGTGAGCCATTTGGGTTTGTCTTTTCTTAGTCATAAGGGTCACAGCAAGCAAGATGACTCTGATACATGACACTCACCTTGGGCCTCCCCAGACTGGGAGGTTGAGGAAAGTAAGGAGACACTGCCTCTTTAAGGCCCCCAGGAGATGGTCTCCTCCCAGCCATGTTCTTTGTCCAACAGACATGCTCTCCAAGTATGGGCCTAAGACCCATAGGATGTGGGTTCTCCAGCCCTACTCAATCGTGTAACTAATTTCTTCCGATGCTCTCTAGTGCCTTGGGGGTTTCCATCGCCTTTCCAGATAAGGTATAAAGAATCTATGCAACTGTGTAAGCTTCTGCTCATGAATAAATGCTTTATTTAAAGCTCAGCTTATGTCCTGGTGGGGTCTAAGAGGCCTGGGCCTAGGGTGTCTAGGACCTCATTCACCTCAGCTTTCTTGGACTCATATGAGCTACTAGGTCCCTGTGTGTGCAGGTGTGAACTTACATGTGGGCGTGGAAGCCAAAGACTCTTAGGTGTCACTCCATCTTGTGTTTTGAGACAAGGTCTCTCATTAGCCTGGAACTCACCAATTAGGATAGCCTGGATGTCCGGTGAGCCCTGGGAACTGCTATAGCTTCCTCTGTACTGTGATTGTATGCATGTGCCATCATGGCTGGTCTTTTATGTGAGTGTGGGAATCCAAACTTTGAAATGCCAATAGCTTTCTGAGTTCTCGCTCCTTTTTTTTTTTTTTTAAAGGCTGGGTTTCTCTGTAGCCCTGGCTGTCCTGGAACTTACTGTGTAGACCAGGCTGGCTTTGAACTCAGAGATCTGCCTGTCTCTGCTGGGATTAAGGCGTGTACCACCACCTGACTCTAACCTGTTTTTATAATGCCCTATTTTAGAGGGAGAAACTGAGGCTCATAGAGAAGGGAGAGGCTTTCAGGTGACTGGGATCAGTTCCAGAGTTCCTGTCATGAGGGTGGGCTCCAGCCTGCACTAGGTGTCAATGGTCATGCTAGTTCCAGAGCTCATTAAGTGGTATTTGTTGAGTACATGCTACAGGCCACATGTCATGTCACATGGGGCGGACTGCCCACCTCACAGTTAATATCACTGCAGGGAACATAACCCATTACATGAGCATAACGAGGCCGACCCTGGCTCTGCTGCCCTTGCCCTTTGTTGAAGAGGGTATTGCCTAACTCTCCCTTTGGCCCAGGTGCCTCAGCTCTGGCCTCTTTCCCCATAGAAGCTGCTTTCTCCTAGGACCCAGCCCACTTCCATCCCTCCCAAGGACCCATGGTTTACTCCAGGAGGAACTCAGATTTATTAGTGTTCCTGTGTTGAATCAGCCAGCCTGTGTGGGCTGAGGATGCAGATATGGGAGGGCGTGTATTGAGAAAGCAGCAGAAGAGGGCTGGGGAATGGTTCTGCACAACCCACCCCTTCCCAGGGACATTGCCTCACCTTAGGCCAGGATGGCTGGTACACTCCACAGATATGGTCACCTCCAGAAGGATGTGGTGCTAAGGGTTGCCTAGTAACATGGATTCCTGAGTCGTGCTGGTAGCATGGCCACCTCCAAATCCTGGACCCTGTCCCTATGCCACAAGCTCCATCACCAGCAGATATGTCCCATCTCCTGTTCACTGTCCAGAATAGCTGTATCATAGAGCAGGAACCCCACCTGCCTGCCTAGAGCTCAAGGTGGTGGCCAAAGGCCATGGCAGCCTTGCCCTAGTCTGGGGAACATATGTGCGTGGGAGCCCAGCAGTGGTGGAGATGGTGTCAAGCAAGGGCCAGCGCTGGCAGGTGGCTGAGCATTCAGCTGCTGTGGTAGATCCGGAGGCACTGGGAGATCTCCTGGCGGCACAGTGGGCAGGTTCGTAGTGGCTGGCAACACTGCTGGCAGCAGCAGACATGGCCACAGGCGAGGAAGACCATCTGGGCCTGCATTAGCAGTGTTAGCATTAGCAGCAGGGCTAATGACCACATCCCAGCCCTAGGAGCATAGCCCTGTGTGTGGAAACCTAGTCAGGCCTGTTGGCAGTTTTGTGCCTGTTTCATTATGGACTGCAAGAGCACATATATATCACAGTCCAACAGCCCTTTGCCCTACTGCATGCTAGGCCAAAAGAGGCCTACCATCTCCATTTCCCAAGTGCTGAGATACTAGGCGTATACCACCCACCACTTTGCTCTCAGCCTGTTTCTCTCTCTCTCTCTCTCTCCCTCTCTCTCTCTCTCCTCTCTCTCTCTCTCTCTCTCTGTGTGTGTGTGTGTGTGTGTGTGTGTGTGTGTGTGTGTGTACCTGCCAGATTCTGATGCCTGTTGTCTAAAATGACTTCAACCTTACAGGTCACTAGCCTTGCATGTGTGCCTAGACTCTGCTTTAGCATGACCCCATGGTATGCATATGTCCCAAGAAGTCTCCAACTCTTCAAAGTCATTTAGCATATCAAGAACTTGGGGGACATTTCCAGAGCCTGAGGACAGGGCCTTGGTAGAGTTCTAACACCCCTGCTCTCCACCACACAGCATCCAGAGTTTTCTGAAAGTCAGAGAGCTACCCAACTGCCACCATGGCCACCTTATTTATATGTGTGGGACAAGTGTGTGTAGCTACTCATGGAGGGCAGAAGAGGATGTTGGGTTTCCTAGAGTTATAAGTCACCTATCGTGAATGCAAGGAACCAAACTTGGGTCCTCTGGAAGAGCAAGTGTGAGTCATCTCTTCTTGCCCTTTTTTTTGGTTTCCTGAGACAGGGTTTGCTACAAAGCTCTCAGACTTGTGGACACCCTGCTGTCTCTACCCTCTCACAAGCTAGGATCACAGGTGTGCACTACTATGCTAGCTCCTGTCTTAAGTCTGATCCCTCCCTTGGTGGATGAGAGAGACCTGTGCTTTAAGGATTGGTATGTTTGTTTTTTTGCAGTGTTAATTTTGCAACAATTTTAAAGACTTGGCAGGGAAAATCATGTTCTTGGTGAGTCATGACGGGGGAAATTTTCCCTAATATAGTTAATAAGCTGAGGGAAAGATTCTTCTTCTGGGGGTAAAGACCTCTAAAAACTGAGGTTAGTATTCTCATATCTGGATCATAGGATATGGGTCATTTTTGTGTCCTGTGTTTTGGGTTCTGTGTCATCTCTGTAGACTTACCTCACGTTCCAGGCACACAACACACTCTGAGGTTGGCATGTCTAGTTCTGCTGGGGGAGCAGATGGTCTCACTGACTCGGGATGTTCCCGAGGGGTTGCAGGGGGCTCCAGGTCACCAAGGATCTCATCCTTGGATGGTTTCAACTCTGAGGAAATCAGAGGGACAGGCTAAGGCAGGGAGCCATGCCCAGATGACTCCAATCCCTAGGTGGTCTCCTGGCTTGCGTGCACCCAATGTGAGTGATCTGAGGGGCAAAGGAGGGGGTGCCTCCAATCCAAGAGCAGGGGAGAGGCTCTGTCTTTTTGAGCCTCATTCATTCCCATGTCTCCATCTGTGAGATGGGAGTGAACTCTGCCCAGCACACTCTGTGGACCTTCAGGGCTCAGAAACTTGTGCCTCAGAGACACTTGCCTGGGGCCATATTGCCATCTAGTGGTGGAACTGCAGGATAGGTGCCCTTGGCTAGTGGTTGAACCTTTCTTTACCAGGTTCCCCAGGAAACAGAATGAGTCCATGAGGTGACATGAGAACACCCTAAGGCTATTCCACAGTCCTCTTCCAGGCAAAGCCCCTTCTGTGCCCAGATGTCTGCCCTGGAGCCAGTAGCCCCTAGGCTGCCAGCCACAGCCCACATACACCTGGGCCTCTCAACAGCCCTAGAAAGAACCTAAGGTCAGCACCTGGTTGAACCCTGGCCACATCCAGGAGGTTCCGGGCTCTCCGTAGGATATCATGTTGCAGGCCTGCTTCTGAGACACCCACCTGTGGCAGAACAGAGAAGAGCAGAGCAAGAGCTGAGGGCAAGTCCGAGGGGGAGCGGACCCTCCTCCTTTAAGACAGACGTCCACAGGACTGCCTCACCCCCCACCTCTGGCACCTTCAATGCAAACGGGGCAGCCTGGGCCTTGGGCATGAGGCTCACCACAGCTGTGTGAGGGCTGCCTCAGGCCCGGGTGCAACACTCAGAGTGGCTGAGGACACCTGTGACATGATTTTTACTGAATGCTTCAGGGGACAGGGACTGCCCAGTGTCACCTGCACCAAAGCTCCCCTGGACCCTGATCCCCCTGTCACTGCACATGGGGAAGTGAGGACAGACTGAAGCTAAGCTGCTGAGAGGCAGCAAGGCCTGAGCCACGAAGCCCCACACCCAGAGCCCCAGCACATGGCCCAGAACCCTACGGTGTCATAGAGCCCTTCTGCACCTGTGCCTGCATCTGTCCTAGGTGAGGCAGAGTGGATGACAGCAGGGACTCTGGGACCAGACCACTCACGGGCAAGTTCCAGGCTCATGGTTGGTGTGTGAGACACCGGGTGCCAGGCATGTGCGGGTCCCAGGGAGGGGCTGGCGAACATCAGGGTTATTTCACTTTGAAGAGAAGCTCAGCTTGGGGTAAGGATCTAACTGGGGCTCCAGAGGTGCTACAGCTATGCATTCGACACCATGGCACAGGCTGAGGCTGGCTCTCAACCTCCCCAGCACTAGTGCTGGCCCCACAGGTGAAGCTCCAAAGTGAGGGTTCCACACTCCTCCCTTTCTTAGCTGGATGACAGGCTGAGCACACATGTGAGTGTGGGCGGGGCATAGGTTCCGCCATGACATACAGGGGGCCCAGAGTCATCTGATCTGGACAGATCTTGCCTCACCAAAACTGAACAAAATATACACCGACTCTTGGCCAGATTGAGTCCAGGTCTGGGCAGTCTTTTTCTGACTTCCCTCAAGACAAGGGTTGCCCACCTTAGCCAGGTCTCCAGGGCTCATTCGGCTCAGCATGTCCAATGAGATGCGGTGGTGGGCGAAGATGGGCAGGTAGTGCTCAGCAGACAGCTCCACCAGCAGGGTCACCAGCTGGCGCTCCATGCCTTCTTCCTGCAGGGCGGCCCCATGGGGAAGGCAAGGGTGTCAGAGTGGAAGGGAGAGATGATCCCACTGGTTTCCAGATGGGACAAATAGTGTGTCCTTGGGCTTTTCCCCAGAGGAAGATGTGTTTAAGTACAGAGATCCACCACAAGGGAGTTCACTGCTGTTCTACACTTGAAATAGTAAGCCATTTAAACATCGGCCAGGAGGGAGCTGGCTAAAGAGAGCTAGCTAAAGAAACCAGGACACATACCGGGCACTATCTGGGCAACTGAGAACAACGGGGGAGGGAGTGAGCATGGAGGAGGAGCCGCCCATCAGTATTTCTGAGAGAAAAGCAAGTTACAGTGGTTGAGCGAGCTACCAGGTTTGATTCCCAGCACCCACACCACCTGTAACTCCAGTTTCAGGGCTCTGACACCCCCTGGCCTCCAGGGCACCTGCACGCACATGGTGTACATAAACTCTCACAGGTATACATATAAATAAAAAAGCAAATCTAGGCTGGATTTGTTGACACATGCCTTTAACCCCGGCACTTGGGAGGCAGAGACATGTAGATCTTTGTGAGTTCAAGGCCAGCCTTATCTACGTAACAAGTTCCAGGATAGGCAGTGATACACAATAAGACCTTGCCTCAAAACAAAATAAAACAAACACACACAAAACAAGCTCCCCTACAAACTAAACATTTAGAAAAAATTACATGTTAGGCAGAGGCAGGAAGATCTCTGTGAGCTCCAGGTCAGCCAGGGCTACATAGGGAGACCTTGTCTCAAAATCAAAATAAAAACTGTGTGTGCACAAAGGAAGAGAGTGAGACCACATCTGCCCTGGCCACCTGCACAGCTCCCAGGTGTGTTCATGCCCACAATGACCAATGTCTTTCTTCCTCTCTTATCGGAGTGAATGCTCACTTCCTTGCAGGAGCTGGCGTGATGGACTCGCCAGTGCAGTGGTCCCCAGTGGGGCTGGGCTGAGGCGCCTCTGGAAAGGGCCCTCTAGTTCCTGGGCCAGGTGAGTACCAAGGTCCTTACCTGCAGCTTCAAGGACAAAGGCTTCTGGTTCAAAAGCCGTTGGTACTGAATAAGCCAGTAATTTTCCTGCTTGGTTTCGCTCTTGGCTTCTAATTCCACCTGCCAAGAATAGAAGTCAGCACCATTAGTCAGGAAACACAGACTTTGGAACCATGATGTCTCCAACTATGCTCCTCCGAGTGTGCATGGTTTTCCATCCATCCACCTGCTGTCCCTGCTTTAAGCCACAGGCCAAAGAGAGAGAGCACAGCTGTGCTCAACAGCTGCAGGGAATGCGTGTGGGAAGGGCAATGGGCTGCCTAACGCCACGCAGGTGGCAAGGGGAGCCGCTCCTGGCCTCCCACACTAGGTCCCACACTCTGCTACTAGCTCTGAGAGGGACCCGTTTTGGTCTGTTTGTGGGACAACAAAGTCTTGTGCAGCCATCTCTGTCTCCAGGAACAGGCCTGATCTTGATGCTAAGCAGGTGGCTACAGGTCTTCAGAAGAAGGGCAAAGTCAAGGGCTGGACTAGGCTGACACCAATGAGTGAGGTCTTTGCTCTGCCACTTGGGAAAGGTTTACAATGGGCTGTTCTGGGTGGGAGCTAGCCGAGAGCCACACTTTTCTTCCAACTCTGTAACAGAGTCTAATTCCCAGTGAGGAATCTGTATCTGGCCCAGGGTCACAGGGCCAGATCTGGACAGGTCTGTGTTGCTCAAGACTGTGCACTCTGGACAGATGCTGCGAAGGTTATCTCCTAGCTGTTCGGCATCAGCCTGTCCTTGATGGTCCCTCCTGAGAGGGCCAAAAACCCCACTTTTCTTTATTAAATTTGTATGTCACATTAATTCATTGTGCCTGCACCTCCCCACCCTCACATATCACACACACACACATACACACACACACACACACACACACACACACACACACACACACACACACAGGTCAGCGGACAACTTATGGGAGTTGGTTCTCTCCTTCTACCATGTGTGTCCTGTTAGAACTCAGGTCATCAGACTTGGCAGCAAGTGCTCTGACCCCGTTGAGCATCTCACTGCCTTTTTTCCTCTTTTCTCTTATGGTATTCTTCTGCAATAGGGTCTTGCTGTCCCAGGCTTGTCTGGGAACGTATGGAACTCATGATCTCCCTCCACTCTGCAGCACTATGCCAGGCAACATTTCCCTTTGTGTCCCTGACTGTCTGTAATCTAGTGCTCTCTCCCTCAGACAGGACCTGTTGAGGGTAGGACACCACTCACACACTAGTGAGGCATCCTGGGGCACGGGTCACTTCAGATGGGTTGTGTGTTCTGTAGGAGCCGGTCTTGCTCTTCTCGACTGGTCTATGATGGACATTTGGGACACTCACAAGATAGGAGCGATTCCACCTTTTCAGCCCTGGCTGGTGGGCCTAGCCTTGGTTCTCAGTGTGTAGGAACCAAATGGTCTGGAGTGATGTCTCTAAGTGGGCCTCAGTCGTGAGTCACATGGAAGGACTGGGCCACTCCTGCTGAAAGCAGTGGTCTGCTGTCAGCAGGGTGAGCCCTGTCCTGAAGAGAATACTCAGCCCTGCCCTTAAATCTTGAGGACACAGATAGCACTGTGCACAGAAGTCCATTCCTCCTGCTCTCGACCCTGGGTGTGCATGACAGCTGTCTCTAACTCTGCCACTGAGTCCCCACAGGGATAGACTATAACCTGGGTTCTGACAGAAAGCAAACTCCCTATGACAACACATAAGGAACTAAAACAAACCAAGCACACAACAAACCAAAAGTTGCCAAATGACACTTTCCTTTGGTACCTTAAGTTCCTCTTCGATGAGCGAGCACCTACTACTGGAATAACAAGTGTTTCAAAAGCACCACAGCCAGCACACTCGAGGGACACACACCTGAGTGACGCAATCACGCTCAGGGAGCCCAAGAGCATACCAGGATGTCATGGAGTTCTTCTTCTCGCTGCTTCTTTTCTTTGAGTAGTTGCTGGAGCAGGTTGCTGAGTGCCCAGCGCTGCTCTGAGACCATCTCCTGTAACACAGGACCAGACCTGAGGCCACTGTGGGCTCTGACGAATGCCTATCTAGGCCAAGTTGAAGGACAGAGTCCACAGGCACCTCTGTTCTTGCATGCCACCCACTTCCTCCCAAGCCCTCAACTCCCTTCTTTGTGGGCTTCAGGCCAGGCATGGGACCCTAGTGATGATGACAATGGACGGTGAGAAATGCCAAATAAAAGGAATGACAAGCCGAGGGTCTTGATTGACCACAGCTTATGGATGGGAGTAAATGGCAAGAAGGGTTGATATGGAACCCAACAATGAGGAAGCACCATATACAGACAAAGTGGAGGCTGCCCCACAGGGAGACACATGCCAACTGTCGTGTGTTTGTGGCCACAACTTATCTTCCTGTTCTTGGAAACCCCATGGAGGTCCCAACCGTGAGAGCCCTGTGATCAAATGGGCATAGACAAACAGCAGTGGCAGTTTCTCTGTGCAGCCCAGTTCCTCGTCTGAGAAAACCATCAGAGGCTCACCAAGAACCTCTCTGATGGGCTGATGACACAGTGGGGACAATGGCATGTCTAAGACCACCTAACAATCTGGGTAGACCTAGGGGGCAGTGGTACTCTCAGTACTGGAAGGTTATGGGTCAACTTAGACTCTTCTGGGCACAGACAGTGACAGTGACAGATGGAAACTACTTGGAAGCCTGGCATGGGTATGTGTTTACATGCCATCCTACCTTGTCCCTGTGCACGCCTGGGGAGACTGAAGTTCAGGGAAGGGAGAAGTGTACCCCTTTTCCATGTGCCAAGGCTGCATGGCCAGGCTGTATGTGAGCCACAGCCAGTACCAGTGTCCAGTCCAGACTTTTATGTGCCAATCCAAGCTGCCTTCTGGGGTCTGTGAGCAGGACAACCAGGCCAGAACCACAGCCAGCTTCTGCTCACATTCTCTTGGGATACCATAACTCCCCCAACAGAGAATATCACAGCCCACCTGAAGTCCACCTGACCACACAGCCACCAGCCCGGAGAAGGGAATGCAGAGATGGTGATGGTGCCCATGAGGCCTGGCAATGAAGCCCTCCTTCCTCTGACCCTCTTAACCAGCACAAAGCTACCTTTGATCCTGGACCACATTGGCTCTACTGGGGCTGGACCTGCCCTCTGTGTTTTGGGGAAGCCCATTCCTGAGCCTGAGGAGCAGCTGTTCTGGGGTTGGGTGACAGTTGTTGTCTGGCTGGGAGCCTCACATACCTGAAGCGTCTCTGTGTCCAGGGACTTCCTCTTTAATTCCAGCTGTGTCAGCTGCAGTAACTCAGTTTCTATTAGCCTAATCTAAACAGAAGACGAGACAGGGGCATTGATTCACAATCACCACTGTTCCCTTATGTACTGCTGCCTGGTCAAGCATGAACTCAGAAACCTTGTCAGGAGGCTGGGTAGCCCTGGCTGGACAGAGAGGGACTTGTGGGTCTTGGGACCTCACTAAAGGGAGTGGAAACAAGCTGCCACTCCATGGCTCTGGACATGTTTTGGTCAATGTCACTGACCAGGAGCCCAGCACAGGGCCCATCTCAGAGTGGGCACTGGCTGAAGGTCTGTGAGAAGGAGAGGGGCTTCCTTCCTGGTCATCACGGGTCCTTTATCTGTGGACTGCAGGATCATCATGCTTCTTCCTGGGAGCCGTCAAGGGGGCCAGAAGCTAGCAAAAGTGACTGGCTAATGAGCTGTGTGCTGCCTGGGCTGCAGCTGTACGTTTTCTGTAGTATTCTGGCCGTTGGGGTGTATTACTGCCTTCATTACAAGGGCCAGGAAACCGACAGAGAGCAGGTGAGTAAGAGAACCTTTCCCTGGGATATCCCTGCTCGGGGGTCTGAAGTGGAACAGGGCCATTAATAAGCCAGTGACTTCTCTAAACTCTGCCAGCCAATGGCCCTGTGGCCTCTTCCAACCTGAGTTCCTGACCCCACCAACCCCGGTCAGAGGAATGAGCTTCATGTCTGGCAATGTGGGATTGAAATTAAAGAGGGAGATTAAAAAAAAAAAAGTTGGTTTTGGTCAAACAAGAAAAGAAAGAAAAAGACCATGCAAAGATGTGAGATTCAGTATGTGAACACAAAGCCATGTGTGTTCCCATAGCTCGACAGCTTGCAGCACCTCTGGCCCCAGCCCCACAAGATCCAGCAGGGGTCCTACCCAAGGCCAAGGTCAATAGTGGAGACTAGATGGGAGGGTGGCTTCCTCCTGCCAGGCCAGGGTTCTTCCTCGGCAGATCTTATGACCTGGCTGCCCACTTAAGAGGGCAGCCACTGTCCAGTCACTTTAAGCTGATGGGAACACTGGACCCTGAGCTGGTCAGTTTCCCAAAGGGTCATGTTAGGGTTGCCCTTTCTCTAGCCCATGTACCATGGAAGAAACACGCACTGTATTTGCCCAGCAGGCTCTGGGAGGAGACCATCTCCAGTGCTGTTCAAGGCACAAGCCAACAGCCTCATTATTAGCTGCTGGGGAAAAGAAGGTCTCCTAAGTGGGGGTCTTATGTGAGCTGGCCAGTCATGGGACTTAATGACTGCTAGGTCTGCATGTGGGAGCAGGACTGTGACCCGGCCACACTCACCTGGTTCCTGATCTGCCGATGTGCCAGGTCTTTCTTCACCTGGAGAGCCTCGAATGCAGCCTTCTGCATGACACTCTGCAAAAGACCACACACAGACCATCGAGGCTGCGCTCCCTGGCTCTTCCAAGAGTATACACCAGCTACAGGGAGCAACACCTGCCTAAAACACCTTGAACAGAAAGATAACTCTGCTCTGTTTTTCCTTTTAATGCAGGGTCTATGTAACTGATACTGGTTTTGAATCCTGCCTCAACCTCCTGAGTGGTGGAATTATAAGCATAGGTTACCACACCTAGATGGAGAAGTAACTTTTTTCTTTTTGTGTTTTTCCAGACAGGGTTTCTCTGTGTGGCCCTGGCAGTCCAAGAACTCAGAGATCTCCCTACGTCAGCATCCTGAGAGCGCCACCACCGCCCAGCTGAGAAGTAATTTTTTATCTTAATTCATTAAGAAAAAAAAAAAAAAAAAAAGCTGTTACTACTAAAGGTTCTGGGGGCAAAGGGCAGATCTGAATCTGCATTTGTATGACTCCACTGAGAAGGGTCAGGGTAACGGTGGTATTATGAAGGAGGAGAACACCAGAGATCACAGGACAGAAGGACAGCCCTAAATGCAGAGGAACAGAAAGCTTTACCATAAAAATGTGGATGCAGGTGTGACTCCAGTCCTGGATCCTCAATAGGGAAAGGGTACAGCCACACCTTATCTACCATTGGTTGCTATTTTTTCCCTCTCTTTCCTTTTTTAATAGTACTCAAGATTGAGTCCTTAAGAGATGTCTGCTTGGGTTGGAGAGATGACTCAGAGGTTAAGAGCACTCACTGACTACTCTCCCAGAGGATCTGGGTTCAATTCCCAGCATCCACATGACAGCTCACAACTGTGTGACTCCTGTTCCAGAGAAAATGACACCCTCACATAGACATACATGTGAGCAAAACACCAATATACACAAATTACATATATATATATATATATATATATGCACATACATACATACATACATACATACATCTTACTAAGAAGATGCCAAAATTCAATCAGAACTGATACCCATTCCAACAGATGTGCATGTCACCAGGCAGACACATAAGAAACATGAAATTCAAGGCAACATGACAGCTTCCAAGGATCATCACTTCCCAGTAACACAATTCAAAGATACTGAAATGGTTGAAATGCCAGACAAAGAATTCAAACGTCTAACTGTAAAGAAGACTAATGACTTCAGAGAAAATTAAATGGGTGAAGTGAGGAAGTCATTCTGGGGTCTGGATGAAACTGATACTGACATGGATGAAGAATTTAGCAAGGAAATAGAGATTTGGGGAGCTGGAGAGATGGGGCAGCAGTTAAGAGCACCAGCTCCTCTTCCAAAGGACTTGGGTTCAATTCCCAGCACCCACATGGCAGCTCACATAGGGTTTGCTTTAGACCTGAGACAATTCCTCCTTCTCTATAACTCCATTTCCAAAAGACCCAACACTCTCACATAGACATACATGCAGGAAGAACACCAATGCACATAAATAAATAAATAAATAAATCATAAAAAAAGAGACTTTGAAAAAAATGAGAAACAACAAATGTTTGAATTGGAAATTTCAATAAGTCAATACACACATACCCCTCTAAGCACATGTGTACAAATAAATAATATACATATACTCCCTAAAATAATTGTATGACCACAAACTCAAAAATTCTGTGTTATGATAACTAAGCAAACTTAAGAACCATGGGCAGGAGTGGAGATGGGAAGTAAGTGCACACAAGACCCATTCAGTGAGACTACAGCTGAATCCCAAACCTGGAGTGAAGTAGTTGACAAATGACACCTTGGCTGGAGAGATGGTACAGCGCACTGGCTGCCCTTCCAGAGGACCCAGGTTCTGTTCCCAAATACATTAAAAAAAATTATAATTGAAAAATCCTCAATCTAGGGGAATACTCAAGAATAGGAGGTACTCAGCCCCCAAATGACCAGAAAATAACCTTCCCATAACATTCTGTTAAACTGTTAAGACTACAAAACAAAGATACAGAATTAAAATCTTAAAGAGGGCAGGTAAGACGGCTCAGGAAGAAGAGGTGTTTGCTATGACCCTCACAAGCTGAGGACCCATATGGTAGAAGCAGAGAACCAACCCACACAAACTGTCCTCTGACCCCTGTGGCAGGTCACTGTCCCCTTCCCCAATTAAATAGATGCAGTAATACTCATTTAAAAGCTGCAATTAAAAAACATCAGCTTACTTAACAATGGTCAACTGAGGATGGCTCCAGATTTTTAGAAATCCTAAAAGCCAGCAAAACATGAAATTCCAAGACAGAGAAACTAAAGCAATTCAGGACTACAAAGCTAGCAAAGCATATGGTTAAGTAAACCCTCCTTGGGCTGGAGAGATAGCTCAGAGTTTAAGAGCATTGGCCGTTCCTGCGGAGGACCCAGAGCGACCACACATTGACCAGCAACATTTGTAACTCCGGTTTCAGGAATCCAACACCTTAGTTTCCAAGGGCATAGCTGACACTTGGCACACATGCAGGCAAAACACTCACACATAAAATAAAATAAATAGATCTTTAAGAAGAAAGAAAGAAGTAAAATACAGTCATGAGATCCTGGAAAGAGTAAGTTCTCTGAGAGGGACAGATGAAGGAAATCGACCCAGGAGAGAGTCACAACAAACAAGCAACCCCTCACATGAGAGGGGAAAAGGAAACAAATGAAATCCAAACCAACCAGGAAAACTACAGATAAAGTCACCCAAGTCAGCAAGCCTCATCAACTGTAACTAAATGTAAATGGACCTTAACCTCCAATTAAAGATCAAAAAAGCTACTGTTATCTGTAAGGAACACACCTTCTCAGCAAAGACAGGACTGAAGGGACGGAACCCAGTATTCCAACCAGGAGAAATGGAAGCCAAGCACAAGCAGTTATGGTCATAACTAACAAAGTAGACTTCAAGCCAAAATTAGTCATCAATTTTAAGTTAACATGCACCAAACATGGTCCACTTCATTTCATAAGATAATATTGTACATAAAGAAACAGATGAAAGAGTAACGGGTGACTTCAGTACTCTCTCTTATCAACAGAGAGACCATCTGAACAAACACAACAACAAAATCAACAAAGAAACTCCAGTGTTAAACCGAACCAAAGTTATGGAATCAGCCTGCATGTACACCAACAGGTTGGTCACTGGGCAAAGACATTGTGGCATACATGTATATACGCACGCACGCATGCACATACACATGCACAGACATACAGTGGTGTCTTATCAAGTCAAAAAGAAGGAAACTGCTTTCTGCAGGAAGAGATGGAACTGGAGGTCACCATGTAAGCGAAAGATAAAATCAGAGATTTCTCTTATGTGTGGACTCTAGGTTTAAGTATATTCAGTTCATATGTGTGTATTTACACATGAAAGACATGTGAACAGAGGGGAGCAAGAGAGTAATGGGTGAACATAAGTGAGGTACTTGGCATGCCTGTACCAGTCATGACAAAACCCACTGTTTCCTATGTTAATTAGGGTTGGCACCAGGCTTTCCATGTCCCATACTGTGCACTCAATTTCATTCTCTTTTTTTCTGTTTGACTTATTTAATTTTTGAGACAGGGCCTTTCTATGTCTTCCTGACTGTCCTGGAACTCACTATGTACACCAGGCCCCAAACTCAGAGATCTGCCTGCCTCTACCTCCCCAGTAGGATTAAAGGGGTGCACCAGACTCTTTTATTATTACTTTCCAGGTGAGGTGGTCTCATGTATGACAGGCTGGTCTCAAACTCCCTATGTAGTTAGGATGATCTTGAACTTCTGATCCTCCTGTACTCACCTCCCACATAACAGGATGACAGATGTATGCCATCACTCGGCTTCCTGAAGTGCTGGTGTGGAACCTTGGTCTTTGGAAATGCTAGTGAATCTCTACCTACTGAGCCACACATACAGCCCCAAACATTGCACTCCTACAACAGATGATGGCATGCCTGCTTCTGTTGCCCATTTCACAGATGAGGCTCTGCTTGTGACGGGTGCCAAGTCTACCCTGACCCTCAGCCTCTCCTTAACCAGAGGCAGGTGCCCTCCCTGAGAAACAGGGCTCCCAGCAGACAAGCCCCACAGACAGTAAATCATACATACTAGTTTGGAAAGAGTTAGGAAGGGAAGTGGAAGAGATGACTGAGACAATACAAATACAAAGGAAAAGGCTGTGACACACACAGGGAAGGAAGAATCCGGGCCGCTCCAGGGAAAAGGCTAAAGGATCACAGCGGGGCCCTTGCTTGATCCATTTCAGGCTCTGCCTGGCATCTTCTGACCCTCAGATAAAGGCAGAGGGTGAGAGCAACAGTGTGCATTCAGAAGCAGAGACAGAGGCCCTGCCCCAGCTTCCTGAGCAGGACCAGTTACCTCTGCACAAAATCCTTAGGCTGAGCTCCCTATCAGGGTGGGATGAGTGTCCCCTGGGAGGGAGGGGGAGGGGTGCTTCTCTAGAGTCAGTGACCAGAGGGCTCTGCCTGGAGGCTCAGGCTCCCATGTGTCCGAGGTCACAAGGTCCCTGAGTCCTACAGGAGGTTGTAGTCAGGCCCCGGGCAAGGGCTCACCTCCTGAAGGATGTGGCTGATGGCTTTGCTCTGATCCATCTGCTGCCATGACAGAATCTGCTGGAACCGCTGGTCCATTTCAGCCATGCTGCCAGAAAAACAGCACAGTCACTCATTGAGTACTTCCTGAGCACCTACTGTGTGCTGGGTACCTTGGAGGAGACGAGATAAACAATCACTCCACACTACTGACAGGACATGTGCACTTTCACAGACATCAGGGAGGGTGGTACAGCTCCAAGTTGGCAGAGAATCACTCAGGCCCCCCACTGGATCTCTTTCACGACATCCCCCTGAAGTGGATGCCTGGCTCCTGCCCCACCACCTTTTGATGCCCTGAAGAGCCACGCAGTTTCTGGAATGTTCCTTCTATCATTTCCACACTGGGTGTACTCTGTGTTCAACCCTACAATAAGGCTGGTAACTGGCACAGAACCTGAAACCTCAGGATGCCCAAGTATCAAGATGTTAGCTTTGATTGAGTTCCTTTTGTTAGGAACTAGCAGCCAGCTGACCCCCGCCCCAAGGATGGGCGGACGCTCATGGCCATGTCATCTCTACACCAGCTTTACCTGGCAGTCAGAGGACTCAGTTACGCATGCGCAAGCCTCTTTTAAAGCAAGCTCGCCAAGTGCTTCTCTCTCTCTCTGCCTTTCTGGTCCCTCTCTGTTTCCTCTCTCTCTCTCTCTCCTGCTTTCGGTTGGCCACCAGCTACCCCCTCTTTCTCTCCCCTCTCCACGTGGGCGCTGAGTCTCGTGTTTGTGTTTCTTAGGCATTAGTTGCATCAAAAGAACAACACCTTTTACATTAACTTTAAAATTTTTTTGGTGTTTTAAAAAAAGGTTTACTTTGATGTTTATGGGTATTTTGCCTGCATATATGTAAGTGCATCACATGTGTGCAGTGCTCACAGAGACTGGAGGACAGCATCAGGTCCCTTAGAACTGGAGCCATCATGTGGGTTTTGCAAACTGAACTCTGGTCTTCTACAAGAGCAGTCAGTGCTTTAACAGCTGAGCCATCTCTCTAGCCGTGTGTGTGTGTGTGTGTGTGTGTGTGTGTGTGTGTGTGTGTGTGTGTGTGTGTGTTTGTGCTGAGACATGCAGCTCAAGTGGGTGCTGAATTCACTATGTAGTTAACCCTTGCATTCCCGACCTTCCTGCCTCTACTCAACAAGTGCTAGTACCAGCATGTGCCACCATGCCCGGCAAAGATTTGAATTTGTTTTGTTTTGTTGTGACCCTCAGCTCTGTTGTGCAGGGGGGAGGAATAATAGTTCCATAGACTGACCAGCACGTGGCACACAGAGGTAGATGGTTGCCCTCACTTTATCCCTGCCTTGAGTCTACACAGGAAAACTCAGAGGTTGGCCATCTGTGTCCTGACAGCATAGCACTGCCAACACTGGGATGGCCTAGGGAGTCCAGTCTTGGACCCCCAGCTGACCCCCTCAGAGCCCTTACCTGGGAACACACGCTCTTCCTTACCTTACCTGGAACAGGCCTGCTGGACCAGGCTCTGCCTCTGAGACTCGTAGGCCATCTGGATGAGCCGGCTCTTACAGCTCTCAGTCAGCATCTGCTGCATGGCGGCTGTGGAGAGAAGGCCGTGAGCTGCTGAGAAAAGGTGGCTGCTCTCAGGGTTCCCTGGGTAAGACAAGCCTAGAGGGCTCACCTGCTTACTGCTGGGTGGCCATTCTTAAAAAGTCCCTTCCCCTTTCCTTCCTTGACAGTATTGCTAACTAGCCCACACTGGCCTTGAACCCTCATTCCTCCTGTACCAGGACTCTGAGTTCTGTGATTGCAAATGAGCACCAGACATAGCCTTAAAAAACAAAAATCAAAAAACAAGAACAAAACAAACAAACAAACAAACAAACAAACAAAAAACTGCAACTATGCTGCTGGGTGCTGGTGGCACATGCCTTTAGTCCCAGCAGTTGAGGGAGGCAGAGGCAGGTAGATCTATTGAGCTCGAGGCCAGCCTGAATGATAAAGCAAGTCCCAGGTCAGCCAGGACTACACAGAGAAAGCCTGCCTTTGTTATTTTTTGTTGAATTCTTTAAAACTTAAAAAAAAAAAAATGTGCCTTTCGGAGGGTGGGGGGGTGGGGGTGGGGGTGGGGTGACAAGTTCCCTATGAGTACATGCCTCTCGCAAAGATCTCCTTCATCCCTCTCCAGAAGAGGAAAAGAGGGAGCACAAGAAAAAGCGCCTGGTGCAGAGCCCCAGTTCCCACTTTATGGTGTGAAGTACCCAGGATGCTATAAAATCACCATGGTCTACAGCCAGGCACAAACGGTAGTCTCCTGTGTTGGATGCTCCACGGCCCTGTCAGCCCTCAGGTGGAAAAGCGCGGCTGACAGCAGGATGTTCCTTCAGGAGGAAGCAGCACTGAATAGCACCTGATTCAAGCTGAGTGGGAACCGTCCCAATAAACACATTTCGGATATAAAAACAAAAAATATGTGTTCTGCATAGGTGACCTGTGCACCATGTGCATGCAGTGACTGTGGAGGCCAGCAGAGGGCACTGGATCCCCTGGGGCTGGAGTGGCTGCCATGAAGTGCTGGAATTAGAACCCAGGTCCTCTGGAAGACCAGCCTGTGCTCTTAACCACAGAGCCAGCTCAACAGTTCCCTTGTTGAATTTTTTTCCTAAGTTATAAAAGTCTTAAGGGGCTGTGTGTGGCTCAGTGGTGGTGTGCTTGCCTAGCGTGTGCTAGGCCCTGGGTCCAAATGGTGACAGTGACCTTTAACAGAGCTGTCAGTGAGCTGATCCCTCTGTAGGTGTGGTGAGCATGTGAGTCTGGCACACAGAAAGCCCCTCCATGACAAAGGCCTCAAAGATGGGGACAGCCAATCTCCTCTTTAACTAAGGAAAGGCAGTGCCTCTGCGGCCTTCCCCAGCCCGTGGCTGCAAGTTCTCTGCATGGTCTGGATCTGGTCTCATTGGTACAGATCATGTGGAGCTCAGGGCCTGGTGAGGCTGACCCCGGCTCTCAGTGGCAGAAGCCGGAGCAGTCAGGTTTGTGACATGCTTGGGAATGACCCCATCAGTGTGGTAGGTAGGTAACTGTGATTTCCCCTATTTTATAGACAGGAAACTTGAGACTCAGAATCCAAGCTTGCCTGACTCCAAGGCCTGAGATCCACGACAGACTTGGCCGCCCTTCCTCACGGTGGACTCAGTACCCTCCACCTGAGACTGAGAGGAATGGTCTACCCACAAGCACTGTCCACAGAAACCCCCACCTTCCCCACCCTACAACTCACAGGCGATCTCACGTTGCCTCAGGTTCTCTGTCTCCTCCTGTGTTATGGACATCAACTGTTCCATTCTTATTCTAGAAAGAAACAAAAAAGCATAAACCCAAAACCCACCCATTCATTCCAACAAGAATCTTACCAGATAAACACTACCTCCTCCAGGAAGCCTGCCCTGATATGCCAATTTGTGTTGCATGCCCACAGCATCACACACATCCCCTGAGGCTATTAACCTTGAGCCTTGGCTTTAAAGACATGTATAGAAGATGATTATTCTTTAGGACAGTGGGCACTGTAGTTCTTGCCATTTGCTCTTGTTGCTTCACTGGCAATAGGTCTTAAGTGTGTATGTTTTTACTTTTCCTTCTCCTAGAGCATACTTGGCATTTGCTATCTTTGTATATAGTTTTGTATCAAGCCTAAATCTTTTCTTTAACTAAAAGGGGAATTATAGTGAGATATCCACCCCATCTGCACCTGATGCACTGACCATGCCCAAATGGGCATGGTCAAAGGTGTGGACATGATGGGTCCTGGACTCCAGCTCACACACTCTTGCTTCCTGTCGGGTTGAGGAGAGCATCTAGGTGGCAGGGTGGCATCCGTGGAGCGGGAACCCGTGGCGGTCATCTGTTTCATGTGTAAGTGAATTCTCCCCGAATAAACCTCACTTAACCTACACTGAGTCCAATGAATCTTATTTCCCATGCTTTAGGCCACCAACATTAGGAGACAGTATTATGAACAAATGGGAAGATGCCTAACAACCCAGGCCACTGAGGGACACTGCCAGTTGCTGTGGCTGGCAACTTCAGACAATGGGGCACCTTCCTGCACTGCCAAGAGGATGTAAACAGACAACAGGTCTGTGAGAAGTCAGATCCTCACCTGAATGCCCTTTCTTTGCATATTTACCTCAAGAACAGTTCACTACAGTGTAAGGGGACATCAGCCTAAGAACAGCCTCGTTCTGATGCAGGGTCTCTCTACTATGCAGCCCTGATCTCTGCCTTCTGAGCAGGTTTTAAAAATTATCATTTTACCTACGTGTGTATCTGTGTTCCACATTCATGCTTAGTGTCCCCTGAGGCCACAAAAGGCTGTCAGATCCCACCCAGGACCTGGAGTTACAGATGGTTGTGAGCTACCATGTGGGTGCTGGGAACTGAACTTGGGTCCTCTGGAAGAGAAGCCAGTGCTTGTAACTGCTGAGCCGTCCCTCCAGCCCCCTACAAACAAGGTCTGTGGCACAGAACTACATCCACAACATTAAGAAGTGAAAGAATTTAAAGGTAACTTCATGTACATATGGTGCAGGCTGTGTGTGCTTTTTTTGTGTTCACATGGCAATCAGCATCCTTCATGTTCCTATGTGAGACATTTTCAAAGGCCTGGATCCACTGAGAGGTTCTACCTGCTGCCACCAGTTAGCACCTCAGCAGCCACACTGGACTGGGCAGGACAGACCCAGGGAACAGCCTGAAGACCCCCTGTGTGGTGAGGGCTGAGATGGCTGGGGAGAAGCTCCAGGGACAGCTCAGATCTACTGCTACTGTGGGGACCCAGAAGAATCATGAAAGAGTCACAGAGACATCTCAGGGAAGGGCGGGCAATGGCACCAGCCCTTCCCATCATCACTTATTTTTGTTTGTTTCTCTACTATGTAGCCTAGGCTAGCCTGGAACTTCCTATGTAGACCAGGTTGGTCTTGAACCTGTGATCCTCCTGAGGGATAGGATTATAGACATGCACTACCACGCTCAATCTTGTGTGTGTGCATGTATTGTTTGTGGATGCTGGATGTCTTCCTCTGGCTCTCTCTACCTTACTTTTTGAGACAAGGTTTCTCACTGAGCTCATAGGTCTCATAAGGCTGGCTGGCCAGAAGGCCTTACAGATTCCTGTTTCTACCCTCAGCCCTGAACTTATAGGATTCAATGGGTTTTATGCAGATGCCAAGGATGGTGTGAATTCAGGTCCTCATGCCCATGTGGGAAGCTCTTTGCTGAGCCATCTCTCAGTTCCTTTTCTGGTAAGAGTACTCACTATGTAATAGAAGCTGGCCTTGAACTCCTGATCCTTCTGAACTGCTTTGCATCCCTAACGCTAGAATGACAGCTGCATGCTGTCATTCATTGTTGTTCTTTGACAACAAATGCAGTATGCCTCAAAGTAGCCAACTTGGTAAGTACCCAAGACAAAGGCCACCACCTGGAATTTCTGTCTATCACAGACATCCAGCATCAACCCTGAGGATGGGTCCTTTTGCTTTCCACATGCAAATATCTGAAGAGCAATGCTGAGTTCATTCTGCGTAATGCTGCCCACTATAGCAATGGAGGGATGCAGTTGATCCTGTGTATCTCTGTTTGCAGATTCAACCAATAATACTTGGAAAAATTTCGTGTCTATGCTGGCATGAGCATATTTTCCCTATATTTCCTAAGCAATGGGGAGAGTTGTTATTTGCATAGAATCTGCATTGCATCAGGTATCACAAAACATGTAGAACAGACAGGGAAATGTGTGAGGCTGTAGGCTAGTGGTTCTCAACCTTCCTACTGCTGGACTCCCACTAGAAAATTATTTTTACTGCTACTTCATAGCTGTAATTTTGCTATTGTTACAAATCAGAATTCTAAATACCTGTGTTTTCCGATGGTTTAAGGTGACCCCTTCGAAAGGGTCATTTAATCCCTTGTCATGACCCACAGGTTGGTTGACCCACTGTTCTAGGCAAATATTTCACTTTATTTGAGGGACCTGGGCAACTGTGGTTTGGGGGTCAAAAGTATAATATTCTTTTTATTTCTATAAATGTGGATTTTAAAAATTTTATTCATTTACTTTTGATTTGGGACAGGGTCTCTCTATGTAGCCCTGGGTATTCTGGCACTCACTTTGTAGATCAGGCTGGGCTTGAACTCAAACGATCTGATTGCCTCTCTTAGTGCTGCGATTAAAGGCATATACCACCGTACCTAGACTAAATGTGAATTTTAAAAAATGTTTTATAGCTAAAATACAGATGGGCATTATAGATCCATCTTTCTTTCATATTTCTCAGTTTTTCTCAAGGGTGAACATATACTTTAAAAAACTAAAAACAGCTATTATTAATTAGATGCCAAGGGCGACTCTCCTAAAGCACCAGGGAGACTTCCCAGTACAAAGGAGGAGCCTATGGCTCCCTTTCCCCAGAGCTGTGAGCACCCCAGGGTATTTGTTCCCCAGAGTATCCATTCCCAGAGCATGGAGCACCCCAGGATGTCAGTTCCCCAGGGTGGTGAGTGCCCCAGGGAACTTTCTCTAGACACATGGTCCTAGAGACTCACTTACCTCTCATTCTCCAGTGATTTTAGTATCTCAGAACTCTTCTTCTGCCTGTGGGAAAACCCATTGATAGCTGTGAGCACTAGCGATGCTGCTTCCAACCAAGCTGCCCACTTCACCATGCTACCCAGGAGCTCTGTTCTCTGGCTGGGAAGCCCTCTAAGGCTCTCTGTGACAGGAGAGTGAAAGTACTTCTTAGGTGACAGGGTAAGGTGGCACACATCTTTAATTCCAGCACTCAGGAGGCAGAGGCTGGCAGATCTCTATGAGTCTGAGGCCAGCCTGGTCTACTGAGCGAGTACCAGGACAGTCAGGAGTGCCCAGAGAAATCCTGTTTTGGAGAAAAAAAAGAAACAAAGAGCGTGGGAACACACAGCACCTGGCACAGAAGTACCAGCCAAGTGTCTCCTTTCTTGCATTCACTCACTTTGTTACTGAAGATGACAGAAGAAAAAGGACCCAAGGAATGGAAGAAGGAAGCCCTGGGCTAATGGGGCTATAGCCATTCCTAGGATCTTCCTGTGGTGGACCCCTAACTAGATGTTTTCGGACATAAGAGCTCTACTCAGCTCCTTCTTCTCCAGCCCCATCGTGAACTGCTCTTGGTAGTAGTAGTTCCTATGTAAGACAGTTGGTTACCGAGAGGGTGAGCGGCTACTTGGAAGCCAAAATGCAGAAGGCTGTGGTTTTTACCCGCTAACATATAGAAGGGAAATGGGTTGGGGCGGGGTTGGGGTGGGGTGGGGGGGGAGAGGGGCTAAGTGCAGGCAACAGTGCTGTGAAAGAAGCCAATTTTGTAATCCCCAGGATAGGTTTGCTGCAAACAAAGCAAACGAAACTGGATCCTAGCATAGGAATGCTAGGGCAGAGGTGAAGATGTGAGGCAAGACCTTCTGTCCCTGGCACTCAGAGGGCATTGTGGGGGCTGGCCAGGACTGACCTCTGATTGTCCTTCAGGAGTCTCTGGATGCGGCTGGCAATGCTCTGCTCAGTCTGCTTCAGCTGCTCCTGCAGCTGCTGCCGTTCTGCATCCAGACAGCGCTGGCGCTCACTCAGACCCTGCTCTAGCCGTGTCTGCTCCTGCAGCAGGGGAGGCACAGTTGGGGCTCTGACTGGAGGAAGGAGTGTGGGGGTCCTATCTCACTTTGTATATGTCCTGTGTGACCTTGGGCTGTCCCTCACTCCCTACTAGGCCCTTGAGTGTCCACTGTGCCCAAGGAGGCTGGCTGGGGTATCTAGTCAGGACCTCCATTCTGGCTTTCAGGGGATGGTGGGGCAGCTTCATCCCTTGTTTTACCACCTCCTCGGGGCCTACATCAGGTCATAGACTAGGGGCCCAGGTGGGCTGGTGTGGCCACACACCTGCTTGACGGACTGCAGGATCGCATCCTTCTGACTGTGACTCTGCTGCAGCAGCTCAGCATGCTCTCGCTGCCCAAGGTCCAGACGCCGCTCAAACTCAAGCTTCTCTAGCATCTTCTGCTCCTGTGGGGACAAGATGCCTGCCATCTGTGTCTGACGCAGAGCCAGGAGGAAGCTGTCCCTCTCTAAGGAGCAGCAATACTCCAGGACAACAAAAGTGCCAGGGAGGCTCTTACCTTTCGCTTCTCGTAGTCATAGAACCGGTTCTGGGGGGAGAAAAGCCAGAGGTGAGAGGTGAGGAGAGGGTGGTGGCCATGCTTCCCGCTGTGTAACCTGGCCCACCCAGCCTGCTTCTCTGGGATATGAGCAGATGGAAGCGTGAAAACCGACAAAGGGGTCTGGGGGGGGGTGCTCCAGCATGAGAAATATTGTATGTTACACACACACAAACATGCATGCACACATATTAAGCTACATATTAAGACATAAAAAAATAAGTAAGATAAAATGAAAATCAAAGTGTGAATGGGGACGGTTCCCAAGACAGTAATGCTGGTGGGGAAAGGGACATGATTTGTTCAGGGAACGAGGAGACCTGGACACCTGATGTGGTGACAGCTGTGGTAGCTGAGTTTCTGGATCTGAATGGAGGAATCTGTGGCTACAGCTCTGAACACCTTATGCTAGCGGCTCAATACCGGCATGGGTACAACCATGCAGACACGCCCATGCTGGCGGCTCATCTTACCTGCCATTCAGCCTCCTCCCTGGACAACCTGTTTATGGGTCCATCGGGGCTGTCCTGGGAGTTCTCAGCTCCTTCTTGCTCCAGGACTGGCAGTAAGTACTGAGAAGGAGGGTAGTACTCCAGTCCTGACTCTATGGATAGAGAAGGGGCACAGGGTGGTCAGGAGCACCCCAGCTGCTTGCTTCTGCCACCTTCGCTCCCCTCTCTCCTCACTGCAGCCACCTTGCTGGCTCAGTCCATTCTCATCTCCCACGGCTGGGCCTCACTTCTGTATAATAATTATTGCTCAAAGTTAGGCCTGGTGATAATAGCCTTGTAACTCCAGCCACTCATAAACTGGGGTGACTGCAAGTTCTAAGTCTGCCAGGGGTACAGAGCAAGTTCAAGGCCAACCTGAGTAGTAACTTAGCAAGTCCTGTCTCAAAATGAAAAACAGAAAAAGGCTGGGATGCGTTGAGAAGTAGAGTCCCTGCCTAGCACGTGTGAGGGTCCCAGTTCAATCCCCCTGGGAGGGAAATAGACAACGTCATATATCTGAGTTCTGTAGTCAGCATATGCAAATTTACTGCTTTATTTTTATGCCTATTGTTTACATAAACATTAGAGAATCTTAAAACATTCCTTTGGCATTGAGAGTCTCAATAGGTAGCGTAGGCTGACCTCAAATTCACCATCTTCCTGTTTCTCTTTTCCCAAGTGTTAAAATTTTTCCCCTTTATTTTAGCAGCTGGGAACTGAAGCCAGAGCCTCATGTATCCTAGCAAGTGCTCTGCCACAGCCTGAGGAACATTTAAAGGCGACCACACCCTTCCAAGTCAGGGGCAGTGCTGGCTCGGAATGTGGGTTCTGCCAGGCACAAGCACACTTCCTCTGTACCCTGGCTTCTCTCCCTCTACTCTCTGGCAGGGGCTCCCAGTGCTGTGTGCAGTTTTCACATGTGGGTATGAAAAAGTTCATTCATTCTCCTGCGGCTGGATGCCCCATGGGAACAGTGCTTTTCTGAGCATCTGTGGACAACAAGCTTTTCCTTCTGTTGGGCAGACACCTAGTCAGGGAACTGAGTTGTAGACCTGAATGTTCAGCTCGAACAGACACTGACAACAGACAGAGACAGAGAGGGAGAGAGAGAGAGACAGGGTCTTGCTACATAGCACAGGCTAACCTTGAACTCACTATGTAACCCAGGCTGGTCCAGGACTGACTCTGATGTCCCTGTGTCAGCTTTCCGGGCACTCCGCACGATACCTAGCTATTTTTATAATTTATTGACTTATTTGGAGACGGCTGGCCTCCAACCATACTGTATGCCTGCTTCTACTTCTGGAGTGCTAGGATTACGGGTCTGTGCTGCTTCGGCTTCATGTTTAACACCAGCACACGGCAGCTGAGCTGAGATCATCAGATCATTTTCTCTTGCAGCTCTGGGTCAAGGGATCTGGGATCATTTGCAGATTGAAAAGCTCACCCTTCAGTTCACTCTGCACCACATCATGAATAATTCAGGTGACCAGAGGCTTGCTCTGAGAAGTCACAGGTGACAGGAGCCATGCTGACAGGTGACAACAGCTCAAGTTGCTTCCTCCTGGTGCCCAGGCCACAAGGGTCTCCCCAGGTGGCCCCAGGGGCCTGCCTAGCTTGTTGCCCTCTTCCCCCAGTTACTTCTTTGTGAAACCAGGACCTCTGCATTTTTCCTCCTTGGCCTTCAGCACTCCAGCCATACTGGCCGTCTCCATAGTACCTCAGGTTCCCCCCACCTTCCTCTAGGTCTCTTAACACTTGCCTCCTCTGCTAGAAACACATTGCCTCTTCTCCTGCCCTAGCGCCCTGTCAGGTGTCAGCCATATTGCTTTCTCAGACAGGCTCCCCAGCCCTAACCTAAGCCAGGTGCCCGACTCTAACCTTTCCTAAGCTCAGCCTGGCTGATTAAGTCCTGTGATTCCTCACTGTACCTGTTGCTCTCTGCTGTCCCCAGCCTGGTGGCAGGGGATGAGCACGGGGGTTGGGGGAGTCAGGGGTGGCCCGCCTTTACCTTTGCAAAGGAACTGCTGCACGGCCTCGGTGCCAGCACCACACACCTCTGGTGGAGGGTAGACCATGGACAAGGCGTCGAGGCTCAGCGTCTGTGGACACAGGGACCCCTTTACTGTGCACACTACTCCACTGCCCAGCACAGTTCAAAGTCACTTGGTTTCCTTATTAACTTGGATGCAGAGTATCTCCCCTGCCTACCCAGGGAGCAGAGAAAGCCAGATCTGAAGAGCATTGATCCCATCTGGGTGACACTAGTCATCACTGTGGTAGCTTGAGTGGTGTGGACTCTGAGGCCACACTGCCCAATATGGTGGCTAAAGTCACACGTGGCCATTTGCATTTCTTGAGTTGCGTGTGCATGCTTGGGTGTGCATGCATGTGTGTGTGTAGAGCCAGGATAACCATGAGTGTTGTTCATTAGGAATCGTTTGCTTTTGGAGATAAATCTCTCACTGGCCTGGAACTTGGTAAGATGGCTAGGTTAGCTCGCCAGCAAGGCCCAGGGACCTGCCGTCTCTGCTGCCCTGGGCTGGGATTGCAGATGCCTGGCTCTAGGGACTGAGCTCAGGTCCTTCACAAGCACTTTCCCCACTGAGTCATCACCCTAGCCTCTTCTCTCTCTCTCTCTCTCTCTCTCTCTCTCTCTCTCTCTCTCTCTCTCTCTCTTCCATTCTTTCTTGAGGCAAGAGCTTATTATGTGGTCCAGGCTGCATTGGAACCTGTGATCTTCCTGCCTCTGCCTCCCAAGTGTCAAGATTAAGGTGCACACTGTCACAAGCAGCCTTCATTTCAGTTTTAATTAGTTCAGGTCACTATGGCTATCTGAACACGTCAGCTTGGTGGCCACCAGTTCTCGGGTGGCCACCCAGATGACAGCATTTCTATTACCCGCAGAGGGATTCTGTCTCTTGAGAGATATCCAGCCTGGCTTTAAACACCAGCACAGCACAGTCACTTCGCTGGGCTGGGCTGTGACTTCCTCAGTGTCATGCTATTGCAGTATCCCTGATTTGATGGGATGGCATTTGAGTGAAGCTGGCACACAATATGGCCTTGTTGACAATGCCTGTGCTCTCACTCTGATAAAAGGTCTGACAGGGTCTGAGACGCTCCCAAGAGTTTTAAAGGAACAGCAGGGAAATGAGCCCCATCCAAACTTCTGCTGTAGAGCTGGGACTGAGGCATGCTAGACAAGTGCTCTACCACCGAGCTACATCCTTGGTCCCTACGGCTCTTAGTATCTTAGGGTAGATAATTTCAGAACCAGGGACATGCTCTGAGCTATGCTGACACACATGGCAACTGCAAAGCACATGTAGCTATGGATTAGTAAAGATTCAATAACACCGTTTAGTTCCTTGGTGGCACCAGCCACATTCCAAATGTTCAAGAGATGTATGTGGTCACCGAGCTGGGCAGCAGTTAGTAGAAACTCCCGTCATCACCGAACAATCTCCCGAGAGTCATAGAGAATGGAGCACACTGTGTCTCACTACTGTGTGAGGGGCACCAGACACAGATGTGCTGGCTCTGCTCAAGTGTCACTGCCCCGGACAACTCTGTTCTACAGTCTGGCTTGATAGAGGTGATTCACCAAAAGAACTGGGGAATTCTGGGATGCTCAGCCAGGCTGTCACCACTGTGATAGGTGTTTAGACACTGAGCTTTACAAAGGTGATGGTCTCTGGTTGTTCCAGAGGGTGTGGTGTTCAATCCCATCTATGACCAGCTGTGTGGCCTTTGAGGAGTCCAATAACATTGTTTGTGTGCCAGTTCCTTCATTAGTGAAGTCATAACAGGACATGCCTTACAAGGGTTCTGTGTGGGTTCAGGAGCTAACACAGGCCCAGCTGGTAGAGTGAAACTCTGGATTTGACCCCTGGCACCACACAAATGGGGTGAATTGGTGCAAATCTATAAACTTAGTAGGTGGAGGCAGGAGGATGGAAAGTTCAAGGCCATCCTTGGCTACATAGTAAATTCAAGGCCAGCTTGGACTACTTGAGACTTTATCTCAAAAAACATACGAAAATGCTAGAGGAGCCAACAAGCCACCCTGTCATGACCAAGAGCCCCACTGTCCCAGAGTGGGCCACCTGGTGCTGGTGCTGGTGCCTGTGGTGGGTTGAGCTGTGTCCCTGCTTTATGTGACTTAAGAGTCAGGCCGGACCCTAGCCCAATCTGACTGGTATCCTTTAAGAAAGAGATCTGACATGCAGAGACAGTGGACGGACACAGGAAGGACAGACACAGGAAGGCCCGGCCACCTGCAGAGAAGAGCCTTAAAAGGAACCAACCCTGCCAACACTGGGATCTTGGATTCTCAGACTGAGGGCACAAACTCCTTTGGTGTGAGCAGCTTTCTTATTCACCCGAGATGACTCACGCAGGGTCCCTGGACACTCTTACCCACCTGGGCTCTGATGAGATGCAGCTCCCACACTGAAGCCCAGACCTCCACATGGCTAGATCCCCACTCCCAGCTTTCCGGGCTCCAGTACAACAATTTCTGGCCTCAATACTTCCTGTCCATAACCCATTCTATTCACGCACTGCCTCTCTTTGTCCTGCTCTCCCCGCTGGCGGCCCCATTTCCATGCCTATCCTCTTCAAAGTCTGGCTCCAAGGCCACAGAGTGGGGACGTTTCTGGATTCACCTGTCTCCTTCACTTTGGATGTATGCCCTCCCACCTCCGTGACAGCAGTAGTCACTACATGACAAGCATTCACGTCAGTGTCTCTGTGATACCAGAGAGCATGCCCCCCTTACCTCCAGGGTCCGCACGTGAGCCAGCATCTGCGGCAGTCTCCGAACTTCGTTTTCACTGATGTCGAGGGTACGCAGGCTTCGCAGCTCTCCCAGGGTGTCAGGAAGCTCCTTCAGCTTGTTGTCTGCGGAGAGCCAGGTGACAAACTCAGTGCCCCAAAGCCTGCTGCCGCCTCCTGATGTCTGACGCCATGGGACATGGGGCTCTGTCACTCCCTCTTAGCTGGGCCACTCAGGACACCTGGACCCCCTCCCTGGGCCTCTTCTCTGTAACTGGGAACCCCTACTTCTCATCAGTCACATGTGTGCCTCTGGGCTGAGAGGCCAGGGCAGCAAGAGTAAGATGAAGAGCCTGGCCACAGTGAGGCGAGTCCTCTTTGGAGGATGAGGACACTGCTGGTACCCTGGCTAGTCAGTACCTCACTGTGGTGGAGGGTGTCCTGAGCAGGCCACAGCTCTGAGTCTCACTTTCCTCACGTTAACCTGCCTCATGGACTTATGCCAGCCACATCCACGGGACACTGAGTGTCCCAAAGCCACCTGGAGCCACTACAGAGGCACCTCCTTCAGCCTTGCCTGTTAGTCTACTCCCTTCTCATTGTTTAGCTTCCCAGGCAGTATGGACTGCCTTTTGAGGGGTCAGGGCTCTTTAGACAACACTGCCTCTGGTTCATGATCACAGACAGATCACACTGAGCTAGGCGGGGGTCAGTCTGGCTTATGGCATCTCCCTCACACTCAGTGGCTCTCAAGAGAGCACCCCATAGATTCTGGAAGGACAGGAGCTGGCCCAATCCTGCAGCTGCCGACATGGACTGGGCTTTGTGGCCCCCCACCTTTCACATTGAGGGTCTGAAGCTGAAGCAGGTTCCCAATGGAGTGTGGGAGATGTGTCAGTTGATTCCTTTCCACATTCAATACCTAAGAAAGAAAACAGTGATACAAGGAGCCCACAGAACAACAGCGACCGTCTGCATGCTCAGTCCTGCACCATCCAGGCATGGAATAACTATACCCGCCTTTATTTCTTCCTACAGCCCTGAGAGGGAGGCACAGGTTGTTATGGTCCCATCAAGAGGTGAGAACACTGAGGCTTACAGAGGCTAAGTCACGCGCCCAAGAGAGAGCCAGGCCAAGCCCTTGGACATACTCCTACTTGAGGCTTTACCATCTATACTAACCACAGAATGCCCAGGAATTGCATGAACCGATGTGGAAGCAGAGAGGTTGTCAGGGGCAGCGAGGGTTAGGCTATGGTTATCTACTGTTGAGTAATGGGGAGGTATAGCTCAGGGCGAGGCTCAAACAAAGCACTCAGTGCAGGGCAGCTACAGACAAAGCACTAGGGAGCCAGAAGAGTACAGAATTTGTCCTTTTAAAATAATACATAAAAATGTATGCACCAGCTATATGCAGTGACTGTGGAGGCCAGAAGAGGGCGTCAGGTCCCCTGAAACTGCAGTTATAGACAGTTGTGAGCTGGGAACCTAATGGAGGTCCTTCTCAAGAGTAGCCATCTTGAGAGTAGGCATCTCTACAGTCCCTAGAATCTGTCTTGAAGCTGGAGACCCACTGGGTGTTTGTTTTGGGGGGAGGAATTAAAGCTGTGAAGCCATGAAATACCATAAAGTACATGCCAAGTCCTGGCAGAGAGCCTCTCAGAGCCAGGTGCAATGCAGCCTGGATCCACTGGTGACAGCTCAGTCCGTGTCCTACAGCCTTACCTGCAGGGCTGTCAGCTGCCCTATGTCATCAGGAAGGGCTGTCAGCTGGTTGTCATGGAGATCCAGAACCTACACAACAAACATATCTGTAAGGCCCCAGAATCCCAGACTCCAGAGCAGCTGGAGATGACAAGGCTACCTCATACCCGGGTAATACCCGGGTAGTAGGGAACTGAATAGAGTCATTTTATCTAGGGTAGACATTGGGATGAAACTTGTTTTCTGGAAACATGTAGACCTTGAAGAAATCATTGTAGAAAACAGTGATTGTAGCCGGGCGTTGGTGGTGCATGCCTTTAATCCCAGCACTAGGGAGGCAGAGGCAGGCAGATCTCTGTGAGTTTGAGGGCCAGTTAGTTACAGGACAGGCTCCAAAACCACAGAGAAACCCTGTCTCAAAATAAATAGATAAATGAAAACAGTGATTGTTTTCTGTTATCTATAGAGTTGTTTCTCTGAAGGACCTGTAGGCATTTGCATGACTTTAGTCACATGACCACCCTGGCACACCTGGAATATTTTGCATTACTGAGTAACACAAACAGTGTACCATAAGGACTGAAAATGGAAGGGTGAGGTGTTCCTTCCAGAAATGTAGACTCGATCTGGGTTTTGGTATAAGGAACTTGTTTTACTCTAAAAACAACTTTTGTGTGACCATCAATAAATCATCTACATGGCTGGTCCTCTCTGCAACCTGCAAGATCGTATTTCATCCTGGAATGACCCTCTTTCTTTGATTGTCCTGCATGAGTCACACACCCACAGCAACCCTTCCTCCTGCCCATTCTTCAGCAGCCTGTCTCATAGTTTTTGGGTTGCTTTGTCTGTTTTTTTTTTTTTTTTTTTTTTTTTTTGATAGTGTCTCTCTACATAGCCCTGGAGCTTTCTGGGAACTTAATCTGTAGACCAATCTGACCTACAGGGATCCGCTCCTGCCTCTGCCTCTGATTTGTCTTGGAGACAAGATCTTGCACTATGTAGTCCTGGCTGGCCTTGAACTTACTGAGATCTGCCTGCCTCTGGGGAATAAAGGCGAGTGCCAGCACATCCAGCTCCATCTCACATTCTTGCTCTTTTTCTTCAGGCTTTTACAATGTAGTCCATGCTAGGTCAATTCTCTTGCCTCAGCCTCTTCATCAATGGTCAGGATTGCAGATATGTGCAGATATACCATGTCTGGCTCAAGTGTTCTCTTTTTACTGAATACAATTATGCACAGGCTGGGGTATGACTCAGTGGCAGAGCATGTGAGGGCCTGGGTATATTGAGTCCCAACACATCACACACACACACACACACACACACACACACACGAGAGAGAGAGAGAACAACAAAAACAGCATGAAGTGGGAATGGAGAGATGGTTCAGTAGTTAAGAGCTGCCCTTGCAAAGGACCTGAGTTTGCTTCTCAGCACCCACATCGGACAGCTCACAACAGCCTGTAACTCCTTTTCCAGGAGCTCTGATGCCCTCTTCTAACTTGCTTAGACACTGCATGCATGTGGGGCATATAATATAATTCATATAGGTAAACAATAATAGACATAAAATAAAAAAAAAATAAATCTCTTATAAGCACTGAGCAGTACATGTGGTGGCACACTTTTAATTCCAGGGCTCATGTGATAGAGGGAGACAGATCTCTGTGAGTCTGAGGCAAGACTGGATTACACAGCCAGCTCTAGGTCAGCTAGGACTGCATAGAAAGACCACATCAAAAAAGAAAGAATCACCATGGAACAGAGCTACTCCAACCCCACCTGTGAGAGCTAATGAGGGAATACTGGGAGAGTGTGCAGAGTTCAGTCTTCACCCTTACAAGTTCACATGCAGGTAGAACAACCCTGGGCTGACACTGCAACACCGTATGACTCTACCACATCCTGGAAGGGTTCCACAGTCAGGAGGGAGTCCACCCAGGTCACTGAGGTATCAAAAGCAATGCCCTCTCTGGATGCCCTTCCTGTTCCCCTTGTTAGGGCCATTGTGTCCATCCTTTCTGCTGACCTGGCTGAGGTTAGGACCAGCTGGAGTGGAAACCTCATAGAGCAGGTGCTGGGTCTGGTTTTCTTTACCAACAACACCCAAGAATGCTTAGAAAACCATGCTGTTCAGACACCACAGTGACCATCCTGTGAGGACCATCTGGTATATTTTAACAGAGAAGACCCAAGAAGCTGCCACCTGGAGCACCACAGAGTCCCCAATGCCAAGAGTCCCCAATGCCTAGAGAGGGCCCAGTACCTTGATGGTGGCAAGGCTCAAGAGGCTGCAAGATTTGGGAAGCAGGGAGGTGAGATGGTTGGTATGCACGATCAAAACCTGTGAGAAAAAGATGAGAGAAATGCCAGGTTCCAGGAGAGCAGCAGGCAGGGAAGGCTAAGGGTGAGGGAAGTGGCTTGGCCTTGGGCACAGGGTGGCCATACTGTGCTCCAGGCATCTTTGCTGAGCCAGACCCACAATGGGGTTGGCTGTTAGAATCATGACTCGATGGTTTAAGGCCCAAGATGCCTGCAGTGAAAGGGACTTTGGGTGTCTAATTCTACTTTCCATTTGGAGAAGAGATCAGCTATCATGAACTTAGCATTTCCTAGCTCTAAATAAGTGATAAAGTACCTTTATCCAAAGGCTACCATGATAATTAACAAGCCAGTGTTCGCCTAGGCTATCATGATGTGGTCTGATACTCACACTGTGTCAACCACGGCTATTTTTGTTAGACATTGACTCCTGCTTTGGTATTTCAAAAGAATTTCACTACACTATTGGCAGAGAACCCATTTTACCTGTGTCCAGATCTGATGGTGTGCACGTACCCACCTGTATGCAAACCCTGGAACAATCTTCTGAAAATGCTTTCATGCCCTTCTAACTCTGAGGGGCAAGTGGCCGGAATGCACCAAGTGTCCTTTCTATTAACAACACTGGGGGAGGTAATAACTGTACCATATGGCTGGTAGACTCCTCTCTACCACTCATTTAATTCACACAACACCAAGAGACAGCTATAAATGTCTTCTTCCTTCCACAGATAAGAAATGGGGTATAGACTGGAGACAGCTCAGCAGTTAAGAGCACCGACTGTTCTTCCAGAGCACCTAGGTTTGATTTCCAGGACCCACATGGAAGCTCACAACAATCTATAGCGCTAGTTCCAGAGACTCTGATGGGCTTCTGGCCTCCTCAGGCAACACACATGCGTGTGATGCAAATATATATCCAAGCAAAATACACATAAAATACTAACAGTTAGTAGAAGAAACAGAGGTGTTGGTGTGTAAGGAAGCTATCTAAGTCACAAAGCCAGTGAAAGTTAGGGCCAGGAGTGGTCCAACCCCACAGCCTTCTCTCCTAATTGTGACAACTTCTACTGCAGGTCAAAAGGGTGAGGGCCAGAGGGAAGGAAAGTGGCCATGTGAGAACAATGGCTCTCTGAGTCCCATGTGGTTCCCCCAAGCAGACACTCAGTGAGTGGTTTTTTGAACAATGACTCTGCTCACCTTTTTCTGCAGAACTTTGCACGTTGAGAAAGCCCCAAACGGAATCTAAGACAAGACAAAGAAGGGTCAGAGCTCCTCACCTGCTCACCAGTGGCACTGGTTGTGAGGAGGTGACTGAGGACAGTAAGCCACTGACCTGGGAGGGCTGGGGAAGAATGGAGGAGCAGGCAGCACACTGCCCAGCCCACCCTATCCTACCTACTCTGTGGTATCAGTGGGTAGAGCATCCTCTCCCCCAGCACCTCAGGAATCTGTAGTGTATTTTCCCTTCTTCCCACGGTACTGGGGATTGAACCTAGGGCATGTTGCATACTTGACAAACTCCACCAATGAGTTGGGCATTTTTGTTGTTGTTTTTTGTTTTTTCCAGACAGGGTTTCTTTGTGTAGCTTTAGAGCCTGCCCTGGGACTCACTCTGTAGACAGGCTGGCCTCAAACTCACCGAGATTCACCTGCCTCTGCCTCCCAAGTGCTGGATTAAAGCCATGTACCACCACTGCCATGGCTCTATCACTAAGTTTTATCCCCAAGATTTCCCTTCCTGCCTTTCTCTAGGATTTTACTATGTAGCCTGGGCAGACCTCAGACTCATGATCCTCCCTACCTCTGTCTCCTGAATGGAATTCTGGGAATAAAGGTGGAGATTACGCTGAGGCCAAAAGATCACCTCAATTCTTTTGGACAAGAATGCAATGTAAGTGACATTTTTCACCCAATGTGTCAGGCTGTGTCTGTGCACACTCTATGCAGGAGAGAAGCTGATGCCCTTCCTGACTTACTCCCCACCTGTATCTCAGGCTACATTTGTTTTCCTCAAGGACATGGGACAGATTAAATTCACAGCCTCTATACACCCTCACTTTACCTCGGAGAGTTCACATTTAGAGATGTCAAGAATGTCATCTGCCCCAGCTTCTTTTGCCTAAGGTGGAAAAAGACATTTTTAAGTTAAGTGTTTGACACAGGTTTCATGTAGCATCAAACTCATCATATAGGCAAAACTGGCCACTAACTCCTGATCCTCTTGCTTGCACCTCCCAAGAATTAGCTCTCTGCAGAGGTTAGGGAGAGAGCTTTTTAAAAGTCTTTAAATCTCCTGGGCAGTGATGGTGCACGCCTTTAATCCCAGCACTTGGGAAGCAGAGGCAGGTGGATCTCTGTGGGTTCCAGGACAGTCTGGTCTACAGTGAGTTCCAGGACAGCCTGGGCTACACAGAGAAACCCTGTCTCAAGGCCTTATCCCCCCCCACAGTCTTCAAGTCCTGTATGTTTACACAGGCTCTGCTGATTCTGTGCTTCATTTCATGTTAGCTTCTTAAAATTAGTTGGAATTGGTTTTGCTTTGTTTTGAGCTTGAAGGTTAAAAAAAAAAACAAAACTTTTTAACAATGTATTTATCCTTATTTTATGTTCATTGGTGTTTTGCTTACATGTATGTCTGTATGAAGATGTCAGATCTCCTGAAACTAGAGTTACAGATAGTTGTGAGTTGCCATGAGGGTGCTGGGGATTGAACCTGGGACCTCTGGAAGAGCGGCCAATGCTCTTAATTGCTGAGCCATCTCATCAATTTATTTTTTGTTTTGTTTTGGCTTTGTTTGGTTGCTATCTGCAATACCTTCCTGAACTCCTGCTCTTTTAATCTGTCCTCCATGGCTGTACTGTGTTAGATTTAGGATGCAGCAGCTCAGCTCCCAGTGATATAAGCACAGCTAGTTTTCACAACTCAGGCTGACCTGGAACTCACTAGCCTTGAACTTGTGGCAATTTTCTTGTCTCAGACTCCTAAGTGCTGGGATTACAGGTGTGAGACATGTAACTTGGGAACCATGCTCTGTTGTAGGCATTCTTCCCGCCAGCCTGGTCCCAGAGCCGTGTCAGCCCCAATGAACACTCAAACACTATATTAATCATGAACTATTGGCCACTGACTAGAGCTTTTTATTGGCTAGCTCTGTATTAATTATCATCTCTATCAATCTAAGCATTTCCTTGTGGTCTTATCTTGTTGGAGAGAGAGTCTGGACCTCTTACTCCTCTCGCATCCTACATTTTGACTGCTCTGCCTATGTTTCCCAGAATTCTCCTCATCTCCTAGTTCCACCTATCTTGCTTCCCTATTGGCCAACAGTGCTTCATTTATCAACCAATAAGAAAAACATATACAGAAGACATCCCCATCAATGCCCAATTCCCAAGGGGGGGGAACACTCAGGCAAAACACACTGTGGAGTTGAGAAAATAAGGAAATTTCTTTCGACAAACATAAGGAGCTGGAAAGGATCACAGCCACAGGCTGCCTTTACTGGGCCGTTTGGCAGGTGGCCAGTGACTGTCTGAGGCCCAGTAAGGAAAGAAACCAACACACACTCAGCCTGTGAGGAAGGGCACTCCCAGTGCGGGGAGGCAGAGGGAAGGGGCAAGCACCACTGTAGACATTTCAGTGGGCAGAGAAGGAGCCCAGGAGAGAGACAATACACCTGCCTTACCAGACACATCTGGTACTCCAGGCGTTTGCGAGCCTCCTCACTGGCTTTCCGCTTCCGAAAGAAGAGGGGCATCCTCCTGTGTGAGTTCTGGGCACTGGAACATGAGAGGGAAGTTGGCACCCGGGTACCTCAGAGATGCAGCTGGTCTGTTGGCTATCAGTTTCCTGAAGGCAGGGCTGTCTGCCTCAGTCGGGCCCTGAGCCCACACAGCAATGCTCAACATTTTGTTCTTTGTTGAGGAAGCAATAAACACAGAATATGGTGGAAAGAACATCAGCGCAGGCCAGTGCCCTGGGTTTGGGCTCATTTGCTACTGACCCTCTGGGAGGCATCGGCATCACTCTCCATGCTGAGCCATTTTCCCACCTTAGGAATGACTCTCCCAGGTACCTTCCAAGGATGCTCTTTGAGAACTCTTGACAGACTCAACTGATGAAACAAACTGTCTGAGTGACACCAGCAAGACTAAACTGGAAGGTGCCATGTCTTGCAGGAGACTCAACTATATCAAGACTAAAGAGGTCTATGAGTTAAATAAAAATTAAAATGCTATCTTGAGGCACCTTCCAACCCTTGAAGCTACTGTTCATTTGATTCTCACTGTGGTCCTGTGGAGAATGCCCACTAAGTTCAGTGGTCTGGCTACATGACCTGGATTACGGAAGAACCAGCCTGGGATGCTTGCCCTTCGCCCTTCAAGTCTGATCCTATGCAGTTTGCACAGCTCCCTGGGTGCCACAGCTCAGCAAAGTTAACCATGTGTCCTAACTCAGAAGCTGGGTGCCCATAGCCAGCCCGGAATCTGGAACTTCCAGTGCTGAATAACGGCTGGAAGCAGGAAGGAAGCAATCATCTGGAGGAAGTGTGTAGCTAACAGCATAGGCTTTGACATCAGCTGTGTCACTCTGGGTCACTAGTCAGAGCCTATTTCCTCAAATGTAATACGGAGTAATGTTGCCAATATTGGGTCCTGTGGGGCTCAGGGATTTCATGTATGTCAGGCCCATGCTATAGAACCTGACAGAATGCACCATACACATGACAAATAGATTCAGGGACTATCACAGATGTCAGGGAGAAAGGGACTAGAGGAGTCTTGCAGGTGAAGTCACATCCCTGGTCTTAGAGTTCAGGTCTCCAGCCCTGGGTGTGCTCTTCCCTCACTCACCCACTAGTACTCATGAAGAATGTCCAACAGCCCTCCTCCATGCCTTCCTTCCCTTCTGCTGGATAATGGCCAGCCCTCCCCATCCCCATCCTCCAAGTCCAGATTTCCAAATCCTCTCCAATGACTATCCCCCACCCCCAAGTCCTCTTCCCTAGTCATTCTCAACAAGGGCTCTTTCAAATTTGGTTTAACCTCCCTGATGGTGTAGCTTGGTTGGGAGAACCACACCCATCCTTCCCAGGCAGAACTGGCCAGTGGCTGACCTGGCTTTGTGGATGGAAAGGTTCTTGGATGTTCTAATTTTGGGGTGGACCTCAAGATAGGCCAATCACTCTGAAGGCTTGGTCACAGATGCAGACCACAGACACCAGCAAGATGAGCTAGAATCGGATCTCCTTCAAGCATAGGGAGTGAGGACCAAACTCTGAATCTCATAAAGTCATGCAGCTCAGGAAGACAAAGTCTTGAGACTCTAGAAACCAAGGGACTGCAGAATTAAGAATCGTGATTTAGCCCCGAATAATTTGATCGTGTATACTAACATGCATACATCGCAAATGAGTAAGAAGGGTACTAGGGGTACTGGGGTCCCTCAAGACAGGTGCGGATTCCTTAGGGGCGGGGCGGGGCGCTGGGGCTCCGAGTCACCCTCATGATAACCGAACGTGGAATACATCTGGAACCAGGACCTTTGTTGCAGCTCTTCTACTCTGACTGTCCCCGAGAAAGGTGCTCAGAACATCCACCCCTTCCGAATCCATAGCTCACCCAAGAAACAGGCTGTCCAGTCCTCCACCGCAAACGCCTGCCCACAATAAACAGGGCGGCGAGGGTGTCGCCCCGAAATGGGGCGGAGCCAGAAGTTATCGCGAGAGCCGAGCTTTTCCGGCCTATATCCGGTGTGAGCGGGCTGACAGCCGTCTTTTCCGCTTTCGGCTCGGAGGAGGCAACGGTGCAACTTTCTTCGGTCGTCCCGAATCCGGGTTCATCCGACACCAGCCGCCTCCGCCATGCCGCCCAAGTTCGACCCCAACGAGATCAAAGTCGGTGCGTGCCCTCGCCGCGGCCGGGCAGCGGGTGGAGCCCTCCCCGCCGCGTGCTTGCTGTCCCGGGGCCTGGCTCCGGGCCTGGCGGGTCTCCCCTGGGCCTCGGCTTCCTCGTGTGTAATGGGGAGGGAGCACCGACGCTCTTGCAGCCTGTGCGCCTTAGGGTAAGGCCTGGCCCGGGAGGTCTGAGGCCTGAGGACAGCGCCCTGCACCCTTGGCGTTCCGCAGAAGTCTAATTCTGCTTTTTCTCAGTGTACTTGAGGTGCACCGGAGGTGAGGTCGGCGCCACATCCGCCTTGGCCCCCAAGATCGGTCCTCTGGGTCTGGTAAGTCCGCTCCTTAGAACTATGTATATACTTACTGCTGGCTGCTCTTTGTATGTGTTTTATGTATGGGCTTGTGGAGGTCAGAAGAAGGCACCATTTTCCTGTTGTGAGCCGGCTATTCTGTGTGAGCTGAGACTCGAACCCGTGTCCTCTAATTTTAAAGTTGAAGTAACAGATGTGTATATAGGCTCCCGCCACGGCACAATTGTGGCAGTCAGTACTGAGTCTTGGCTGAGCTATCGTGCAGGCTCTTGCCTCTGGGTCTAGGAGGTAAAGTGGAAGCTCGCACTGCCATGTGCCTGGAACCACGTGCTCCTTGATGGTACGGTGAAGGCCGGGAGTGGCTGGTTAAATCCCTATTAGCTTACGTGCTTTTTAACTGAGCACCCTCCTAGGTGGCCCATTACAGCTCAGTCTGTTTGCTTCGTCAGCCCTTGAGACAGGTGGCTTAGTTAAATAAGGTGTGAAGAGGAAGGCATCCTGCCAAACAGGGAGTTCGAAGCTGAAGGTTATACTTTGAACATTGGACACGTGGTTAATTTAATCGCATTATTTCTACAGTCTCCAAAAAAAGTTGGTGATGACATCGCCAAGGCAACGGGTGACTGGAAAGGTCTGAGGATTACAGTGAAACTGACCATCCAGAACAGACAGGCCCAGGTATTTGCTTTGCTTGGTGTGGGGGAAGTCATGGGATCTTGGCTCTCTTGGTGAATAAAGCTATTTTACCTTTGGAAGGCTGCTGTGAAGGGGTAGGGGGAGCTGCCAGGGTGCAGGCTCCCACCATGGGCCTAGGGAAGTACCTCTGAGCTATCCCCATTAGTATGCTTTAGCAGCAGGGTCAGTTCTGTGTTGTTCATGTCAGGTCTCTCCCGCAGATTGAGGTGGTGCCCTCTGCCTCTGCTCTCATCATTAAAGCCCTCAAGGAGCCACCAAGAGACAGAAAGAAGCAAAAGAACAGTAAGTTGATGGCACTCCTCTGCCCCTCTCCAGTGACTACCATTTTGCATGGAGTTCCCTTTAATAGTGAATCTTAGGGTCAGAATGGGATAGATCACTTAAGGCCATTTGTTCTGCACTCAGTCCTCTGGGTGCAGAAGTGTAGTCATACCTAGGGTTGGTTGACATTGGACCCTTTGCCCCAGGAATATAAACTTAACTGATTCATCCCTAAGGTCATGGTGAGGACTTGGTTGTGCCCTAGCCACCCGCCACTGCACCTGACCAATATGGTTGGCTGGTGCAATCCAGTGGTGAGCTGACAGTAAGCTCCAGCTTTAGGAAACAGGGTTGTCCTACATGTGGATGACTCTGTGCCGAAAGCATGGGGACAGCATAGAGACAGGTAAAATGAAACCACATGGTCCTGTATCAGAAGGTTGCACAGAAAGCCTTTAAAAAACAAAACCACCCTTCTGTTTATCTTGCAGTTAAACACAGTGGAAATATCACTTTTGATGAGATTGTCAGCATTGCCCGACAGATGAGACACCGGTCTTTAGCCAGAGAACTTTCTGGTAAGAGCATTTTCACTGACCAGATGGCTATCGTTTGCCTTTTGAAGGCCCTAGATTGGAGTGCACCTTTTTTTGGAGGTAGTGTCTATAGTCTTGGCTGTCTTGGAACTAGCTCTGTAAACCAGTCTGGTAAACTACCTCTCAAGTGCTGAGATTGAGTGTGTATATTGTCACTGCCCAGCAGGATTATTGAATTTTGTAGTTGGGCATAATGGAGACCCATGGCTTTTTTGTTTTGTTTGCAATGGAACTCTGGAATTTGCTATGCTCCGGTGTAAGAGTTCCAAGGGATTAGACCTCTGCTGAGTTTACCATTCTTAATATAGGAACTATTAAAGAGATCCTGGGTACTGCACAGTCTGTGGGCTGCAATGTGGATGGCCGCCACCCTCATGACATCATTGATGACATCAACAGTGGTGTGGTGGAATGCCCAGCTGTAAGTGATTTTGCATGTTTCCCTTTGTATTCGGGGGAGTTAGGGTGGGGGCAGTTGGGCATTGTTAAAGGGGAAATTCTTTGTGTGAATGTGTGTTCCCCTTTGTGATTGTAAATTTTCCTCCCTTTTCCAGAGTTAAGAAGCAACAAGAGAAAATATTTCAATAAAAGACATCTAATAACAATGGGCTTGGCTTTTTTTGGGGGGGGGGATGGGATGTTCAGATACATGGAGCACCCTGCCTCAGAAAAAGCCCTGGTGTAGCTTCATAGGCAGGTTCAGAAGCCTTCCAGGAAGGAAAGCTGCTTTTTCTATGGGGTGTAGTTAGGCTGCCATGAAGAATCTTGCTCTATTACTGTGGCAGGCAGGACAAAGGTCAATAACTGTAGCTTGGTCTGGAGGTCTTGTGTGCACCGCAGTCACTAACCCTGAACCTCTTAACTAGCATGGTTCCTTTCGCAGGTTTCTAAAAATTGCAAAGGTTTCTGATAAAGCTCTAATCCTGGGCCACACCTGTGAAATACAAGGGAAAATGTGCTATGTGGGATTGGTTAGTGGTGAGGTTATTTCCAATTAACACAAATTGTGTTGGTATTTGAAGAAAGTAGTGGTTACTACTAGAAAAAGTGCTGAATAGACGATTCAGTGCTACATTTATTGCAGTTTGATTTCCAGAACCCACAAACCCACAACCATCCCAAACTGCAAGGTTACCAGACATGCTCAAGTACATAATGCAAGCTGGTGACAAGCCCTCAAACCTAGAGGCCCACCCTGCTTCCCTAAGGACCGAAGGAGAGGGTGGTGCTGGTGAAGAGGCTTGCTTTGCTGCCTGGGAAGTCATGAATTGAAAGGTCCCTGGGTTGGTTCTTGGGCTGTAAGTCAGTTTTTCCCATTGCCTCCAATGCTCAGGAAAATTGAGGTCTAGTAGAGCACTCACTGCCTCATATAGAACATCTGGGTTCAATTCCAAGTGGAAGGGAGAATGTCCTGCAAAAGGTCTAAGTAGGGTTTTTTTTTTTTCAGTACAAGGTTTCATTGTAGCTCTGTCCTGGACTTGAGGTCTGCTTGAGCAATAACCTAGCTGGTTTTTGTATTATGAGTAAACCAGGTATGTTATATTCCATGTAAGTGGAGAAAGTCTACCATAAGCAAAAGAAACAAGCTGCCTCCTGGCACTGGTTATTTTGGAAACTCAAGCAGGAGCATCTTAAATGCAAGGTCACCCTGAGCAGTTTGGGGAGATGGCCCCTCTTCCAGAGGGTCTGGGTTCCATTCCCATGAGACATAGTGCTGCTGCCCTTTTTTAGCCTCAGGTCATGGACATGATAATGCACATAAACACAGGGTCATCACACTCAAAAATCCCATGGGTTTTCTATGTGTCCTCAGCTGTCCTGGAGCTAGCTCTGTACACCAGGCTGTCTGAAACTGCTTTCCACTTAACCTCTGCCACCGCCTCAAATTTAAGTCTGCAGAAGAATTGGGTTTCTCAGTACTCATACTGGCTATAATGCCTGTAATCCCAGTCCTTAACTGATTAATCTCTGTTTTGTGTGCATGTGGCATTCACATACGCATACATTTTTTAGGAGGGTAGGGCTAAAAGCACTAGGAAGCATAAGGCTCTAGGGGTTAAGTACTGCAAAAACTGAAAATACTAGAGATAACTGGTGGGGTGTGGCACTAACCTCACACTTCCATTAGGCTTTCCTCCCCTAAAACAAGCACATTCGAAGAGTTGTAGAGGGCCTAGGTTCAGTTCCCAGTACCCACAAGGGGGCAGCTGTCAACGTAACCCAAGTTCCAGGTGATTCACCTGGCCTTTTTGGGCACCTGTTCACATGCGCTGCACAGGACATGGGTGCATAACACATGCTAAATATCTTCACACAAAACTTTACATACATATTGATTGCAGCAATGATCATAACGACCTATATATGGGTGTGATCCATGTCCACTCACTGAGGAGTAAACAAAATGATGTTGTATACATGGTATGTTATTCAGTTACAAAGAGGACTGAAGTGTTGATATAGGTTAAAACATGGATGAATCCTGAACATGCTGGTAAACTAGACAATGTCATGTATTTTATGAATCACCTATGTGAAATGCTCTCAGCAAATCCAGATTTAAAGCCAAGGAACTTGGCTGTAAGGTCTGACGAGTGACTACTAAGGGATTTCTCTTCCAGATTGGAAGTGTTCTGGAATTAAATAGTGGCTATATAACAACATGAGAATACGGCACGAATCACTGAATGTTAGTCACCTTTAGAAGCATGAGACGACTACTGTGATGTGTAACAATCTGAATAAGAGGTCAGACCTGGACACTGGTTTTCACGTAGACCTATTGCTGATGTGCACCTAGCCCTACTGAGGACAGTCACATTGGTTCCAAGTGCCTCAGACGCTATTACACCTGGCTTTACAGTTCTTAGAGACTGTGGAGAGTAGCAGAGAAACCCAGGGTAAGACACCTGCTTGGTCCCAAGTGTCCCATGTTCCAAGCATCCCTAGCTGCTTCCCTCTAGGCAGAAGGCTAAAGTCGCCCCATCTCCCTCCCGGCACTAAATAACAGGCAGATCGTACGCACAGGTCACTCGGGTTAGAGGCCCTTAAACTCCGCAGGCCCCACAACTGTTTGCTCAGACCGCTGGTGGAAATCGTTCTGGCCGGGGCACACTGAACAACTGCATACTCTCCGTCTCTTCTCACCGCCCTCCACACAGGGTACACCTGAGGCGGACGCCAGAGAGCAGATGCCCGGACGTACGCGTCCATCGCCCTAGCCACCGTCCGCGAGGACGGCCTTATCCCGAGGTAGGCGGGCGCGCCAGAAGTGCGCCACTTCCGGTCACGCGCAGTCTGCACACCGGAACCCACTTCTAACAAGTCTCTGCAGTGTATTCCCGGCCGCCCCGCCACTGTGTGGCTCACGCTGCCTCGTGCGATGTGTTTCACACAGAAGCTCCCGCATGCCCGTCCTTGCTTCTAGAGTCCGCACCTTTAGGGTGCACCAGGATCCGGACGTGGAACCTCAGACAGGCAGCCTAGGTCGCTAGGGATGCTGCGAAGGGTGCTTATGCTGCTTATGGGCGTTTCAGTGGATTTCCCCAGAGGACAGGTGCCTTTTCTTCTTCTCAGGCAAGTTTGTGGTGGAGCGTGGTCCGGGGTGGTCAGGAGGGAAGAATTGCCATTTCGAGAAAGCAGCTTGGATCACACTGTTCTGCTGACCTGCCATGCTCAGCAGGCAGGATGAGCTTTGGAGCCCAGGGAGTCATCGTTTTCCTTGCTTGTATCGAGGCAGTCCAGAGAGTATCACACCTCAGTTAGTGTGATCTTGTTCATGGCTCCAAGGCCTAGTAGGCGGTAACTCCTCTAAGGGCCACTAGTCTTTAGCAGGTTTCCTGTTTTAGTCCTGTGATCTCTTTAGCTGCCACGGGGGGTAACAGAGTACTTCAGATGATGCCTTTTTTTTTTTTTTTTTTTTTTTTTTGTTATATGGCTCCTTGGGGCTGCTAAGCTACTCCTGTGCTTTGCAGAAACCAGGATTTGTCCACGTTGTTCTGGCAAGGTGGATCTGGGAAGGAGGTAGTTGACGTTTGTGGGCAGTGCGGGTTTCTACCCGGGCTTCATAAAGCTGTGTCTGCCGCACCTCTCCTCCGGGGATGGCCATCTTCCCTTCTCCATAACCTTGTTCTTATGGTGTTGATCTGGGCTCCTGAGTGTGGGGGTGGGGCGGGTATAGGATTGCCTGGAGCTGCCTCTTGGCCTCTCAAAATTTACACTCTGAGGGAAAGGTCCCAGAGACAAAGGAGACCTGAGGGAATGTCTGGGCCCCTAAAGCCCTGACATCCACAAGTGGTGGTGGTAGTTAGAAGGTAGTGCACGGAGGCAGCAGGGTGGGGTAAATAGGAGAAAGGACTTTAGGCCTTTCAAACCTCAGGCCAGGCTTGGTAGTGCTTGTCTGGAATCCCAGCAATGGGGAGAGAGATCCAAGGCAGAAGGATTAAAAGTTCAAGGCCAGCCTGATTTATAGAGGGAAGCCCTTCCTTGAACACTCCCGGTCAGGTGTCCATTTATGATATATCCCTGAGTGTCACACTGATTTTACCCATCAAACAGCTACTGTGGACCCAGCACTTACTCTGCTATCCTCCTTTCCAAGCATTTTACGTACTCAGCACCATGCTATTTAAAGGTAATTAATTGTCACAGTCCAAGTCACACAGCAGTACACTGGAATTTGAATTCAGCATACTGACTTACCCTTTCCCCATGCTGCCTGGTTCCTGCACCCAGATTACAGACTACAGTCTGAAGCCACAGTGACAGGCCTGTGGGCCTGATCTCTTCTCTTGCCTTCTAGTCTTTGACTAGCCCATTGAGGTTGGACAATGGCCAAGATACAGTCATCCGTTGCAAAGACCAGTCTGTGGCTGAGAATGGGTGACCTGAGCAGGCAGACCACTTGCTTCAGCCCCTGTGGCCTGATGTGTTGGGCCAGAGAGAGCTTCCCTAGTCAGTCATGTGTGTACGTGTCTGAGGTCCTACTCCATGGCTTTGCTGCTGACCCCCTGAGAACTGGCTTGGTCACAGAGGGGCCCATCCTGTGAAGTCTGCTCAGATAGCACCTATCCTTTTGTTGGTACCTCCTCCATGTCCACCCTTACTCCCCTCCCACACCTCTCATTCATCTATCAGTGTTTGCTTGCTTCTCCATCCCTACCATTGTCCTATGTCTCCTTTAATTTCCATCTATCCTGCCCCCTTTAAATGAATCTACATATGATACCTGAATTCTCAATAAAGAGGCTGGAAACAATCTAAATGTGGGATATGGAGTGATTTAAAGATTTATTATGTGTACAGTGTTTTGTCTGTGTGTTTGTCTGCATGCCATAAGAGGGCATCAGATCCCATTATAGATGGTTGTGAGCCACCATGTGGTTGCTGAGATTTGAACTCAGAACCTCTGGAAGAGCAGCCAGTGCTCTTAACCTGAGTCATCTCTCCAGCCCTTAAATTCTATATTTAACATATGATTAACTTAAGTACTAATATAGTTATACAGTGGAATAATACTACATACAATAATATCTTGAGTATCTTAGTTTGCCAGGTACTATGTCAGCATGGTAAATTACAGGTACTGATGGTGAACCAAACATACACACTTACCTTCATTTCAAATCCCAGTGAAATGATGTTGGAGATGTATAAATAAAAACAAATCTATAGTTGCATTAGGGAGGTGTGTGTGTTGTCAGGAGACTTATGCCAGGTACTGTAATGCAGCCTGTGGATCTTCAGCCCTAAAGTGTAAGCATGGACAAAACATGCCAGATGTTGAGATAAATCAGCTGTTTGACATGGGCCAAGATAACCAGATCAACTCATAGGAGGAGAAATCAGAAAATGGGAGGTGGTTTTCAAAATGTTGGATTCTATAGCTTGCTTCTTAATAGCAAATATGCATCAAGGACATGGAGCCACTGGGGAACATGAGTCAAAGCAGTTTCTAAAGTACACTTAGCACATGCCCAGCAATTCCACTCCACACAAGATATGTCTGCAGATGTGTAGCAATGGGGCTCCACACCCCCAAAAATAGCCCCAAATTGGAAATAGTGCAATGTCCACTGTCAGCCTTCTCAGAAATACAGGAAGTGAACTGTTGATGCACCCAACCACATGAATAAATGAACCCAAGTGAACTGTTGATGCACCTAACTACATGAATGAATCCCAAAGGTGCTGTACCACATTTAAGAAGCCAGGTACAAAGGCCTCAAGTATGATTACATCTTTATGAGATTATACAGGAAGCCTAGCAGAGATGCAGGGAAGTGACACTACACAGGGATATGAAGTGTCCTGTCCTTGAGTGTGGTGGTGGCTCATAACTACAGCTTGCTATAAATCATTAGCTCTTATAATTGCTGGATTCTGTTCAAGTAAATACCTCAATCTGATTTTCTTTTCTTTCCAAGATGGTTTCTTAGACAGCCCTGGCTGTCCTGGAACTCACTCTGTAGACCAGGCTGGACTTGAGCTCAGAGATCTGCCTGCCTCTGCGTCCCTGGTGATGGAATTAATGGCCTGACCACCACTTAATCTGATTTTCAAATGGTAGAAATGTATATCCTTAGAAAAAACATTCATCCCCTTCAACAGCATAGGATGCTATGAAGGAGGCATAGACAGCAAGAGAAAGTAAGGGCTGGGGAGATGGCTCAGTGGGTAAAGTGCTTGCTCTGCAGGCCTGAGACCTGAGGTTGGATTTCCAGTACCCACATAAAAGCTGGGTATGGTCATTGGTCACAGCAGTGGCATTTCCTGAGTCTCGTGCTTCCCTTTGGCTGGAGTCACATTGTCAGCACTCCTGGGCCTCCAGCTTGCTGACTCTGCAGATCTTAGGCCTTCTCAGCCCCTTGCAACGTGTGTATACCTCATATGCACTCTGGGTTTGTTTCTCTGGAGAACCCCACCTCATGCAGGAGACATGGGCCACACCACCCAACACCTTACTCAGCTTATATGACACGCATAGAAGAGTATGTCACCTCACAAAAGATGACAGTGTGATTCTGTCACCAGGAGCCAGGCAGTGGTGGCACACGCCTTTAATCCCAGCACTTGGGAGGCAGAGGCAGACAGATCTCTGAGTCCAAGGCCAGCCTGGTCTACAGAACTCTGTGAGTTCGAGCCAGCCTCACCTACAGAGCGAGTTCCAGGATAGGGCTACACAGAGAAGCCCTGTCTCAAAAAAAAAAAAAAAAAAAAAAAAAAAAAAAAAAATCTTCACCAGGAGAGAGTATGGCGGTCTCATCATGCTCAATACATTGAAAAAGATGAAAACTTTCTTTAAAGAATGACTAGCAAAGCAAAATATTTGTAGAAGATAAAGTGAAGTAGAGCACAGATCAAAGACACAGAAAAGTGAGTGCATGCTTGGAGTCACACACCTGGGATTACAGCACTCAGGGTGCTAGGGACACTGAGCTACAGCCAGCCTGAGCTACACATTGAGTTTTAGGGTCAGCCTGGGCTGCTACAGAGCAAGAACCTGTCTCCATATCTTCCCAGTAAAAAGAACCTTAAGTGGAAAATGAGAGAAAAAGCATCAACCCGGAAGAATAGCTGTCCACTAGACAGCAGGGACAGAGCGGGAATGACGTCCACTACACAGTCCTGACAGAGCGAGAGGGTCGACAGCCAAGAGCTGGGGCAGGAAAATCAAGAGATAAGAGATGGACTACAGAGTGGACTGCCCCCCCCCAAAGTCACAAACAAAAACAATTATATTCTTTCTTGCCAAACTAAATTACCAAGATTGTGAAAGCTACAGCAGTGTTCTACCCTACAGGATTAACTGACGATACTTCCATCAGCCATAGTAGACCTTAACAGACACCTGGGGTTGGCCAGATGGCTCAGTGAGTAAAAACCCTTGCTGGGAAACCTGGCAGTCTTGAGTTCAATCCCTGGAATGAAAGTTGTCCTCTGATCTCTACATGTGAACTATGACACAAGTGCCTCACCATAAATCAATGTAAAAACAAAAACTGACACTGAGGCTAGGGGTGCTCTGTCAGTAAAGTGGCTGCTGCGCTGAGTGAGATCCCAGATGTCCACAGAACACTAGGCGTGAGGGCGGGCAGGGAAGACAGCTCAGTGGGAAAGCCACCTGCTGTCCAGGACCCCAGGACCCATGTGGCGGAAGGAGTGAACCAACTCCTGCAAGTTCTGACCTTCACTTGTGTGCTGTGGCTCACGGTCCCACTGAATAAATACAATTCAATCTTTAAAGCCGGACATGGCAGCATGTGCCTGGTGGAAGGGGCAGACACTCGGACCCCAGGGGCTTGCAGGCCAGTCCATGAACTTCAGGCTCTGTGACCCTGTCTCAAAAAATTCAGGGGGATGGGTTGGAGAAATGATGACTCAACCTATACTGTCCTTTCAGGGGACCAGAGTTCTATTCCCAGCCTCCACATCTGCTTGTAACCCACCTCCACATCTCTAGTGGATCAAATGCTTCTGGCCTCTAACCCTAACCCACACGCAAACACACTACACTTAAATCTTAAAGTCATAAAGTAATTGAGCAAGACACAGCATCAATATCTGGTGTACACACATGCGCGTGCACACACACACGCGTGCGCACACACACACACACACACGCGTGCGCGCACACATACACACAGAAATAAATAACAAAAAGTAAACATCAGATGGCTGGGAAGTGTCGCATGGCGCCAGAGTGTTTGGCTAACTAGCATGTGCAGGTTCCGAGCTCAGTCACCAGGACTGGAAAAAGAAAACAAAAAACAAAACAGCATCGGACAGAGCCACCAGGATGGCAGTAAAATAAAGCCTTTTCCAGCATTGGGTACAGCCTATGGGCATCACACCTGAGGGCCTGAGGGAAAACTCTGCAGGCCTAAGGGGGGGTCATTTTGTGAAGGTTCCAGCAAGTTAAATGGGCTCCAAGGGGCAAGAAACTTTTGGACTAACCCAGCAGTTTGACGACTGAAAACCTAGAACCATATCTTCTCAAGTTGGTCAGAAAGAATAGAATGGCACTTGGGAAGCTGAGGCAGAAGGATTGCATTGGGTTCCAGGATACCAGTATGTTTTAGGTTAGCCTGGGTTACATGATGGATCACTATCTTAAAATAAAATAAAGTAAAATCCACTTGGGAAGCAGAGGCAGGCGGATCTCAGTGAGTTCGAGGTCAGCTTGGCCTACAGAGTGAGTTCACAGCTGTTACACAGAGGGATACTGTCTCCGAAAAACAAAACAAAAAATCAGCCAGGTGTGGTGGTGCACACCATTAATCTCAGCAGCAGAGTTTGTCTCTACATAGTGGATTCCAGGACAGCCACAGCTGTAGTGAGTCTTAAAAAAAAAAAAAAAAACAACAAACAAAAGGATTCCACTAACAGCTAATAGAGTGCATAAGACTAATAGTAGGATGGTGACAATCACAATGTTTCTTTTTTTTTAAAAAATTTATTTTATGTGCATTGGTGTGAAGGTATCAGGTCCAATGGAACTGGAGTTACAGACAGTTGAGAGCTGACATGTGGTGCTGGGAACTGAACCTGGGTCTACTGAAACAGCCAGTGCTCTTAACTGCTCAGCAACCTCTCAGCCCCAACCACAATGATTCTTAAGGAAAAGTTCAGCCTGATTATTGTCTTAACTAAAGGGAAGTCAAGAAGTCAAGACCACTGAGTTTTTTTTTTTTTTGATGTTTCTTTTTTCTCTTTTTGGTTTTCGAGACAGGGATTCTTTGTATTGATTTGGAAGCTGTCCTGGAACTAGCTCCGTAGACCAGGCTGGCTTGGAACTCACAGAGATCTGCATGCCTCTGTCTCCTGAGTGCAGGGATTAAAGGCCTGTGCCACTACCAACCGGCTTGATACTTACTTCTTTTTCAAGACAGGGTTTCTATTTAACAGCTCTGGTTGTCCTGGAACTCACTTTGTAAACCTCGAACTCAGAGGTCAGCCTGCCTCTGAATGCTGGGATTAAAGGTGTGAGCCACCACCACCAGGCAAGCCTGCTGTTTTGAATAGTGGACCTTGAAAGAGTGGGTGTCAGAGGGGAGGCTCACGATGGACCAGTTTCACTTGGGATTACTTCTGGAAAGGGGTGGCTTTCCCATGTAAGTACAGCGCCTAGCAGATCACCAGCTGCTGTACAAGTCTGTCTTCCAACTTATTCCAGTGAGTATGTATGATCCATGATACAAGGGTCCTGAGAAAGACTTCTGGCTCCATTAAAGTCCAACAGAAAGAGGTTTATTTTCTGAAACTCAACAAGACTTGGTGATTAATGACTCAGGACACTTGAGCCCAGGGAAGGAAGAGCTGGAAAGAACCTGCAAATGATGGGTAAGCTGGCAGACCTCACAGTGGATCCACAGGACCTCTGGGCAGGGCTGAGGAGGGTGGCTTGGTTGGACTGACTAGAACATTCTCTTCTCCACCTGGGCTCACTCAAAGAGGTTACCCTTGTTTCTCAGCCCAACTTTTATGTGGCCAAATTCCTTTCAGATCCCACAGTCAAGAGGGAGGCACAGGTGGGTGCTTAGGACCCAGAAGTCAAAAGAGCCCCAGCCAGAAAACAGGATACCCATCATGTCACTTCAGATGCTTTAGTCTGAGGAGGGAGCCGCATGTCAGGTGCAACTGCACAGCTCCTCAGATGTCCTGTATGTGCTGCAGGCTGCAGACACTAGATCCAGAATCTGGTGAACCTCGTAGCATAAGTCTGGGTCTCAACCTGAGGCCTGGCTTAGCTACAGGCTACTCCACTCCTGAAACCCAAAGCTAGCCCAGCTCAGGATTGCCAGTCACAGAAAGGGACTGTCATCGTCCCTCAAAATGGGCCGTGATTTGTTCTAGAGTCCTGCCTTTAGTCTCAGGGACAAAGGTCAATGTGAAAAGGACACTGAGGATACAGAAGGCAGCAGAGAGCCAGAAGGCACCGTAGGGCCTGAGGACCTCCTGCAAAGAGAAGAGACAGGTGGAGGTAGCCAGAGGTCACAAGGCCCACACAATCCCGAGCACCCTGCCTGCCAGGCCTATCCTGTCTGCAGATCCAGCTGTGCCACCCAAGGTGATGTGTGTCTGGGAAAGTGATGCTCATGGCAATGTAGTGACTGCCCCAAGATCAGAAATGTCAAGGGGAAGCTGGTTTCCTGTTTCTGGGCATCCCAGACTTACTGCCCTCATGCCTACATCTTGGGCCCCGCCCTCCGGTATCCCAGCTACTGTGAGTTCTCTGTGAGGTAAGGAAGGGGGAACTGTTAACTCTTGAGAGAGGAGGAGGTGAGTCTGTGACTTTTGCAGGTGGCTGAGCAAAGTCCCCACTCCTCAGTTCCTTGCAGCCTCTTTGACAGGATGCTCTCCCCCAGCCCCCACTCCAGGCCCCCGTTGAGTTTTCGTCACATCCTTCTGGGCTTCTTCCTCCAGGTCCTTTGCTGTCTGCTCCCTCCCACATTCTATGGTGGGCCTCTGCTTGCCTCCCTCTGGGCTTTCTGGGCAGCCCCATGTGCCTGAGCCTGTTTTAGGCTGTTACTTTGGAAAAGAGATTTTTATTTACGTTTGCACAGAAAATGAAAAGCTGTGGATTCCTTCTAGACTAATATTGTTTGATGAAGCAAGACCCCCTGAAGCAGTGGCCTAGGTAATCCAACATTTAAAACAGCCTTACAGACTACAAAAACAAGGATCTCATCAGGTTTCTGTTTTGTCATGATCCCCATGGTATAAACAGCATCCCCAGCCAGCAGGAAGCAGTTTGGAGAAAACAAGCCCACATTCCCAAATATTGTCTATAAATGTTTGTTTGCATTTAAATGGGGTTGGTTATAAATGGTTAATGATTACAGTCAATCTCCTAAAGAAAAAAGGGAGAAATGATACAGGATCAGTGGAATACTAATTCAGGTAGCAAGCCCGTGGGAAATAACGTGTTGAATAGAAAAAAGAGCAAACCAAAAAGACCCCACAGCCAAAGGCCAACAGAACCAAAATGAAAAAAGCATCTAATTGTAATAATATGGGGTGGGGGGGGTGTGGGGGGGAGGGGGGGGGGGGAGCAGGTGGGGGGGAAAGGGGGAATAGCAAGGCATGCACCAACTGGCCCTGTCCGAAAGAGACCCCAACCAGGTGCACTGAAAGAGAAGCAGGAGACAGGAGGCACCAGGGCAACAGATGGTGCACCAGCCCCACGTGGCTAGGAGTTGGCAGGGGGGAAAAAACGTGTGAATGAAGATGCCCTTCCACCTAGGAGGAAGGTGCACTATGTACCTGCACTTCTAGTTCAGGACCATGTTGAGAGTTAAGCAGTACACAAGGCAACACACAGGGAAGTTGTCTTTCTCTGTGTGTATATGTGTGTGTCTCAGAGCCCATGCCTGTCAATTGTTTTACATATATCATGGGCTTCTGGCCCGTGTCCCTGACATTCACTAGTGGGGAAGGCCGGCCATATTATCCTCACCCCAACACTGGTTTAGCCTCTGGTTCCATGCCACTCCTGAGATGGCAGTGTCTCAGCCATTAGGGGACCTCAGCCTACACTCAAGGTCATGGACATGGAATCTCTGGCAATGAATAGTTTCATGAGGCAAGCCTTTGCTGACAAAATGAGGGAAGGCATGGGTCTGCACTCACCATGATGCTACTGAACTCTTTTGTCACCAGAAACGCCATGAACCAGTTGGTGAGGACACAGACACCGGTAGCCACACCCTTGACATGTAGAGGGAAGATCTCGGACATGAGGAGCCAGGGAATGGGTCCCCAGCCCACTGCAAAGCCTGTGGGAGCAAGGCAGGGTTAAGGCACACATGCTGGGCTCCTACATGATAGCCTGTAGGCTTAGGGGTCTACAGCCCTCGACCCTGCTGGGAGGCCTTTGGCTAGTCCCTTCCCATTTTAGATTTAAGGACAAGGATGGGACCTGCTTGCAGTTGTCATGGAGACTAAGTGAAAGAATTTAGCTCAGTGCTGAGCACATGGTCAGAGTCACATGCACAGAAGTCATGTTCCTTGGGGTTGAGGGGCAAAGCCAAGTAAAAGGAGATTTGAAGCTGACTGCTACAGAATTTGGCATGGTGGGCTACAGGGACAACCCCACCCAATGTCCCCGCATCCCTTCTTACCAGCAATGAAGAGGCACATGCTGCCTACAGCCAGCCAGGCCAGCCCCACATGGACATCAACAGGCTCTGCAGACATGGGCACCTGGAGGCCTACATGGGAGGAGTTGCTGGGGCCACTCTGGGTCAACTTGAAGTAGGTACCAAAGGCACTCATGCTGAATACCATGATGACACCTGCAAGCAGAGCCCAGGTTAGGCAGGATGCTGGGGACATGGCTTAGGGTGCAGTGTGGCTGCTCTCACACCTTGATCATGGAAGCCCAACTGGACAGCACTCAGCAAATGCTGTGAAGTTCCCAAGCAGTCTCTCACCTGCAGAAGCAGGAGCAGCATTCAACCCCATGCCCACAGCGGCCTTCACAGGCGCCAGTGGGCACCATGGGTAAGTAGGCCAAAGCTACTGCCCAGGACCTGACCTCACCACAGCCCTTCCCCATTTCAGAGTGGGAAAAGGAGGCTTGAAGACAGATGGTCACTTGCTCAAAAGAACTAGTCATACCACCTCCCTGGACCTGTCTCCCATGAGCTGGGGAGACGGAACCTTCTCGCTCAGGCATCTTACCTGACAAGGCCAGAAGCAGCCTCCGTCCTGCTCTGTCCATTATGAGGGCCGCCACAGCAGTGAACAGGACCTGGATGATGCCCACGGTGACGGAGGCCAGGCTGCTGTCCTGGGAGAGTGGAGAAGCTGGCTTGCTGAAGAGAGACAAGTCCCTCCCTCTCTCTTTGGCTGTGAGCTAAGCCCTAAGCTCTGGGAAGTTAATTCACGCATGTTGTGTATGAGGCAGGCTGGGCGAAGCCTCTTACCTTGAACTTGGCCTCCTCAAAGATGGTCTCGGCATAGAACATGATAGCATTGACCCCTGACAGCTGCTGGAAGGCCATGAGTGAAATGCCAATGATGAGGGGCTTGTACACACCAGGGCGCCTCAGCATAGCCAGCTGGAAGCCCTGCCACAGAGACGGCTCATCAGTGTTCTCTCCCCTCACCCAAGGACCCTTCTTTGAGCTCAGAAGTCTAAATGGAGGGAATGAGCCTCAGCTTGCTGGCCCCACCCCACCTGTGGCCCCGAGTGTGCAGACAGGCCCCTCAACCTCCTCATGCGGGGGTGGGGGGTGTGGTGGTAGGCTCACACTTCAGCACTCGAGTGAAGAATCCTGTACCTGAGTGCCAAGCACTTTTGTGTGTTCCGGGCTCACCTCCGCCTGAGAGAGGCAGAGTACCCCCTGCAGCCATGTGCACAGACCTCAGCATCACCATAAGGACTATCCTTTTACAGATGAAAGAGCCAAGCCTCCAAGATGGCCAGGTCACACGACAGCAAAGTGTCTGCATGCCACTGATCCTGAAGGCTCCCTTGCCTGTGGTTCCCATTAAATGAGTCCCTTGCACGCTTTTCCTCGAGGGCCTGGCCTTTCACTTGTTGGGACAGTACGAGCTAAGTGGGGCTCCAGCTGGCCCCCAGCTGCTCAGGCAGGGTAACACTAGTCCTCACTGAGGGTGGAGGGGTGCCGCCACTCGGGTGTGTAGCCTTGGGAACGGGCTATGCTCTTTCCCTCTCACCTGGTGCTCAATCCCAATGGGGGGCTCTTCCCAGCCCTCCTCAGAGCCCCACAGGAACCGAAGGGCATCCATGGCCTCCTGGTGCTGATGTTGAGTCAGGAGGAATCGTGGGGTCTCAGGCATACAGCACATGAGCAACAGCATGAGGGTGGGGGGCACACAGCCCAGCACGGCCAGCCAGCGCCACTCTAGGACCCAGCCTGCAACAGCAGATGTCAGAGCCAGGGTGAGCCAGCCCTGGGACTTGCTCCAAGTAAGCACATCACAGCCTCTGCCAGCACCTTCATGTTGGTTAAAGAGACTTGCTACTAGGAATGTTCCATCAGGACATCATTAAGTGACATCTATTAAGGAAAATACAGATGGATTGCACATAAGATGTAACCAGCTAAAAGATGCCCATTGCTAAGTCATGTCCTGTAGCCATGGTAACATATCAGTGTACTGCAATGGTGATGCTGATGTAAACCAAATGCTGTGATCTCAGTCATGTCAAGGCATGGATACTGCAAAACACTTGACAATGGGCTGGTACTGTTTTGATGTATCTACTACATTATACTTATCTGTGTGAGTGTGTGCGTGTATGCATGAATGTGGAAGCCAGACGATTGTCTGTTGCTGTCCACCATATTCCCTAGACAGGGTCTTCCATTGAACCTGGAGGTAGGCTGTGGTCAGTTGGCCCTAGCATTCTCCTTTCTCTGCTCTGCCACAGCACAGGAGTTACAGGAACTCATGGCCACACTTAGCTTTTTATGTGGGCTCTGCGGATTTGAACTCTCGTCTTCAAGCTTTGACAGCAAGCTCTTCTGAACTTTTTCTACTTGCTGAACTATTTCCCAAGCCCTATGTTATACTTTAATCATAATTTTATTATATTATTCAACTGCCTTGTTGTATGTGTGGTAGTGAATGAGAATGGTCCACTCCAGTTGGCGGAACTGTTTGGGAAGCAGTAGGAGGTGTAGCCCCAGGGGAGGAGGTGTGTCAATGGGGACAAGCTTTGAGATGTAAAAAGTCCTTGCCATTCCCAGTTAGTTAGTTCTCTGCCACTGGTCCAGTACTATGCTTTCCTGCCTTACCTGCCTACCACCATGTTCCCCAACATGACGCTTATGGCTCTCTGGAACCATACACTTCAAATTAAATGTTTACTTTTATAAGTTGTCATGATCATGGTGTTTTGTATAAAACTAAAAAGAAAGAAAGTGCATGCCTGATGCATGGTACAGCATGTGTGTGGAGGTTAGAGGACAGCCTGAAGGAGTCAGTGTGCTTTAGCAATGAGGCTCCATTAATAGTTGTTTCAAAGTCTTATGACTGAGGCATTATTGTTCCCACCATGTCACTTATTACAGTCACCTCATACCAGGGGGTCAAGAGGAAAGAACCAGATCAATGCAAGGCAGTGTGATGAAGATGCATTGGAGGCAACATTGGAGTTGCAGGACACTGACTGTCTCCACACCAGAGTCAACATCTGTGCCTAGTAGGGGCCCTGACTCACTGCAGGGCTCCTGAGGCAGCCAGGCTGCAGGGAAGACACCAAAGAGCCAGGACAATAAAGGAGTTAAAAATGATGGAGATTACTGTGGGATCCACTGTGAAGATCCAGTATGTATATCTCAAGCTAGGTATACCATAGCCTATCAGCCACCCCCCAACCCCCCATGGCTCTGACGCCATCTTTTAACAGTTTTTACTAGGGATCAGGTACTTTCCATATGCTATTACTCTCCTGGCCCTGGACATTTCGTGTGGGTGTGTCAGGCTTGAAGGTTGTTCTCTTTCCACCCATTCCTAATGAGGAGACAATTCCTGAAACCCCTTAGGTCTCTGGGAACAAGCCACCTTCAGGTGACATTCTGCTGACTGTGAACTCAGTGATAACATGCTGAAATTCCAGTTCCCCCAGTGAGGGAGCTAAAGTGGAACGCTCTCCTGAGTCCCTCCACAGTGCGGTGGGCTTTTAGGACAATGAAGACACCACTAATTCTCCCTGGTGTTCAGTTACCACACACACTTACACCAAGTTCCCAGGAGTGTGACTGAGAACCTGGCGCCTTGGCTAGTAGCCCCAGGCAAACTTCTGCCCTCTGTAAACCTGTTTTCAAAGTGGCCATGTAACCATTAATGGGGTTCAAAATACAGCAAGCAAATCTACCTGCCACATAGGCCAAAAGGATGCCGGTGACAACCATCAACTGCACACAGGAGCCGAGCAGTCCCCGGATGGCTGGGTAGGCAATTTCCGAGATATAGACCTGTGGAGGTGAGACTTCACTTGGGATCTTTAAACAGAAGAGTCTAACCACACTGCGGCAGGTGACATCCTCATCTTCTGCAGATTTGTAAAGAGCATTGTGGGTAATAGTTGCTGCTGTGTGTGGGCAAGAGGAAAGAGTGCACACAGCTTCTTTACACTCATTTGAGATAGAGTTTCATGAAGCCCAGGCTAGCCTCCAATGAGCTGAGGATAACAATAAATTGCTGATCTTTATGTATTTACCCCTCAAGTCCTGGGATTACTGGCATGTGCCACCAGGTGGAGCCCAGTACACATTTAATATGCACAAATATGAGTTAGAACAAAAAGACTTCTCCCTTGCTGGCCAGCTTCAGGTGCTTTGCGGGACACTGAAAGTGCCCTTGTCCAGCCTAATCCTACCAGAGGCTGCCATCACTTCAAAGCTAGGTGTCATCCATACTTCTAGATTCTTCCATACCTTATGCCATGAACCAGTCTAAAAAAAAAAAAAAAAAAAAAAAAAAAAGCTTCCCTCTCCTGTAGCTCTTTCACACCTCCAACAGGTGCAGTGAATGCCCATGAGGCCAGAATTGGGGAAGAGATGGGTGTCATCCAAGTCTGTGGCTGCTGGTTGCTGGTGATCTCAGTTACCAGGGCCCAAATCTTTCCAGAGCCCATGCCTGAACCAGCAGCTTCCTGTGCAAAGGCCTCAAACCACCTCAGAAATAAGTCTTACTTCACAGGGGAGCGAAGCATGTGCCCAGGTAAATGATCCTGGCGTGTGGGCTGCAGTGTGTAGCCTTGGGTCAGGGGCTGCCTGCAAGCAGTGAAGGGAGCGAAAAGTCTGTTCCGGGGACAAACCAGATCTGCCCTGCTAACATGAAAATAGGGGGAATCTAGACATAACTGCTAAGCATACAGGGACAACTAATGCTGGGCGTGAGGCATCGCTTCACTGCTGACTTGCTGGCCCTTGCTTGGCAAAGGTCATCTAGGAGGCCCAAACCACTCACCGGTGCCACTAGTGAGGCGACTCCGCAAGCTAGGCCAGTGAGGAGGCGGCCTCCGAGCAGCATCGCCACGTCCCGGGCCGCAGTGATGACGGCAAAGCCGGTCACGAAGGGCACGGTGCACAGCAAGAGACTCAGCTTGCGCCCCGCACGGTCCACGAGCCAGCCGCCCAGTACGCCCCCTGCCGCAGCGCCCAGGGTCACGATGGCCTGGGGACCCGAACGGGCTGAGGAGGGGGCCACCAGAGACCATGGTCCACGATCCCTCCACCCCACGACCCGCAGCCTCAGAGGAAAGAAAATGAGGGGGACCCTGGGGTGCGGCGGAGAGTTGGGGTCCGGGGTTCCCCCGCGGGCTCACCCCAAACCAGGAGGCCGCACTGTCTCCGAGGCGCAGGGCGGGGGTCGCAGTGCGTCGCAGGCTGGGGATGGCGGGGGAGCTGTAGCCGAGCGCGAAGCCGAAGCTGAGCGGGCCCAGGGCGGCGGCGAAGGCGGCGAGGAAGACTCGGCGGCCGCGGGGAACACTGCGGGTACAAGGCGTGGCGTGAGCGGCGCCGCTGGACGTGAGGGAGAGGCCTCAGACCCTCGGGGTCCGCACCTGGCGTCCGGCGGCCGCAATAGCGGCAGCGTCTCCTCGGAGTCCTCGGGCGACATGCTGGCAGCAGCAGAGTGCCACCCGCGAACTGTCGCAGCCCGGGCGAGCGCGGCCTCGGCGGCAGGCGTGGCCAATGGGACGCTAGAGCCCACCCCCAATCAGAGCTGACCAATGGAAGCACAGAGCCGGTTGCGAGGCTCACTGCCCCGAACTTCGCTCCGGCGACCCAGGTGCCGGTTGGGGGAGGCTTATGTCCTCGCGCGTACGATTGTCCAATTAGAGTGTGGCGTGAGCCTGAAGGCGTGGCCATTAGGACTGAGCTAGCCAATGAAGATGGAGAAGATTGTTTAGGTTTTTTTTTTTTTTTTCCTTAACATCTATTGTGAGCCGGAGGTGACAGTGTGCCTGTGCAAGTCAGAAATAAACTTTTTCAAGTTGTTTTTCTCCTTCCACCACGTGGATTAGGTAGTGTGGATCGAACTGATGTCGTCAGGCTTGGGGACAAGCACCTTTACCAGCAGAGTCATCTCGGTGGCCCGTGTTTTGGTGGTTTCACATGTTTTTATTTTATATTTATTTATTTTGAGACAGGGTTTCTCTGTGTAACAGCTTCGGCTGTCCTGGAAATCACTGTAGACCGGGCTGGCCTCGAACGCACAGAGTTCCACTTGCCTCTGCCCCCTGAGTGGTGGGATTAAAGGCGAGCGCCACATAGCCCAACTGTTTTTATTCTTTATTTTGATTTTAAACTTTTTGTATTAACATTTTGCTTACATGTATGTATGTGTGGCCCCATTCGTGCCTGGTGTTTGCGGGGGCCAGAAGGTGGCATCAGATCCTGTGGAATTGGAGTTACAGATTGTTGAGAGCCACCCTGCACGGGTGTGCTTGGCACCTGGATTTTAGTTCTGTGCAAGAACAGGGGTTCCTAAGCTGTGAGCCATCCCCTCCAGGCCTTGTGTTTTTACTTTTATTTGTGTGTGTGTGTGTGTGTGTGTGTGTGTGTGTGTGTTTGTCTCTCAATCTAGCCTCTACTAATGAGGGAAGTAGTGGGTCAAAGATGAAGCATGTCGGCTGGGGTAAGACTTCCCATCTTTACTACATAACAGTTCCCTAGAATATGGTCAGCCATTTCTCCCCAACCTTGCTTGACTTCTGCCTCAGAGAGCCTCAGGGTGAAAAGTCTCCACACAGACTGTCTTGGGACACCTGTCCTTGGACTTTCTGAGACTGATTTGGTGCTTCTGGGGGCAGCTCACCTTCATCATGAGTGCTACAAAGTCTAGGCCCTGAGATGCTGAGGGCCCTGTCAGGTCCCCCACTCCAGAGGTGAGACAGAGTGGAACATAGAGATTCCCTTGTTCTCCCTGTGGTTGTCTGTTTAATTGCTACCCAACACTTTGTTGGGCACCGTTGGAGGTGTACATGTAATTCTGGAAAGAACCAGAGAGAGGCACCACTCAAATGCCTCAGTACAGTGACATTATTGCAGCCACCCAGTTTAGCAATCAGCATTTTCCAATCTTGATCACAAGACAATCTTTAAAGGCAGGAACCACCTGTTTGTGCTTCTACAACATCTCGTGCTTGGGTAATGAGTTCTTTCACTGCTTCATAACTGCATGCTCTCTTCTTTCCCAATGGGTGTTAGTCCCTTTGCACAGGAGGTGCTGGGTGTTTGCAGAGCAAAGGCCATGAGAAATTGCACCTAGACCATGTACTTTCTACCTGAGCCAGTGGCACAGCAGAGTGGCTCATGTCCAGATGTTGTTGCTAGAAAAGCCTCACTCCTTTTATGATCAAATCACTACATCTGAATCGGGTCCCTCTGTTGCCTCCTCTGCATTTCTCATAACCTTGTCTTTTACCCTGTCATAGTTGGCTTTATTACTGGAAAAATAAATACAGTCTTGGATTTTCTCCTGTTTCATTAAGATATAACAACCACAAAAGGGAAAAAATAAAGATTCAAGCTCATTAATTGGTATAACACGAAAAATAGCAGCCAGAAGCCAGATGTGTATTACACCTTCCCCACACTCAGTGCCTGAGAGGTAGAAGTGGGAGAGTGAACAGTACCATGCCAGCCTTGGATGCATGAGACTGTCTCCCCTCCCTTCCCCTCCTCATAAAACAAAACAGCCCCAACTGACATGAAGCACTCAGCCCGCCTATGTGAGGCACACAGGGCAGAGAGCGACAGAGTTCCCGGAGGCTAAGAGAATACAAGGTTCAAATCATCAACTTTCAGCATCTCAGTTTCCTTACCTCAGGTGATAGGGCTGGAGATGGCTCAGTTGGTACAATGCTGCCCTTGCAAGCACGAGAACCTGGGTTTGGCTCCAGTGTTCTTGCAAAAGCTGGGAGTAGTGGTGCATGTCCATAACTTTAGCACAGAGGATGTACATACAAGTTGTTCCTGGGGCTCACTGGTCATCAAGCTTAGCTTAACCAGTGATTTCTGCCAGATTCTAATGACAAAAAACCAAGTGTATGACTCATGAGAAATAGCATCTGGAGCTGACATCTAGCCTCCTCAAGCCTCCAACTCCTGAAAAGCCAAAACAAACGTAATAAAACTGTTGGTGGGTTTAAGATGTAGCATGAGGTTGTCTCTAAAGCTACAGATGATTCATGTAGGCACTTTTGGTTCCATGAAGTACATGAACTGTTGTGCAGAAGGGGAGGGGAGGGGAGTCCTTATGGCCTGCCAGGAGGAAGGAGCCAAGACTCTAACCTTAGACACCATGACGCCAGAACCCCTTCACAGCTGCTTCCTCTTGGGCTCGATGGAGTTTCTTTCCATGGACCACGCGGGGCATGAAGGGGAATCCACTGCTAACCCAAAGGTGAGCTCTGGGCCAGGCCTGCTATTTCACAATTTCATTTGTATCTGGCTCAGCTCACACCACTTCCTGCTCACTTTTCAGAGCTGGGATAGGCATTTTAAAAATCAGATTTATTCCTTGTATAAGTGTTTTACATGCATGCATGTATGTGCACCATGTGTGTGCCTCCTGTCCTTGGACATCAGAAGAGTGCACTGGATCCTTTGGAACTGTAGATAGAAATGGTTGTGAGATACCACGTGGGTGCTGGGAATCAAACCAGAGCCCTCTGCGAGAACAAGTGCTCTTAGCCACTGAGGCATCTCTCCAGCCTCTGCCTCTTTATCTCAACACTCTGTAAGAGGAGGGGACAGCACTGGGTTCATATGAAAGAGCCAGACAGGGACTGGGGACACAGCTCAGCAGCAGAGCCTGTCAGCCTACTGTGTGTAAGGCTTTGGGGACCACACCCAACACTGCAAAACAAAACAAAAATGGTGGGCACCCTCAAGGGAGGGAATCTGAAAACTCGGGATCACAGTCACAAGATGAATATATCCTAAGACTTTGCAGTGCCCTTGAGATCAAAGGAGGGGGAAGCAGGAGGCTTCCTCCATCTTTGTCGGGTCTCCAGGAAGGAGTACAGGGGCCCCACCCCAGTGAACACAGGCAGCAACAGGGCCAAGGTGCATAAAGAAAACTTATTTATAGCAAAATTAAAAAGCAGCGTCTTTTCTTCATAAAAGAAGCATAGTATGTGACATAAGTCATAACTTACAAAAAATAATTTCCATCTAAATCTATAAAATATAAGAGAAGGGTGCAGTGAATAAGAATGAACATTTTTGATTTATTCAAAGTTTTGATCTAAAATTTCAATGAAATCTATCACCTTTATTACAAGGGAACTGATGGTTAGTTCTTAATGGGAAGAAACAAGGGTTAAGAAAGAGGGCACTGGACACTGGAGAGTGACCCAAACTGGCTGAGGGTGCAGGAGGTTTGGTCCAATAGATCATTGCCTGGTTGAAGACGTATTTTGTTGGGACAGGATGTTGGAGCTGTTTAAACAGTATAAACCTGCATAAGAAAACTAAGGATGGCCAACGAGACAGGGACTCTATTTCAGATCAATGATGTCTTCCTCTGAGGAGGCCATGAGCTGGAAGGGGCTGCTGCCTGAGCCTGAGCTGCCCTCTTTGTCCACGACAGGGTCCTGGTCAGAGCTTGCCGAATGGTTCCGGCCCTCAGCATTGGCTTCAGAAGCAGAAGGACTTTCCAAAACTGATGGGATCCTGCAAGAGAGAAGCCACTGTCAAGGGCTCTGTGGGCAGGCCTTGGAACTGGCATCGTTGCTGCCTTCAGTTCTCTTGGGCTCAGTGTATCTACCATGGGATGAGAGGAGGAAGCACGGTTTCACTTCTCAGAGAGCTTGTGATTCCACAGATGCCCCGGGGCCTTGGAAGGGCCTGGCCCTGCTCTGCCTACTCGACCTCCTGCCGCCTCTCTAACATTTGGTCAATCCTGTCCTCCTGCGTTTCTGGCCATGCTGCCTGCTCAGAGCAATTTCTCAAGAGTCCCTGCTATCTCAGGCACGATTCCCCTTTTCTTATTGGTTTTCTTTTTTCTTCCTTTTTTTAAAAAATAGTATTACTGTTCATTTATTTGCCCTTTTCTGTCACATCACCTTAATTCCACCCTCTTTCTTTTTTTAAATTTATTATTTTTTCTTATTTTACATATCGTTCCCAGTTCCCTCTTCCTCCCTCCCATGTCCCCCGCACCCAACTCCACAGGGAGGGTGAGGCCTTCCAGGAGGGATCATCTCTTTTTGGTTCTCAAGACGGGAACAGGCTGTTCCCCCATCTTATCTTCATCCCAAGCCAGCCCTGTGCTAGACTCTCCCTTGACATCCTATCAAAGTGGATCTTCTGTCTGCCATTTTATCATTTATTATTATTGTTTTTTTTAAAAAAGATTTGCCAGTTGGTGGTGGCGCACACCTTTAATCTTAGCACTCAGGAGGCAGAGACAGGCAGATCTCTTTGGGCTGGAGGCTGCTTGGCCTACAGAGCGAGTTCCAGGACAGCCAGGGCTACACAGAGAAACCCTGTCTTCCAGGACAGCCAGGGTGGTTACACAAAGAAACTCTGACTCAATATCAAACAAATAAAAACGTTTTAAAAACCAGGCTTATTTTGGTTTTATGAACATGGATACTTTGTCTGCATGTATGTCTGTGTACTATGTGTATCCCTGTGCTCTCAGAGGCTAAAAGAGGGTATTAGATCCTCTAGAACTGGAGTTACAGTGAGTACTGGGAATTGAACTTGGGTCCTCTACAAGATCAAACAATGAATGCTCTTTACTGCTAAGTTGTCTTTCCAGCCTCTTATTATTATTATTGTGAGACCGGGTCAGTCTGGCCTTGAACTTACAGTGATTCTCCTGTCTCTATTCCAGGCCTGAACCATTATGTTCAGCCACTTAGGTTTTTTAAATTCATTTTTATTTTATGTGCATTGTTGTTTTCCTGTATGTATGTCTATGTGAGGATGTTGGATCCTGGAGTTATAGACAGTTGTGAGTGGCCATATGGGACCTCTGGAAGAGTAGGCTCTTAACTGCTCAGCTATTTCTCCAGACCCTTATTTTTATTTTTGATATTTTGAGACAGGGTTTCATTTTGTATCTCTGGCTGGCCTGAAACTCATTATGTAGACCAGACTGGCTTTGAACTCAAGAGATCTGCCTTTGTCTTCCTGAGTGATGCGATTTACAACAATCTGGTTCTCCCTTAATTATTTAATATTTATTTTATGTACATAATCGTTTACCTGCATGCATATCTGTATCTGGCACCATTTGAGTGCCTGGTGCCCACAGAGACCAGAAGAAGGCATTGGATTTCCTTAAACTGGAGTTACAGATGGTTGTGAATAGCCATGTGGGTGTTGGGAACTTGGGCCCTCTGTAAGAGCAGCCCGTGCTCTTAGCAACAGTCATCTCTCCAGCCCCCTTAACTCTACAGCACACTGTGGTTGTTTGAGATGGTCTGTATCTTTACAGCTAGATCTGTTTCTCCAAGAGAGGCTGGAGCATGAGGCTATAGTGAGATATCCACCCCACCCACATCTGTTGCACTGACCATGCCCATTGGGGGGCGGAGGGACAGGTGTGGGCATGATCTGTGGGGGCTAGGTCTGGGGTCCCGGACCTTGGCTTGCTCTCTTACTTCCTGATTGGAGACAGAAAGCATCTGAAGGCATCCTTGGACCAGGAACCTATGGCAGTCATCTGGTTCTGGTGTAAGTGATTTCTCCCCAAATAAACATCCATCAGCCAATATTGTGCCCCTGAATCTTATTTCCCACGCAATACGAGGCCACTGGCTCTTCCCGGCCATGCAGGCTCTGAGACCCTCTGCTCAGATGGCAGGACACTTTTCGATGTCTGTATCATCTGCCACTCTGCCATGCAGCAATGGCTGGTGCTTAATGGCTTATGGACCCTATGAATGTCCTTCTGGTTCAGTGCTGAGTGCAAGGGTATACTTGGCACAGGTGTCCCATTACTCTCCAAAAGGGCACATGTGCTGTGAGGCAACAAGCATCTACTCTCATGTGCTATACTGCCATTCAGAAGGGCTCTCCCTGTTTACAGGGCCACCAGTTCTGGAAAGTGGCTCACCCTAAACTTGTATTAAGTAATCTTGTTTTTGTGTGTCGTCATCAAACTAGTGAGCCCAAATTAGTCTCTTAGGAAAGAGATCAGTAGGGACAAGAGAGAGTAATGTACGTACATATGTACGTACGTGTGTGTGTGTGTGTGTGTGTGTGTGAGAGAGAGAGAGAGAGAGAGAGAAACTATGATTAAAATACATTTACATATGTGTTAACAGTTTCTTTCTAGAGATGGGTATGGTGGCACACACCTTTAATCCCAGCCTTCAGGAAACAAGCAGATGGATCTTTGTGAGTCTAAGGCAGCCTGGTCTACAGAGTGAGTTCGAGGTTAGCCAGGGCTACACAGAGAAACTTTGTCTAAAAAGTGCTTTTCTCTATTATTTCCTATACATGTGTGTGTACATGCATGTGTGTAGGTGTTGTGCAAGGCTATAGCTGAGCTGTCTCTAGCCCCTCTGAATATATTTTAGTGGACATTAGCTTGTTGCTGGTGACAGTGTCCTCTTGTCTCAGCCCCATCATGGCAGCTGTCCTCTCTGGGACCCTCAGTGTGGGGCTGGTACTGACCCTGTAGGGTCCAGGCCAGTGGCATGCTGGCACTCACTGGGTGACCATGGACCAAGGGCTTCTTTTTACCTGTCACTGCTAGCTGACCTCACAGCCTCTGGCTTGGGGTCTCCTTGGCTTTCTTCCAACCGCTTCCGGCTTTTTGATTTGGCCCTTGGTGCTCCCTCTGATCTGGGTCCCCCATCATCAGAGAGACCTGCATTACAGACGAGAATCAGAGGTCAGGGGTCATTACCACAGGGGACAGAAAATGCCTTTTTCATTCTTTAAAAATCCTTTGAGAATTTCATTTGGACACGTGATGTGTTCTGACCGTATCCACCCTGCTTCCCCTCCAGCTTTCCTGCCCCTTGATCCTTACTGGCACATTGCTAGGCTTGTCACAGTAGCAAAGATGACAGAGGTTTTCCCATTGATGAAGTCTTTTCTCTCTGACTATAAAGTGTATATAAACTGCAACATACACACACACTCTCAGAGAAGTGGCAAAGTCCCTAAAATCCAAAAGGGTTCACCCAAGCTGCCTGTTCCCTCCCTTAACACAGTTTGGTTAGCTTTCTGTCCATTATTGGTGGGAAACGGTCCAATATTCTCTAGCATAGATGTAATTATTATTAATGAATTTAAAAATCTCTTCTGAAAGTTTCTTTAATTTTTTATTACATTTATTTGTGTTATGTATATATGGGTGCTTGTATGTAATGATGATGATGGTGGTGGTGGTATGTGGGTGTGGTGGTGTGTGGATGTAGTGGTGGTGTGTGATGGTGTGTGGATGTAGTGGTGGTGTGTGATGGTGTGTGGGTATGCGGGTGTGGTGGTGTGTAGGTGTGGTGGTGTGTGGTAGTAGTGTGCGGTATGGTGGTGTGTGGTGGTGGTGTGTGGGTGTGGTGGTGTGTGGGTGTGGTGGTGGTGTGTGGGTGTGGTGGTGTGGTGGTGTGCGGGTGTGTGGGTATGGTGGGTGTGGTGGTGTGCGGGTGTGTGGGTATGGTGGTGTGTGGGTGTGGTGGTGTGCGGGTGTGCGGGTGTGTAGGTGTGGTGGTGTGTGGGTGTGGTGGTGTGCGGGTGTGGTGGTGTGGTAGGTGTGGTGTGTGGGTGTGGTGGTGTGCGGGTGTGTGGGTATGGTGTGTGGGTGTGGTGGTGTGTGGGTGTGGTGGTGTGCGGGTGTGTAGGTGTGGTGGTGTGCGGGTGTGGTGGTGTGGTAGGTGTGGTGTGTAGGTGTGGTGGTGTGCGGGTGTGTGGGTGTGGTGGTGTGTGGGTATGGTGGGTATGGTGGGTGTGGTGGTGGTGGTGTGCGAGTGTGTGTAGATGAGAGAACAATTTGAGGGAGTTAGTTCTCACCTTCAACCATGTGTGTCCTGGGCTCAAACTCAGGTTGGCAAGCTTGACAGCAAGTGCTTGTAACCTCTGAGTCATCTTGCTGGCCCCAAGTTTCTCTTTTAACCTCCAGGTTTTGAAAATGACAAATGTCCAAAGATAAAACCCGGCTGGTCTATTTACAAGCCATGGAAACAACTCCTGGCAGCTGTTATTACCTAGAAGTTCCCTGCGGGTCCTGCTTGCTATTTCTTTAATTTCCATACGAGATAGGGACAAGGAATGAGTGACAGGAATGGCAGCAATGCCAAGGCCGATGGAGGTGGGCGGGGTGATGACCTTGGTGACTAAGGGTGATTTCAGAGGCCGTTCAATGCTTCTGCCCACAAGGTTTCTAAGCGGAATCCTGTACAGGTTTTTTGACTGAATTTCACCTGAAACACAATTTAGAGAAGACCAGAATGTTAGGCTCATGCTATTTACAACAGGACAGTTTCTTGATTTAAGAGTTTTAAGTTACATTTATTGAGTGTGTGTGTGCATGTGTCCATGTATGGAGGTTAGGAGACAACTTGCAGGTCTCGCTTCTTTCCTTCCACCAGTGGGGCTCAGGGATCGAACTCAGGCATCAGGTCTGATGGCAAGTGACTTTACCCACTGAACCATCTTGCTGGCCTGGAAATAGTCTTTTGTACCTTAATGTAATTATGTAATATAATTAGCATGAAGAAAGATTTTCTGTCACATGCTGATGATACCTAATGGCTTTGTGTTCCCAAAGACTTTCTCTTTTGAGTGAAATTAATAGAATACAGTTGCTCCCAGTTGTGCTTATCCAGGAAAACTAGGAGAGACAAGGAGAGCAAGGAACTGTCTACCTGGGACACTCATCTTAACAATGAGTGGTAAAGATGACTGACAGGCAAGAATTAGGAGAAATGCTGTTCGTGGCCCCACAGGAGTGTGGCAAAGGCCTCTGGGAGCATGTGCAAAGCAGAGTGACACCTGAGGCCTCTGGGCTGCAGATTCATCTGTGAAACACACTAGCACTGTTACCCCCAGAGGAGAAACACAGGATGCTGCCGCTGGATGGCTTTGGCTTATTTGGCTTTGGCCCACTGAATGCATTCTTACATGAGATTTCTCCTATTTTTGTTTGTTTGGGGTGTATGTGTACATACATATATGGGGGCCAGAGGTCTACATCAGGTGTCTCCATTTTTGAGACAAGGCTTCTCACAGAACCTGGAACTTGCTAGACTTGCTAATCAGCTACCCCAGGGATCCTCTTGATCCCAGCACTGGGCTTATGAGTGTACAGGACTGTGCCTGACTCTATTTGGGTGCTTGGGATCTAAGATCAGGTCCTCATGCTTGTATGAGCCATCATTCAGCTGTTTGTCTTTCTTTTCTTTTTAAAAATATTTTAATTATTAATAATAATATATTATTATTATTTTGACACAGAGTTTCTCTATGCAGCCCTGGCTGTCCTGGAACTCCATATTGAAACCAGGCTGGCCTTGAACTCACAGAGAACTCACACCTGCCTCTGCCTCTTGAGTAATGGAAATAAGGCATGCACCATTGTGTCTGGTTTTTATTATTATTATTTTACCAATTCAAAGAACAAAGTTAGTTTCTTTCTTTCTTTCTTTATTTTGGATTTTTAAGACAGGGTTTCTTTGAGTAGTCCTGGCTGTCCTGGAACTCACTCTGTAGACCTGGGTGACTTCTAATTCACAGAGATCCTCCTGCTTCTGCCTCTCACATGTTAAGATTAAAGGCATGCGTTTGTTTGTTTTTGAGACAGGTCTTCCCACCTAGTCCAGGCTGGCTCTGAATGTGGGATCCTGTCCCACTTGACCTCACAAGTGTTGAGAGTGCAACCACGCAAGTTCTCTTTTACTGGCTTTAAACAGTAACTACTTCAACAACTTCAACTACACTCTGAGACTGCTAACAAAGTTAAACCAGTCAGGGAGTAGGTCAATGCTAGCTGACTGGAATTAGCAATAGAGATTTTAGAGGAACCAGATATGGTAAGACAGAGAAGCTCAGGGAAGAGTAGGGAGGGGCTTAGAAAGATTTGAGGGCCTTTACCATCTGGGAAGTGTGTGGAGAGAGGGTCAGCTGGTAATTCCTCTGTTGCTTTCTTGATTATCAGGTTTTTACCCTAATATCTTATTCCTGAGTTTTTTAAATTTATTTTTTCTGAATTCTTATTAATAGAACAATTTAGATAAGTGCTTCACTTTTTTTTGGGGGGGGGACAGGGTCTCTCTGCATAGCCCTGGTTGTTCTGGAACTATGTAGACCAGACTGGCCTAGAACTCACAGAGATCTGCCTGTCTTTGCCTCTTGAGTGCTGGGCTAAAGACGTGTGGCACTATGCCTGATCTGAATAGTAACTTCCTTAGCAATGATTTTGTCCAGCTCTGGCAGTAAGCCAAAGAAATCATGATCTAAGGTGTTGATTAATAAGGCAGTAAAAGTTGAACTTCACCTTCCCCCAGGGAAGAAGGAAATAGCGGAGTGTCCCGGGCCGGAGGTGTCTGAGGAGACGTGTGGGCACTGGCCCCCTTGGAGCTGCCTTCAGATGAGCCCTCATGTGCAGCCGTGGCTGCTGTGAAGTATATGTCTGACTGGAAAGAAAGAAGAAGTGTTACCAGCTGCCTTGCATTCCAGGCTCTGCCCCCACTGGCCTTCTTGTACCACTGCCAAGACTGACTGGTTCCCAGGCTTGCAGGAGACTTCCTGCCCTCTTCAGAGCATGCAGTGAAGACCTGGGTTTCATCCAGCTAGAGTTTCCCAGGGATTTGCTTTCCTTATCTCTGTACTGACCTATACTACGAAAGAGTCACTCACCACACATATGCAAACCCAACACAATGCACACACTTCCCTCAGGAGGCTCAGAGCTGGGACAGACCTCAGGGATTCAGTTGGGCCCATTCTCCAGGAGCGAAATATGGATGTTCACCTCACGGAGTCAGCATGCCATGTTCTGACTTTGACAACGATAGCAGTGGGACATTACATGTGTTTTTGAGAGCCAACTCTCAGGAATTTTGCAAGCCAGATTTTAAACATGGTCATCATTAAAAATTAAAAGGTATAGTTTAGCTTTGTGTGTGTGGTGTTTATCCATATGTATACAATATGCATGTCTGTATACCTGCATGGAGGCCACAGGAGAAGGCCAGGAGTCCCGCTCCATCACTCCCTACCTTACTTCCTTAAGGCAGGGTCTCTCACTGGACCTGGAGCTAGGCTAGTGGCCAGTAAGTCCTAGCAATTCTCCTGTCTCTGTTCCTCACAGCACTAGAGTCCCAGGCATACATGTGAACACTTCCATATTTTTATATGGGTTGTGAAATCAGATCCTCATCTTGCTCTGCAAGCAATTTTAACTAATGAGCCATCTCTCCAGGACAAATGATATAAACTTAAATATGTTAGAGGCAAAGATCTTCAACAACATTCTTAATTATTTGGCTACATTTACTATGATTTAGGAGCCTCTGCCTGGCTCCTTCTGACTCTTGTGTCAGCCACATCCAATGGCAGACATTGGTGAGTGCTACCAGTAAGAGCTTGGATAAAATTGTGTTGAGTCTAGGGCTGCAGCTAGAGTAAGTTCTGGTTTAAGAGGTATGCTTTGTTTCTGGTGAGAAATATTTAAAAACTTTAATTGTGTGTGTGTGTGTGTGTGCATGTGTGCCTGAGTCTACAACTATAAACACATACATACAGGAGATCAAGGAGGTCAGAAGGGCTGGATCCCCTGGAACAGACATTGTAAGCCACCACATGGGTGCTGGGAATTGAACCTGGTCCTTCTGCAAGAATACTAAGGGAACTTAATTCATGAGTTATCTCTCCAGCCCAGAAAAATAGTTTAACACTCAATTATGTGCTAGATATTTTTTATTTTGAGACAAAGTCTTACTTTGCATCCCAGGCTATTTTGGAACTCACTATGTAGTCCAGACTAGCCCCAAATTCATAGCAATTCTCGTAATAGCCTTACAAGTGCTGAGCTTACAGATGTGAGCCACACACCTGGCTACATGACAATTTCTTGACATAAACCTACTGGAACGATAATGAATAGATTGAAGTAGAACTGCAGCTTAGGGTCGAGTTGAACCTGTGGTTTAGTTATTGACTCAGGTCTCAGCAAAAATTAAAAGGTGAGTGGTTATGGGTTTCATGAAGATGAACATAATAATCTGTACACTAAAGCTATATTAGTAAACTTAAAAGTCAATGAACACATACATACACACATATTTTAAACATACATATTTTGGGAACACTGCTATATTCTGGGGCTGTCACTAGGGAGGACAGCATGGGCTCTGTGCTCACAACTGACAGTGTAACAGGGAGACAGGAGTAGCTGCCTCCAACCAGCATGATTAAGACTAAGACTGAGAAGGGGCCATAGGGAATGAGGCAGCGGCGCTATCCTGACCTGGCAGGGTGAGAGGGGCCTTTGACGGGTTCACTCACAGTGGGACCACTAGACAAAGATACCCTGTGAGGTCACCCGTTTTCTGGCTATTAGCTATGGTTAGTTGGTGACCTATAGTTCACAGGAAAAAAACTCAAATTGAAGCTGGATAGTGATCATAGAGGAAAGTGTGGGCTCAGTGAGCAAAGGCACTTGCCACCAAGCCTGACAACCTGAATTTCATATCTGGGACTCACAAGGTGAAGGAAGAAGCTGACTCAGGCAGGTTATCCCCTGACTTCAATGCGTGTGCTATGCACAAACACAATACACAGTCACAGACAGACAGACACAGTCATACACACACACACACACACAGACAGACACACACAGACAGACAAACAGACACAAGCAGACAGACAGAGACAGACACACACAGCACAAGTAAGGATTAAGAGAAGGTATTATTACACAGTGTTCTCAAGCTGCCACTGGACCATTTTGTGCAGTTGGCTCTGACCTTCCATTTTACATGCTGAGCCATCCCACCATCCCTCCGAGGGCGCACATGAAAACCCCACTGATCAGTCTTGCCAGCACCTCCACCTCCCCCTGTCCTGGTGTGATAAACAGCTCACCTGACACCTCTGTGGGCTAAGACCACATAACTGCATTCCACTCACCCTGGAGGCCACGAGCTGCAGCTGTGGTACAACTGCCGTGTGGACCAGGTTCCCATTCACCACCAGGCGGATCTCCATGGAGTCTGTGGTGAAGGCCAGGAGGTACGGGAAGGCGCAGACTGCAAGGGAACAGATGGGCCTTTTGGCTAGGTGGCTGCACTTGCTCAGTAATCTTCACCACTCTAGAAACTTCCATCCCTCCCATTCCCCCATCTGCGTCACATGGGTGGGCCTGCCTCTGAGGTGTGCACTCTAACCTGCTGTCATGGATACGTCCCTGTCTGATGCCCATTACCTGGTCTTCTGGGGCTCAGCTGCCCAGTCCTGTGGGACTTTGCCCACATTCTCCAGTCTACAGCTTGACACCCCTTTAGCATGTGACAGCTGCCTAGAAACCTTCCTTTTCCTTCCTGGTCAGCCCTCGTGTCTCCAGCACGATCACCTGATGGGGGATGTCCTTCTGCATATATATATGTTTCTCTTATTCTTTGATTAATAAAACACTGATTGGCCACTAGCCAGGCAGGAAATATAGGCAAGACTATGAGATGAGGAGAATTCTGGGGAGAGGAGGCAGAGAAAGGCTGCAAGGAGATGCCATGTAGTAGAGGAAGGAGTAACAGATCTGTACCCTTCTCCAGTAAGATAAGACCATGTGGAAATACTTAGTTAATAATTAAGAAAGAGAGAGCTAGCCAATAAGAAGCCTGAGCCATGGGCCAATTAATAAAAGTCTGTGCGTTTATTTGGGGCTTTAAACGGCTGGGACCAGGCTGGAAAGAAACTCCAGCAACAGTCACCCCTTCCCTGCACCCCTCTGGCCTTGTGTCATGGGCGGTAGCTGTGCCCTTCATAGGTGGGGCTCCTCCTGACAATGCTGTTACAACATGCTGACCTCTCACACCACAGCTAAGCTTCGATCACACCTGTGTGGGAGGATGAGCCTGGTCCTTCATTCATCGCTGTCCACTCTGACCTCTCTCTCAGTACAATGCATAGGTACTCTGAGGGTGTCCTTGGTGACTCACTCTGCTACATGATGCCTCTAGTCCTGATCTCTCCAGTGCTTGGCTCAGTTTCCATTCCTCCTTTTGGGCAATCTTGTCTGTCACCAGGCACTGACTTCAGGTCTGCTGTCTCAAAAATCTCTGATGTGGGTCTTGTAGCAGATAGGTGTTTGCTGTGATTATTATTATTTTTTTTTTAGACAAGTTGGCCTTGAACTTGCGAGGTGTTCCTGAACACCTTATGACCTCCTGCCTCTACTACGGTTATGCTAAGGTTCCAGGCCTGTGCTACCACAGCCTGCATGGCAGTGAGGAAAACAGTCTTAGCTGGAGTACTCTTGGCTTCAGGCGACTCTCTGTGATTCCATAAACAGGGCTTTTACTACTCATATCCTGGTATTTATTTTAAAAGATTTTATTCCCATTACTTGTAGAATAGAATCAAAGGCCTTGTGGATGCCAGGCAAGTACTGTTCCATGGGAACTTGATTGTCCTTTATTTTTTTTCTGAAACAGAGTTCCTCTGTGTAGCACTGGCTGGCCTTGAATTCATGGAGATCTGCTTGCTTCTGCCTTCGGAGTACCTGGGTTAAAGGCGTGAGTCATCACCGCCTGGTTTTGATTTTACTTTTTAAATTTATACTCAATGTGTATGTGCTGGTGGTGGGTGCACATGTGGAGGGCAGAGAACATGTAGGGACTGGTTCTCTCCTTCTACTGATGATCACTAGATATCAGATCATCATATTGCCAGCAAGTATCTCTGGCAACTGAGCCAGCTTGCCAGTCCTACACTAGCATTTAGTAGCAGGTATTTTGCTGGCCACTGAGGTTCTGGACTTTCAGTTTCAAGGCAGGTAAGAATAGCATTGATATCTGTGCTTCTCCCCGAGGGAGTCAATGTACTGGCTGGAGATCTGCCTTGTGAGGTTTAGAAAAGGCCTGCCTGGTACTGACAAATTATATTTAATTACTTTCAAGTGTCATGAGCTTAGGATCTGAGAAGAGCTATGGGGATATAAGAGTCTAAATGGGGAGCATAAAAATTAACCAACAGCAGAGTATCTGAAGAATGTTCATGCCCCAGAATGTGTGGTAGTTTTGGAGGAAGTCCTAGTTGCTTACTAGGCCCGCAGGTGGTCAGCCAGGGACAGGGTACCACAGAAAAGGGTTTCTTACCAATAGCATATGGAGCCTGGTTCCAACAGAACTGGAAATCTGATGCCGATGGTTGAAGCAAAAAAGAGCCACCATTAAAGGGGCAAACCTTTTTATAGATGCAACTGTCTGCAATGAAAACAACAGCAACTCATATTATTAGAGACCTAAATGGTTGTTAGACACCTAGATCCCTGCAGCCAGAGAAACAGGAAACTGGCCTCTAGAGTAGCATCCTCCCTGCTGGTTCTTTGTACCCAGGCTGGGCTTGAATTTGCAGCAATGGTATTGCCTGGGCTTCCCAAGTGCTGGGATTAGTCACTGAACCCAGCTCTCTCTGCTAGGCCATTATAAACAGCCATTGCCAATACCTGGGCCAAATGGTGAGAGTTATGAGGCAGTTGTGGCAAGAATAACATTGTTACCATGTGTGCTAACAGCTTGGAGCTTTGAGAAGACTGCCCATTTAATCTGTTTGGCTTCAGAAAGTAGATGCTGTTACCTTGTAAGCACACTTTGTAGATGAACTTGAGGTTGGGATGGGTGAGGCAGTCTGTCCTGAGTTTCAAAGCTCTACCAGGGGTCGAATGTTTGAATGAAGCTAGGCTGGGCTACAGAGCCCACATGTTTCCTACCTATGCTGTATCATCATGCCAGAGAAAGATTCAGAATGGGCAGCCCAAGGTAAGTCACTCTTGAGCCTCACACACTAACAAGCATAGCAGGAGTCGCATATGCCCTTTGTGATGGCTGTTCTTGGTTGTCAACTTGACTATGTCTGGAATGAACTAAAACCCAAATGACTGAGCACACATGTGAGGGACTTTTGCTTAATCATTTGAAGTGGGAAGATCTACTTCTAACCTGGATCTTTGATGTGGGAAGACAAACCTCTAATGTGGATCACACCTGTTGCAGCCTGTACAAGGACATGAAGAAAAAAGTTCTCTCTCTTTGCCTGCTGGCCCTCACTAGCAAGTACATTCCTTCACTGGCATTAGAGCCTACTTCTTTGAGATTCAGGTGTACACTGAAGACCAGCAGAGACATATAGCCTCATGGACTGAACAACTACTAGATTCTTGGACTTTCCATTCATAGACAGCCATTGTTGGATTAGCTGGACAACAGTCTGTAAGTCATTCTAATAAATTCCATATATGTGTGTGTGTGTACACATATACATATTATATAAGGTATACATATATAATACATAATAAGTGAGAGAGATATTCATTCTTTAAGTTCTGTTACTCTAGAGAATCCTGACCAATACACCCTCCTAACATGTTTCTAGAGAATCTGGACCATGAGTGTGTCCCTTGCTGAACTTCAGCTACATTAAGGCCAGTTTAATTCAGCTATCTAGTCCTGGTCTATTCTGACCTCTGAACATTAGTGTATGTGGTTCAGACCTTCACAAAGAAAGCTTTTGTAGGAAAAAGTCCCCTTTCATTATAGAAGCTGTTTATACCTTCCCACACACTTTAAGACGATGAAGATAAATCCCAGGGTGGCCTGGAACATATAACCTTCTTGACTCACTCTGTTGAGTACTGTGCTATCATGCCTGTCTTAAATCATTTTACTCAAAATTTTATTTATTTTTATTTTATGTGTATGATTGTTTTGTCTACATATATGCTTATATACTACATGTGTACCTGGTGCCTGTGGAGGCCAGAAGAGGACACCAGATCCCCTTAAACCACAGTCATAGATGATTGTGATCTGAACCTGGGTCCTCTATAAGAGCAGTACATGCTCTTAACCACTAAACCAGCTCTTCAGTCTGTTTTCAGTTTTTGTGGGGGGATGGGGTAGGATAGGGAGGGTCAGTTCTTACCCCATAGATCTTTTAAAAAATAAAATCTAGGACTGTCTCTTTCTGTGTCTGTCTCTCTTTCTCTAGGGTTTCTCTGTGTAACAGCCCTAGCTGTCCTGGCTGGCCTCAAACTGTCAAGAGACCCTCCTGTCTCTGCCTCCCGAGTCCTGGGATTAAAGGCTTGTGCCACCACCGCCAGGCTCAGGGATGCACTCTTAAGAGTCATTGTGTGGAAGAATGCTTGGCTAAAACTTGTGGATGAGTGTCTGCGGAATGACTCAGAGTGGGAGAGCTGGCTGCTTGCCTTCTCTGGGCTATTCCCTGTTAAGTCTTGGATTTTGAAGATGATACCTTCCAGACAAGTTTTTATGTTGATAACTGGGTTTCCCATATGAAATTTAAATTATTTATTAGAATATCTGATCTGATCTATGAGCTGCAACTACAATTGCTACTCTAGAAAAAAAAGAATGTTTTGTTTTGTTTTTTTAATTTTAGTTAAACCTTATCCAGGAAATGACCTTACTTCCATTTGTTTAAAAAATAACTTAAAAAAAAGATTTACTTATCTTATTTATGAGTGTTTTCCCCGAGTGTATGTCTGTGCACCACATGCAAGCCTGTGCCCTCGGGTCAGAAGAGGGAGTCGTGTGCCCTGGAACTGGAGTCACAGATGGTTGTAGTTGCTACTTGGGTGCTGGAAACTGAATCTGGGTTCTCTACAAGAGTGACAAATGCTGGTAATCCCTAGCCTTGTCTCCAGCCCACCCATTAACCCTTGAAATGCTGGAAGTTAGTAACTGAACATTTGCTCTACCCTGCTAGTGGACCCAAACTAACCTAACAGAGCTCAATTTAGGCTGATCTCATTAACAGTGGAAACACACACACACACACACACACACACACATACATACACACACACACACACACACACATAACACACACACAAAGTTATAGGCTAAAAGCCAGGCATGCTGGTGCACATCTTCAATGCCAGAACTTTGGAGGCAGAGGCAGAATGATCTCTGTGAATTAAAGGCCAGCCTTGTCAACAGAGAGAGTCCCAGGTCAGCCAGGGCAACAGTGAGACTCTGTTAAAAGAAAAGTTACAGGTTGAGAACCTGGGATCTATATTGACCCACATTGACCTACATTGACCTACATCGACCCACAATGACCTACTATCTGAGACTTTCTGAGTGCTGACAGGTGGAAAACCCAGACCTCACCTCATCTGATTGGTCACATCCCAAATTAGACACTCTTGCTGGGTATTCTGGAGTATGCCTTTTATTCCAGCACTTGGGAGGCAGAGGCAGGTAGATATTTGTGAGTTTAAGGCCAGTTTGGTCTACATATTGAGTCCCAGGATAGTCAGAACTATGTGAGAACCCATCTCAAAAAAAAAAAAAAAAAAAAAAAAAAAATTAAAACATTCAGATATTCTAAAAATAACAGCACAAACTTATGAAATTACTTTCTGGCCTTATGCAGGTGTATATGAATTGTAATGAATTTTGTGCTTAGACTTGGGTTCCATTTCCAGGATAAGAAGTTATATACATGGAACTATCCCAAAGTCTAAAAGTTACAAAATCTGAAACACTCTGGCCATCAACACTTCAGATGAGGGACATTCACCCTGTAGTAACAGAAGACAAAATCTGGTACTGGGGTCCACAGGGTCAGATACAGGCCCTGGCCCTATGCTGAGGGAGGCAGGTCACCTCTCCAAGCCTCCTCTGTCTTAGCTCCACATGAAGGAGAATAGCAGAGCCTGCTGTGGGCCACTGTGGATGAAAATCTGAATGACACAGTAAGGGCCTGATAGCTAGATGCCACCATCCTCATCCCACACCTGGAAGCAGGTACATGCTGGCAGCTCTGAGAGGTCTGGGACACGGCCAGAGGTGCAGGTAGGGATGTGGATTTTAGATGCTTCCTGGTGTGAAGATGTTCCCAGCAAGGTTCATCAGATCAGTCCAAGGGAGTAGGGAGATTCCATTCTATCACCCCCCAAAACAGGCTGTTTTGTGTACAAGCAGATGTCTCCCTGACTTACAGTTGTAGCATAGGAGCAGACCGGCTTCTCCATCTTCATACACATCAATAGCTGCAACAAAATTAACCTGCAATGATAACGGGATGGGGACACTCAGAAAAACCTCCTTAAGCTCTCAGTGTCTTAGCAGTGGCCCTCAGCCCTTGGAAACTAGGGTGCTGCAAGGGCATTTTTGTTTTACCAGCACCTACAGTGTCACCTGGGCCCAAGGTTACAAGAACCTGCAGATGTGAAACATCTTTGCTTCCTTTCCATTCTGGGTGGAACTTTCTCACCCATTTTCCTGCCCTTCTAGAAGGTCTGAATCCAGCCATGTTCCCAAATGCTCTTTGGGATGTTCAGGCTCACAGGGTTGTGGTGTCACACACTCCATTCGCACACTGACTCTCAAGGGACAGCACTGTGCCTGTCTCACACGAGATGAAAGAAGTCTATGAGGAGACTGAGCCCCTCAGATGTGGAGTACTCTTTTTCTGACACAAACCCTGTAACTTCAGTGAGGTTTCCTGCCTCCAACACATGGGGTCTCTTGGGTCATCCAGTATGTCACCATCTCTATCTCAGTCTTTCCCATAAAGGCAGTAGAATAGGTTTGCAATATACTTGACTCTGGGCTACCACTGGTCAGATTTGAGACAAGGGCTCAACCTGGGTTGTAGCCATTCCTTGTCCTTCTGGGGTCCAGGACCTCTGCCCTTTGACTACAGCTTCATGTGCTCCAGGCTAAGGAACATATAATATGATACAAATGCACAGCATATGATTTCCTTATTATTATTTTGAGACAAGGTCTCATGTAGCCCAGATTGTCTTCAAACTACCATGTAGCCCAGGCTGACCTTGAACTCATGATCCTCCTGCTTCACCTTCAGAAGGTCAAGAACTGTAGGCATGAACTTCCACATTTCACTAGAGGATGTAATTTTAAAGAAGCTACATCATAGTATCTTAAACTAGAAGACAAACCCCTTGCTTTCTCTTATTACTGATCCATTCCTACAACTGTCAACTTACCTTGTTGGCCTCCACATGGTGCAGCCTGAAGGCTTCTCCTGTGCTCTCATTTACCACATCGAACTGATGGCGATAAGCCACACAGATGAGGTTGTCACTCTCTTCTGTTGGCCCATCCACTAAGGTCATCACTGCTGGGGAGTCACACAAACAGATTTCCTGTGTGGGGGAGGATGAGTTGGACGGAGGTTAGAACACAAGTGGCCATCGTATACAGCCTCTACTGCTGGTCCCTCCTTCTACAAGAGTCTAGCCTAGCCATGCTGCATGGACAGGGGTCTCACCAGACCTCTCCTTCCTGTAATCTCCCTCCAAGACTCAGCCCTCTGATCCTGGAAGGGATAGAGGCCAGGAAAGAGTTTCATAATCTGATTTCACTGTCCAGTTGGCCTTAGTCTCAATTGTCTCTCTAGTGACTTAGGAATAGCCATGTAATTGTTGATTGCCTTGTTGAGAGCTTCACAAATGCCAGTGCTTTCATTGAATCCTTGCACCATCCCCTGGAATCAGGTATGGCTGTTAATCTGTGGAGGAAGAAACTGTGGTACCAAGGTCAGATTCCTTACTTATGGTTACAAAGTTTATATGTAGTAAAGCTATGATTTGAATTCAGTGAATCTGATGTCAGAGCTCACACTAGCTAACTACTCTATATAAATATTCATTATGGATGGTAATTAGCCTTGAGAAGGCAGATACCTAATTAGAACAAGATTTTAACTTGTTTTATGTAACTATCAGAGTGTTCTGTTCCCAGAACAGCTGCAGAATCCTATGTGCATAATTCAGGAGGCCTTACCCCAGTGAAAACACCTTCTCACTTTGCCTAGTGCAAAACTTGATTCTGGTGGCCAATGCTGGGAACACTTCATAGCCTGATGAACTGTAGATGGTTTTGTTTTGTTTTGGTTTGGTTTTTTTGGGTTTTTTTTTCCTTCTATAGCTATATAGTTCTTCTAGCTATATAGTTTTGACTATCCTGGAACTCACCATGTGGACCAGGCTGGCCTCAAACACACAGAGATATACCTGTCTCTGCCTCCCAAGTGCTGTGATTAAAGGAGTGCATAACCATGCTCAACAACTGTAGGGTTTTGTTTTTTGTTTTTTTCCAGGAGTGGTGGGGATGAATGGGGAAGGGATCGACTTTCAGAAAGCTTCATTGCTAAGGTTAAACCCTCAACCCATCTGTCCTTCTGTATATATATTTCTCTTATTGGTTGATGATAAAATACTGTTTGGCCAATAGAGGCAGGAAGATAGACTGGACTAGGAGACAAGGAAAATTCTGGGAAAGGTAGGCAGAAGGAGCCCTCATGCTGCCGAAGGAGCAACAACATGCCTGGGCATTATCGGGTAATCGTGTCAATACATAGATTAATAGAAATGGGTTAATAATTAAGAAAGAGCTAACCAATAAGAAGCCCTAGCCATCGGCTAAACAGCTTTATAACTAATATAGCATCTTGTGTGTTTATTTGGGGCCCAGTGGCAGCAGGACCAGCCAGGACAGAAAACTTCAAGCAACACCCACCCTGTAGACAAAACTGGACAGCCATTTTTGCTCCAAGCTTCTTCCTGCTTCTTCAGCTACCAAGACCATTTACAGCCTGCTTGATCCTGTTCTAGACTTTTCGCAGGTCTCTTGATTGCCACTCTTGGTCCCCTGTGTACTTTTCTACTGCCAAAGCCATGTTTTAACACTCTACTTCTTTGCACTGAACTTTTCAATAGTCCCTACCTTACTCCAAGCCAAAGTCAAAGCCCCTGCCAAGGCTTCTAGGGCTGCAGACTTCTAGGGTTCCCAGATTCCTGAACTGGCCACATTGTCTCCTCAGCACCCTTGGCTGGCTGTACCGGCTCCCTGGCATGCTCCTTTCCTCAGGCCTCCTCCCACTCATACTTCATCTGAGTGTCTGTTCCCAGGCAGAAGCCTATCCCTCCCCACTCTAGCCATTACCCACTGCCCTCTGTATCCTGCATCCTATCTTATTTTTATTCTCAGGGTTTTTTTTTTGGGGTACAGGGGATGGGTTTTGAGACAGGGTTTATCTGTGCAGCCCTGGCTGTCCTGCAACTTGCTTTTAGACCAGGCTGGCCTTGAACTCACAGAGATCTGTCTGCCCCTGCCTCCAGAGTGCTGGGATTAAAGGCATATCACCACACTCAGCCTCGGTGTGTATTTCTGTCAGCTATCAGGTATTTGCTTGCTCAACTAGAAGGCAAGCTCTGTGGGAAGAGAGACTTTGCACAGGTCATTGCTGTATGGCTATGCCCAGAACTCATAGAGGTTACTGTGAATGAGCACAGCTTAGATATCTGGGCAGGCTAGGGTCCAGGAGGCTGGGGTTCCACAGGGGTTACTGAGCAGTGGGACAGTCTCAGGACTACACAGGAAGTCAGTTTACACCTGGCCAGGAGAGTAGGTGGACAGCAAACCTACCCTGATGTATTGGAATTCCTCAACAGGTGACTCCAACAGAGGGGACAGGATCGAGGCACCTGGAATCCCACTTGGCTTGTTGTGTTGTTTCCTTGTGATGAGAAGCAGTTTATTGCGAATTGCAACCACGATTCTCAGTTCTCTGCTGTGGTGAGTGTTAATAGCATATAGGTGGCATCCTGGGAAGAGGAAGGGTAACATTCAGCATGAATAGGGAGGACTTGTAACCCCCAGGCCTGAGGACCTTGGGAATGGTTCCTAAGAACCCTTGGAATGTTTCTGATATCAGGTGCTGTGTTGTTCACTTTGAAACGCCTGTCCCCATTCATGTGTTTGAACACTTGGACACCAGCTGGTGTCGCTGTTTTGGAGCACTATGAACCTTTAGAAGGTAAGCCTCACTGGGGGTGGGTCTTACAGCCTAGTCCTACTACCCATCTGTTCTGTTTCTCCTTCTTTTTCTCTTCCTCCTTGGTTTTTGAAGACAGGGTTTCACTGTAGCCCTGGTTGTCCTGGAACTTACTCTGTAGACCAGAATCTATAGAGATCCTCCTGCCCCTGCCTCCTGGGGGCTGGGATTAAAGGTGCACAACCATCTGCCAGCTGCTCTCTGCTTCTTGACTGATATGAAACACGGGCAGCCACTGCATATTCCTGCCCCTGCTTAAATTGTAAGCAAGAAGCCCTCCTTCCTTTAAATTGCTTCTTGTCTGATATTTGGTCACAGCAAGTAGTAAAATACCTAATAGGACAGGCAAGATGGACATGAAAACAAAGTTAGGAAAGGCAAGTTCCTTCTAGTCTACAGATTTATTTATAGTGAGGTGGTTTGAATGAAAATGGCCCACACAGGTTCACATATTTAGTGCTTGGTTCCAAGTTGGAGGAAATGTTTGGGAAGCATTAGGAGGTGTGGTCATGTTGGAGGAGGCTTTGAGGTTTAGCAAGCCCATGCTATTCCTAGTTAGCTCTCTCTGCCTCATGGTTATTGTCTCAAGACATGAGCTCTCGGCCACTGTTCTAGTGCCATGCCCACTGGCTGCCATGGTGGGCATTGCTCACCCTCTGAAACTGTAATCCCCCAATATTATTTTTTCTATTTTTGCCTTAGTCATGGTATCTTATCACAACAGAAAAATAACTAAGACAATGTGTGTGTGAGTGTTTGGCCTGCATGAGGATGTCAGAAGAGAAGTTATAGGCAGTTATGAGCTGCCATGTCAGAGCCAGAAATCGTACCTAGATTTTCTACAAGAGCAACAACTGCTCTTAACCTGTGGGTCATCTCTCCAGTCCCAGGGCTTGGTTTTACACCCCACCACACAACAGGAATTGAAGTGCAGGTTGATTAGAACTTCAAGAACCAAAATCGTAAAGTATTTTGTGTTACACATTATCTGAGAGAGTTGAACTCACCACCAAGGCCTGAAACTTGTGGTCTTCACCCTGCTTTCGGTTCCACTTTGGCAGCTCTGGAACTGAAACCTGGGGCTGTGTGTGACAGGCTAGTGTGCTTGCCCTCATCTACACCCCTGCTCCTGCTCATGGTCTCCCAGAGAAGGACTTGTTTCCCAATTTTCATTTTTATTTTCAGTGGCCCGAACATTTTAACAGAAATAGTTTCTTTCTTCTTTTGTGACAGTGTCTCAAACTTGCTATGTAGCCAGGGATGGTTTGCCTAACACTGGGAATCGAACCTCGGGCCTCACATGTTCCAGGCAAGCACTCCACCTGCTAAGTCACTACCCAGCCTCACCTTTGGTTTTCTCCAGCTTGTTTTCTCGGCAGTCAGACCTGCTCTTTCCAGTCTGCCTGCCGTCGAGGCCTTTCTGCACAGCACTCAGCCTGAAGACAAACAGGCGGGCATCTTTCCCTGGTGAGTACAAGGCAGAGGAGGGGATTGGATAGAGAAGCCAAATGACCTGCTGGGATTCCCAGGGCAGATGGACAAACTGTTCTGGGATACAGGTAACTGCATCACATAGAATGTTTACTCAACACAATTGTGGGAGAATGAAAATCCTTCCCTCCACTACCCCAGTGACCCTGAGGTCTGCTGCAGTGGGCCACCGCCCTCATGTTCTTCCCAGAGCACAACATTTGAGGGCAGCCAGCACCTTTGTCTGCTCGGAGAACAAGAAGGTCCAGGGCCTCAAGGACGTGGATCTGCTTCACCGGCAGAGTTCTGTCAAACACAGGCACGGATGGAAGGCCATCTGGAAAAGAAGCCTGGTTACTCCACTGCATGACTGTGACACATGCCTGGGACTGACCTGAACCTCTCTAGTCAAGGATGAAATTGCTTCTCCAGCAGGAGTTCAAAAACTGTTCCTTCTGCATGCTCAGTGGCATCTAGAACTCTCTATAGGGGTGGGGGTAGAGATGGGGGTGGGGTGGGATATCAGCAGGGACACAAAAGGAAGATGTTTTCCTTGTTGGTGTTGCCAAAGAAAGAGCAGCATATCTCAATTACAAATTTACAGGGGTTGTAGCAAAGGATTGAATACCAGAGGGGAAAAAGAGCAGCTATTTCTAATGTTATAATAAAAAGTATTGTATCTTGTATTATTTCATGCATTTCTCAAGAAAGTAAGTTTAATACTTCTTTTTACATTTAAAGTGAATACAAACATCCTATCCCTAGCATGCCCTCTGTCTGTATCAAAAGTGATCTGCTTTTATGTTTTTTGTTTGTTTTGTTTCATTTTTCAAGACAAGATTTCTCTGTGTATTCCTGACTGTCTTGGAACTCACTAGTAGACTAGGCTGGCCTCAAAAGATGTGCCTGCCTCTGTCTCTTGAGTGCTGGGATTAAAGGTGTGTGAAACCATTCCTGGCTTGCTTATCTGTTTTTTTTAATGATGTTTTTATTATTTTTAATTATGTGTATGTGTGGGCTGACATGTGGGTGTGTGCATGAGAGCACAAGTGTCCTCAGAGGCTAGAAGCTTAAGATCTCTTAGAGCTGGAGTTACTCACATGGCTTACAGGGACTGAACTCAGGACCTCTGGAAGAGTGGCAAGTGCTCCTAACTTCTGAGCCATCTTTGTGGTCCACTACTCATGCATTCTAAATACTTTTTCAGATAGGAATCTGGAATACCTCTTTTTAGAGACAAAAATGGGAGAAGTATCAGTTAAATTGCCTAAAACTCAATAATATGGAGCAAAACCACCCAGCAAGAGTTAAGGTGGACCGTTCACGATATTGTAATTATGAACAGAATTTGACTTTGAGGTTATTCGGAACTTGTAAGTGGTAATGCCATTGCCCCCCAGGGACTCTAGGATATGTCAGCTAAGAAAATTGTTATGGGTACTCTGCTGCAGAAGGTCCAGGCTGAGAGCACCATGGATGATGTGGCCATCTCAGGCAGAAGTGGTGAGCTTCATGTACATTACTCTTCAAGGCTTTGCTATGGGCCTGCGTTGGTCTGTTTCTTTATAATTTAGGTGCAAGGGGGTATAGGGCTCAGGCCTTTTGCAGAGGCATAAATAGGGCTGGGAGCTGATCCCTTGCTGGATGCTTCCCCAGCAGGGCAGGGCCTTTGTTATCAGGATACCACCTCAGTGGAGAAGGGTTCCAGCTCCAGCAGGCCTGGAAGGCTCTGGATCTTTCTGTAACATGTCTCATGAGATAACAGCCTAACCCTGACTCTCTTAGTCATGCAGGGATTGAGTCTAGTCCCCCTTTAGTGGGAATGTATGACAGCCCATCAGCCATGGTCCTTCCTTCACTATGGATACCAGGGGCTCTGTAATGCTCCTTGTTCAGGACGTGGACTGATTATTTCAGTACTGTCACATCTGGGTGAATAACTAGAGTTATCTTATGGGTCCACAGAAGCATCAGGAGTGGCAAGTCACTTCACTAAGGACATACTTGATGCCAGACCCTGATGCTTCCTATAGTCTTGAATTTAGGTGCCTCATTTCCCCAACAGGCTGGCACTTGTAATGTTCCTATTTAACCAAAGAGGAACTTGATGCTTGGAAGTGTTTAGAAAACGTGTTCAGGGTTACTCCTTAAACATGTGGATCCAAAAGAGATGGAGCACCTCTTTGTACACTGGAGACAGAGGTGCACTGTGTACTGCCAAGCCCTGGATTAGGATGCATTCCCCATCCGCTCCTCAGTTAGCTGAAGGGTTTGTATGCAGACAGAAAGGAGAAAAGGCAAGGACAGGAGAAACTGACACAATTATGGCTGCTTGATTGGTTATTTCTTTTTGTAATCCTGGTATGAAGATAAAGTCTTTCAGAGAGAGCTTTTCTATTACCAGAACACCTATTTACTCAGTGACCCAGTCCCTTAAAGCAGATTTGCTGCATGAACAGGGCAGAGGGTCCTGGGATTTCAAAAACATTGACCTTGACAGAAGCAGAATCTCTAGGGTGTGGTGAAAGGGACAGATGGACTCATGGAAACAGTCTGTACTATGATTATGTGCAGAGCAGATGGCAGCCTAAGAAGTAATGGAATGGTGGGTGGGTGGCACAGAGCAAGATGCAAAGACAGCTAGCTCAGGGCTTGTGGCCTGCAAAGGCCAAGACTGGGCATCAATGACAGTCAGGACAGGGGAGGAATGGCCACCCCTCCAAGGCTGGAGACTCACAGCAGCCTTTATACCAATGTCACCATTATACTTGGGGTGCAGAGGAGCAGTTTCAGAAAATACTTGATAATATTGGTTTGGATCTTAACTTTTTTTTTTAAACAATTCATATTTGTTTTGGGTCTTGTTTTGAGGTTATATCCAGTTTTGATCTCTAGTTTTATCCAGTTATATCCAGTTTCTTTGATCTCAAAGAAAACCAGTGCAAAATTCTCAGACCTACTTACTAGAATTATGGTTTTAGAAATTGCTGTCAAGGTCAAACCAGAAATTCTGGTTGAGTTTACTGTGTTTAAGTGGAACATGGCTGGCATCGCGTCTGGCTCTAGTTCCAGCCCCCTGAACAGCCATGTGATTTTACACAGGCTATGCACTACTTCAGGCATCCGTTTCTGCATCTATAAAATCAGCTAAAGCCTGTTTTGAATTTTGGAAATAAAAAGAAACTTTTGGCAAAAATCTAAGGATTCTGTGAGCTTTTAGCCAACTACTGGGAACATGGTAGAGGTAACAGCTGCCTCAGTACAGGAAGTCAGGGGTCCTGCCATCCCCTTCCTGCAGCTCCAGCCCTCATGCCCAGTGTGCCTCATACTTGTCACTATTATAAACAATTCCTCAGTCTTTCTTTCGAGGCCAGAGGCTCAGAGAAGATAGATTTTTCTTTTTGGAGACGGGGAATGGGGGACCCAGGCCCTACCATCCAGGCACGTGTTGTATTACTATTTTCTTCAAATTGCAATGAGTTTCTCAAATTAAGGATTTAAATTCTGAACTGGTGAATTTCAAATTATCTACATTTTATTGGCTTAGTCATAGATATAATTAGGTTATGGGAAACATGATGGATTTTAAGTTATCTACATTTTATTGAATTAGTTATAGGTACAATTAGGTTATAGGACTTATATGGAAAAATCACAGGTAAGGTCAGTTTGCTCTCCTGCCACCCACAGAAAGCACCTGGCATAGGGCCTGGAATGGAGCAGGGACCTAGTGAGTGTGCTAGACAGAGATTGGAGACACCAAGCCACTCTCAATGAAGGATGGGCCTCTGGAGCTAAGGCCTCTTGAGTGTGTGCAGCTCCCTTAGAAGTCCTGAAACTTGACACCTGTGCTTAGCTCCTCTGCTACTCTTTTCCTAAAGATTCCTTCTAGAATAATCTAAAGGCACTTGCTGCTATCCAGAGTCTACATCCCATCAGCACCATGGCTGAGGGTGTGGCCTGTGGTGGCTGCTCTGTGTGACTGCCTTCCCAGGCAGGCTGGCCTAGCTTGCTGTCAGAATGTGCCATTTAATACTGAGTTGCAATCTGTCTTTCTGCCAAAATCTTCCTGCTTCTATATCCATGAATACAATTTATCTAAGATTCATATAATTTGTTTTAGGCATCAAGCTTTTTCCCCAGTCAGGATTTTTTAAAAGAGGCTTCAAGAGAGCACATGTCCCTAAGAGAATGCTGTAAAGTAGTATGTCTGTTTTCATTTAAGATAAATATTGGTACCACGATGAGTGCTTGCTGAAGAAGAATCTTTCAGAAGGTGGCTTAAAGTCCAGGAACTAATTGGAAATTGAAGAAAGGGATGAACTTTCTAGCATGCTGAGCTCAAAATATACCCCTTTGGAGCGCCTGTCTGAATCAAGGGGTTAATCTGATTAGAAAACCAAACCTGGCTAACTCCCCTTGGGACCAGGCATTTATGGTCTAAAGGAGCTGACTGGCAGTCACCCACTTTAGAAGTACAAGTCACACAAAAAAAGACATTTGCAGGAGTGCTACTCACTAACCATCCACTAGCAAGACGCCGGCATCAGTGGAGACCAGCAAGGCCTGGCCCCAGGGATCTGCACACACGGCTTCGTGAGGGAAATTACTGCAGAAACACTGGGGCTCCCAAGGCTGTGAGACGACACAAGCATTGGAGAGTAAGTGTACCACAAAGATCGCCCTGTGTCAGAGTGCGACGCCTGAAACAGTAACACAGATATTCCGTGGGAATGAGTTGTGCCAGACGCTGGGAGCTACCCAGGCCTGGACTCCATTAGCTCTCTTAAGGAGAAAAACCTCCTTTCAAATATGGGTGCCACAGAAAAGCAGTGACTTCCCATGCATCACTGCCTGTTTCCACATGACCATTACATGTTTGGGGCAATAGAAACATTGACAATGTTTTTAAAGCAGCTTTCTTTAACACCTAGAAGTTGGGCAAATTGGTGCCTGCTCTTTTTTTTTTTTTTTTTTTTTTAAAAAAAAGATTGATATTAGTTTAGCCTAAAAGGAAGTCCCACACAGCTATTAAAAAGTTCTGTGTTGCTGATTCAGCAAAATCATTAAACTGTACAAATAAAAGAGATTGATATTGTTTTAATATATAGGTGCTTACTGACCCACTTAAGGCTACAAAATCTTAAATAGCACACATTTTGCAGGAAAATAGCCAAGATTGCTAATGAAATACCTCTAGGTCACTGTGTGGCATGTTCACACAACATGAACACTTTTTCTGGTCCCCATGTGACATGTCGCACTACATGGGACCTTAGATTAATTTCTGATTCAGGGATAAAATTAGCTCTCCCTCACCATGGCCCCTGAGGTGGGTGTGGAGGCGAGGCCAAGAGTTGGTAAGTACTGCATACTAGGATCTTAGTCACACAGTGTTGTGGACAGTTTTGTTTTTGTAGCACTAGGAATCAAACCCAGGGCAAGTGCCTTCCCAGAGAGCTGTATCCCCAGTGCTGAGAACTGCAAACATTTTCAACAGACATTCATTTTCTTTCAGACACCTCCCTTAGCCCCATGATTTGGAAAACTTTGTGGGTTTTGGGGGACAAGTTCAAGGCTTACATCTTCACTTCTATTCTCAACTAGTCCTAAGAGTCTGACATGACCCGACTGGGCAGCAAAAGAACCTGTGTTTGCTCTTGTGATATGTGTGAATGCCCAATAGAGACATGTTCACATTCTCTAAGTTCAAGGAAGGCCAAGGATCTCCTTCAAGAGCATCATCAGGAATGAGCAAAGAGCTTCCCCTTTAGAATACCCACAGCCTCTGATTTGCAAAGATGGGATTGCACTGTCCTGAGGAGGAGGAGGCCTAGAGAATATGGAAACATTTTCTAAGCTGGAAAAAAAGAAAAAACACAGAGGTGGGTCACTAATTGAAATATTTCCCCCAAGAAGAAGAGATCTGGCAATTATGAGTTGGTAATGCATAGCTAGAGGAACTGAAAATGCAGAGGCTATACACACACACACACACACACACACACACACACACACACTTACACACACATACATACACACACACACATACACGCACTCATAATACACTCACACTCATACACACACACACACACACACACACAAATGGAGACAGACTTTGAAACCATCACTTTCAGTAATACCAAGACAGAACAATGGAGTCATTGTATGTGTGCATGTGCATGTGTGTGTGTGTATGTGCATGTGCATGTGTGTATTCGAGCATGAGGGCCTACTTGTGCAGGTACATATGAAGGTCAGAGGCTGACATCATGATGCTTTTTCTCAGTTACTTGTTTACTTGCTCTTTGAGACAGGGTCTCTCACTGAACCGTAAACTCACCAGTTCTGCCAGACTAGTTGCCAGCAAGAGTTCAGAGAGACCCCATTGAGCACTTGGGTTTTAGGCATGAACCACCACATCAGTTTGTCTGTGGATGCGATCTGAACTCAGTTCTTAACTTTCCTCATTAAGAAATCACTCTAGCCTTCAACTGAGTCTTTTAAAAAAATATCATTATTTTGGCTGGGGTACACCTTTAATCTCAGCACTTGGGAGGCGAGGCAGGAGGATCTCAGTGAGTTTGAGGTCAGCCTGGTCTACACAGCAAGTTCCAGGACAGTCAGAACTGTTACATAGAGAAACCCTGTCTCAAAAACCCAAAACCCAAAACCAAAACCAAAAAAATTCAACCCCCCAAAACCTCCAATCCTTCCAAAGTAGTTACTGTATTATTTTTGTGTTATGGGTATTTTGCCTTCCTGTATGTCCATGTACCATGTGCATATAGGGTATTTGGAGGCAAGAAGAGGGCATCCGATCCCCTGGGACTTTTGTGGCAGTTGTTAACCACCATTGTGCACTGGGGATGGAATCCAAGTCCTCTGGATGAATAGCCATCAACTGAGTCTTAGTGACAAAGTGTCCCCTGGCAGGAGGAAACATGCATTAGGGTCTTCACCTGGATGGCCAAGGTTCTCTGGAGCAGAGCCCCAAGGGTGGGCCATGGGGTTTTCTGGTTATATGATCCCAACAATGGAAGCAGGTTTTGCTTGTGCACTGTGAACACATTTTTGTGATCAGACATTTTGTGATCAGATATGTATGTAAGGACTTAAGAATGTCAGGAAGTCTCAGTGCCATTTATAAAGTACTTAGAAGCACTGCAAATTCCTACCATGCCCACAAATGGCAGTCAGACCTTTTGCAACTTTGGGAAGGATGTTTGTCTTAGAAGGTGCTGTGCTTTGTCAGTGTCAATTGCATTAAATAAAAAAAAAAGTGCATTTATTTATGTGTGTGTGTGTATATGTGTGCGTGTATATACAGCACTGTGCCTATGGAGGCCAGAGTATAACTAATCAGTTTTCTCCTTCCACTATGTGGGTCACAGAGATTGAACTCAGGTGGTCAGCAACAGTGGCAAGGGCCTTTGCCACTTGAACCATGTCACTGGCTCTTAATTGCATCAGAACGTTTTGCTTTTATTTCTATGTGTGAGTGTGTGTCTGTAGGCATACATGTGGGTGTTGAGAGAGGTCAGAAGAGGATCCCTTGGAGCTGGAGTTATAGGCAGATATGAGCAGCCTGAACTTAGGTCCTCTACAAGAGCAATAAGTGCTCCTCCAGTCCCTGTCTGTTCTTGATGATCACCTAGCCCACTATGTCCAGCCTCCAAAACTAAAACAGGAAGTAGAGAGGCTACAGGGCTTGCTGTTTGTCTATGTAGCTATACATATCATAATGGCTTCTCACCTACACTCCTCTGAGCAGCAGCCCCTGAGGACTAGTTAGAAGAGCAACTTGATGTTTCCCTTTGTGAAGGTGACACAACACAGAGTTACTTGGGAAAAGAGCCACAATAAGGAATTGTCTACATTGGGTTGGGCTGTGGTCCATCTGTCCGGGACTGTCTTAATTGATGTGGGAAGACTCAGTTCACGGAAGGCAGCACCATTCCCTAGGCAGGCCTTCCTGAACTGTCCCACACTGGGGAAATCAAGCAGAGCACAAGTAGGCAAGCATGGGTGCACTGCCCTCTTTCTGCTCTCCACTGAGGATGTGACAGAAGCTCCTGCCACTGTGGCTCTACAGTGATGACTGACCTAAAACAAGCCCTTTCTCCCCTACAGTGCTTTTGCTAGAATATTTTATTACAGCAACAGATATGAAACTAGGACAGCAACCTTTCAAGCCTATTGGGCTAGAGCAGTGGTTCTCAACCTTCCTGATGCTGTGACCCTTTGCTTTGTTCCTCAAGTTGTGATGACCCTCAACCATAAAATTATTTTCATTGCTACTTCATGACTATAATTTTGTCACTGTTATGAATCATAAATATCTGATACATGAGATATCAATATGTGATCCCAAGGTGTCAAGACCTTGGCTGAGAACCACTGCATTAGAGGCTGCGGTGATCACTGCCCCAGAATTTCACTGTTTATATTGGGTTGATGAATGCCCATGAAGCCTGAGGAGCACTTTGAAACCAGCCTGGCTGACCAGGCCTGGCCCAGTGCTCTGCCCATCTACACACACAAATGAGGAAGGAGGGCCCCAGAAAACAGACACTCTTGCGTCATTATCTGGGCTCCTGAGGATTCTGAAGGGACATCCTCCTGCCACACCTGTTTCCATAACTTCACTGAGTACTAACTAGGACAGTCACAGTTCAAAGAGAAACCATCAATCACTTACCTCTTTCTTACACATCCCTGAAGCTGCCAAGTTTGATGGGGCATCCCCTCTCACAATGGACTTGAGTTTCAGAGCCTAATGGACAGAGATGTCACTTAAGGTTTGGTACCAGGCAGTGAAAGAACAGCAGGGCAAACAACTGAGGCTGGTGAAAAGGCCATGAGTCAGAAGTAATTTGGGGTTAAAGCTGCAGGCTCCTCCACTGACTCATCATTGATAAGGAATTAGGAGGAGATGGTGAAGGCCCAGGGACAGGGTTATGACCCAAACTACACCTGCTGTTTTGGGGCACTTAAACTAGTTCTATCAGTCCTGTGATTTCAAACTAAGAAGGCTGAAAAACAGAGATTACCAGGTCCTTCCTAATCTTGATTGTTCAAGAGTCCCTGAAAGGAAAGATTAGTTTTAAGATTTATTTATTTATTTGTGTGTGCATGTATGTATGTGTGTGTGTATGTATGTATGTGTGTGTGTATGTATGCCATGTATATATATGCATGCCACGGTACAATCATGGAGGTCAGAGGACAACCTGTGGTAGTTATATGGAAAACAGGACTACTTCAGGATTCAGTTCTCCAGGTTGTCAGGCTTGTTGGCAAGTTCCCTCACCTGCTAATTTTGTTGAAGTTACCTTCAACAAAGACTGATACAAAAAAAAAAAATGTGACCCTTGTCTCCAAGCTGCCCTTGGTCACAGGCCACTCCACTGTCTACTTGCCTTGCTGCTTAGATCCCTGCCCCTGGAGAGACCTTACCTGCGGCTGGAGGACCCACCCCTTCCTACTGTGCTGTGGTGTCAGGGCCAAAAAGCCTGGAGCTGAGAAGTGAGTCAGGTCAGGGGATCTGCTCCAAGGCCTGGGGTAAGGAAATGCATGGGAGCCACCAAAGCCTGAGGGCTGCTTCCACGTAACAGGTGGGAGGTGGGGTCTTTTGTGAGTGACTGTACAGTGTGTGCCTCCTCCTACAGGGAGGGGTTAGTGTTCGACTTGACAAAACTCAAAATGCTCTCTCCTCTTCAGAGAATTCTACTAGGCATGTGAGAGGTCTTAGTTCCTCTGCCAGGGATGATCTGGAGAGCAGGAGATGTCCCCTGCAGTAGAACACTATTCTTTTGCAAAGGGAACTGAATCTAAGCAGCTGTCAAAACCCCACTTGTTTTTCCAATACAATCTTGAGGGAAATCATGAGCTTCTGGATGGCTGGTTAGTTGTGTGACAACTTGACTGTAAGGCAGTAAACAGCACTTCTCCATGGCCTCTCTTCAGCTTCTTCCTTGAGTCCCTTTCCTGACTTCCCTCCTGAGGGACCATAAGCTGTAAGAGGAAGTAAACCCTCTCCTCTCCTGGTTGCCTTTGGTCATAGTGTTTACCACAGCAGCAAAATGCACACTATGACTGCAAGAAAAGTATCAGCTGGGCAGTGGTGGCACACACCTTTAGTCCCAGCACTTGGGAGGCAGAGGCAGGTGGATCTCTGTAAGTTCAATGCCAGCCTGGTCAACTAGTGAGTTCCAGGACAGCCAGGGCTACACAGAGAAACCATGTCTTGAAAAAATAAAACAAAAACAAAGTAACACATCCTGAAATCCTAACCAAGGTATCTTGTGGGGGATCTAGTTTGGAGGGACTCACAACCATACTTCTCAGGAGCTGCAGAATCTAACGTACCTGCCCTATCCTAACAAACTCGGCCTGGCGTGCCTCCTCCTTCTTCCGGGCTGACTTGGGTGACTCAGGTAAAACATCACTAAAAGACCGTCGATTGAGCATGTTCTAAAAAAAGAAAAACAAGGGTGAGATTCTCCAGTTTTCTCTCTCTCTTTTTATACACACACACACACACACACACCTGTTTGTTTAAGCAGTTCTATTTCTACCTGCAGAGATAAGGGGACAGTAAGTTCTAGTTCATTCAGATAGCCTGTCTCCCTGGGTGACTGACAGACAGCTCTCATTTACATATCACCAGAAATTAATTACTTTCACTGGAGTTTATGAATGATCAAGTTTTAAGATAATTCTTTTTTTAAAATATTTTTTAAAAATGTATTTATTTATTTATTTTTATGTCTATAAGTGACCTATGAGGCCAGAATGGGAGGGCATCAGATCCCACTATGGATGGTTGTGAGCCACCATGTGGGTGCTGGGAATTGAACTCAGGACCTCTGAAAGGGCAAGCAGCATTCTTAACCTCTGAGCCATCTATCCAGCCCCTTGAGATAATTCTTAACTTGTTCTGTGCTTCCTTGTTAAATAAAGAAATTTAAAATTAAGTTAATTAATTTATTTGTATATATGTGCATGTACGTATACATGCCATTAGATCTGGAAGCAAACTCAGGCTTCAGGCTTGGTGACAAAGTGCTTTACCTGCAGAGCCATTTCACTGGTCCCAGGGAAATGTTTTTTAATAATGATTTTATTCTCTTGGTGACCTCGACTCTAGCTAGAGGCCTCCTAAGAGCATCTTGCTGCTGAGGTGACAAGGGTGGTGTCTCAGCGGTGTAGACAGAGTATCCAGCACAAAGTGGGTTTCCCTCAATGGAGACATGGTTTCAGTGTCTGATTATAAAGCTAGACAGAAAACCCAAGAGAGCACTTGGTCTCTTCCAAAATCAGTGTTTTTGCTAGTTCATCAGCTCTATGTCACTAGCACCAAGGACAGCACCACCAGAAAGCAGCTTTGCTGGGTTCTGATGTTACCTTGCTTAGGCCACAGCTTTGTAAGGATGTATTCTTGCACACAGACACTCAGTGACTCCTTTTTTTTTTTTTTTAATGGAGAATGCTAGCTGTGTGGCCTCAGGGCAGATGAGGCAGCAAGCACCATGGGAACTCAGGGCTTATGGCTAAAACTGTGCTCTCCAGAAGCCCCATGGGAGAAAGGAAACACAAATACCTTATGCAAATCTGGCATCAAATCCTGGTATAAGGAGCGAATCAACATGTCCAGAGTACGCCGGCGTTTCTGGGCAAAGGTTGGGGTTTCCAAAGTGGCTTTCTCACCATTAATTACTAAAACAAATGAAAAAGGGAATTAGTCATTAATAGCTAGTAAAGAATGTTTTCTTTCCAAGCAAAGTCTGCACAGTGAATGCTACTAGTCATTATAACAATAGCATTATTAAGGATATGGAGTGTCTCCCAATATGTCAAGGGTGTGGCTTGGGATCCAATTGGGAGTTATCTTGGATTGTGAAGACTCTGATTCCATCAGTGGTCAACCCACTGGTGGGCCAACACTTTGCCTATGGTGGGTGGTGGAGACATATGGACATGGGAGAAGGATCAGATCACAGGGTGGTGCCTTTGGAGGATGGCTCTTGTCCACTGGCCCTTTCTCTTGCTCTTTCTGCTTTCTGGCTACTACTGGGTGAGCAGACTTCCTCCATCATGCCTTGTTCCCACCATGTTGTGCCTTACTTTAAGCTCTTAGTGACAGAGCCAGATGATGACCTCTAAAAGCATTATCCAAAACATTCTCCTTTCAGTTTTTTTTTTCCCTCCGAGACAGGGTTCCTCTGTGTAGCCCTGGCTGTCCTGGAACTCACTCTGTAGATCAGGCTGGTCTCGAACTCAGAGATCCACCTGCCTCTGCCTCCCAAGTGCTGGGATTACAGGTGTGTACCTCTGCTTGGCCTCCTTTTAGTTCTTTTTCTCAGGTATTTTTCCACAATGATGAAAAATGACTAAATGAACTGGTATTACCATTGATCTAACCTTCCTTTCATGAACGAATGCTTCAAATTTAAATTCAAAAGTATGGATTTATATTACCTGTAGACACATTTATCTTTCCTTTCTTGTTGGACAGTAAGTGCTCGGAGCAGAGAGCAGATCTAATCTTAAAGACCTCTGTAGCCAAAAAATAACCTATCCATCCTTCCCCCACTCCTCCCCCTGGGGTGTCATTCAATAGTAACACATACACATATATGTAGTGTGTGTGCGCACATGCACATATATGGGCATGTGTGCGTGCATGTGCACGCATTTGCTGCAGCTTGTTGAAAAGAAAAAGCTGCTTTAGCACAGGATTCGGGTTCTTAGCCTAAAGGATGTTTCTTCTGGAAAAAAGCTAAGCATTTCATGGACCACAGATGTTACAGTCTGACAAGGTAGAGTGTGCAGTTACACAACAGAGCTCAAAACAGCAGTCCAAGAGGTTAAGAGTCTGAGGTCATGAGCCCAGTCTGTGACTGGATGTGGAGTCTTAGGCAATTCTATCTTTCTTTCTGGGACTTCAGTTTCTAGCCTACCCTATACAAACAGACATGGCCTCATTTTTATAGAGGCTGTTGTCTTAAGTAATAATACATAACCCAGTTCAGTGCTAGGCACACTGAACTGGGGTAAGTATTCACTCTTAGTTTTCCCATGCAGGGTGCCAATAGGAAGGTCTGTTCATGGACTGAAAAACAGAACTTGTTGGGGGAAAGGCAGCTGGGGCCAAGCTGGTCTTGTGTATTACATGGCATCTCTTAGGAGTTTCTGAAGTGCCCATGCCAAATGTTTTCTTTTTATTTCTTGAGGGTTTTCCCAATTAGTACCTTAGAAAATTACACATTTTAATTAATTAATTAATTGTTTTCCAAACCTTCCCTTCCTGCCCCCCCTCCACTCCTTTCTCTTCAGAAAAGGGAGGCCTCCCTTGTATATTAGCCAGTCATGGTATATCAAGTTGCAGTAAGAGTAGGCACCTCCTCTCCTATTAAGGCTGCATGAGGCACCCTGGGAAGAGGAAAGTGTCCCAAAAGTAGGTAACAGAGTCAGAGACAGCCCGTACTCCTTCTGTTAGGAGTCCCACAGGAAGACCAAGCTACACAACTGTAACATGTGCAGAGGGCTTAGGTCAGTCCTATGCAAGCTCCCTGGTGGTTGACTTAGTCTCTGTGAGCCTCTATCAGCCCAGGTTAATTGATTCTGTGGGTTTTCTTGTGGTGTCCTTGGCCCCTTCGGTTTCCTTCCTCCCCCTCTTCCACAGGATTCCCAGAGGTCCATCTGATGTTTGGCTGTGGGTCTCTGCATCTGTTTCTATCAGTTGCTAGGTGAAGAATTCATAGACCTATGGACATCTGATTTTTGATAAAGTAGCCAGAACTATACAATGGAAAAAAAAAGCATCTCCAATAAATGGTGCTGGCATAACTTGATGTTGTCATGTAGAAGATACATTTCTATCACCCTGCATGAAACTCAAGTCCAAGCAGGATCAAAGACATCGACATAAAACCTGATAGAAGGAAAAAGTGGGGAAGAGCCTTGAACACACTGGCACAGGACACAGCTTCCTGAATATAACACCAGCTGCAAAGGCACGAAGATCAACAACTAATAAATGGGACCTCATGAAACTGAAAAGATTCTGTAATGCAAAGGATACTGTCAAAAGGACGAAATGGCAGCCTACAGAATGGGAAAAGGTTTTCATCAACCCCACATCTGATAGAAGGCTGATTTCTAAAATATATGAAGAACTCAAGAAACTAGACAAAATAAATAATCCAATTGAAACATTTGGTACAGATCTAAACAGAGAATTCTCAACAGAAGAATTTCAAACAGCCTAGTGCAAACATTTCTTTTGCTCTCTTCCTCCCTTCCTCCCACCTACCTTCCCTCCCTCCCTCCTTCTCTCCTTCCCTTTCTCCCTCCCTCTCTCCCGTCCCTCCTTCCTTTCTTTCAAACAGAGTTTCTCTACATTTCCCTTACTGTCATGGAACTCACTTAGTAGACCAGGCTGGTCTGGAACTCACAGAGATCTGTCTGCCTCTACCTTGCTTGGCCTGAAAACTACATTTTAAATAACTCATTTTGACAGAAGGAAAAGATTTGAGTTTTTATTGAACCATTTAGAGCTATCTTGGATTTTCTGACCTGGCTGGTTTCCTCCATTCTGCTGAATTTGCTTTGGAGCTCAAACAGCCTTTTAGTCTCAGGCTTCTATTATTGTGCTGTTAGCTGTGTAGCCAGGTTGGTTCTACCGGCACATGTGCCTCTGTAACCTGGGCTCCTCGCACCCATGTTTCTTCTCAACCATGTAGCCCCGGCTGACTTCAAACTCAAGAAATCCATCTGCTTCTGCCTTCAGCTTACTAGGAATAAAAGCACTGCTACTACATCCAGCCCAACCCAGCTATATTAAAGCTTTGCCATCAGATCAACTGAACCTTAATTCCATTTCTTCCTTAGTTGTCAAAGGCGCTGATGGGCCTAATTTTGCCATTCCATTTTAATGTATGGATTCCACTCACAAGCATGTCCCCAGTGTTGTTCTTTAGATAATCTGAGGTTAAATTAAAGCACTACAGGCTCTGGGACCCCTGCTGTGCATCCTATAGAACACTTATCTACTGTGTGCCTGGCTCCTTCCTTCCTGTTAGCTGCTAGCTGCAACAACTGTTCTGTTTTTCCGCTTCCTATTTGACACTGGGCTTGAACCACATGAAGCTTCCAAAGTCTGGGTGTTTTGAAAATGTAGCCTATCTGGCAACACTGTGACCATGTCACTGGAAAGTGCCACTTGGCCCGGAGCTTGGCGCACACTCTCTGGCCCACCACATCTCCCAGTGCTCCTCATTGCCATCTATTCAGACTGCTTCTCTCACTGTTCCTTGCCTCTCTACACTCAAATATGTGACCCTTGTCCCAGCCCCTGAGCTGGCCTACGGACATGGAAGGCACAAAATCGTCACCTCTGCCAAGTGGTCTATAGCCTGCTGCTTCTAATGTTGGGGCAGAGCATTTCCCCAAGATTCTGCTGTGGACCAAAACTGGGAGCTAACAGTGTGGATGGTGGGTACCCAGCTATATGCCCTTAATGTCTCCACCAGGAGAAGGTTGTGAAGCATGTGGAGGCCTCTGGAAGGGGCTGCTGGGGTTTTGGAGGGAAGAGCACTCTCAGCCAGCTTGGCTGAGTGGGACATATTTGGTGACTGGAGTTAAGTGACATTCATCCCCTCAAATGCCACTGACATGGTTGATGAGGCATGGGAATCTTGTGTAGTTATTGATGGCCTTCATGGGCACAGCACCTGCATGCATGTAATGTACATAAACATTTGCCTGGCCTGTAGCACTAGTTTTGGCCAAGTCTAAAAGAGATTGAAGACTAGAAGCTGAGTAGCAGGTATTGATGTGGGATACTGTGAGGTTCTGGGCTCAATCAATGCTACTGTAGAGCCAGGTGACCAAGATAGATTCAAATGACAGGAGAGGAGATTTTTAAAAATGCTCTCAAATTACATAGCAACAATGACCAAATTCGGCACTGCGTGTCTGGGTGGGAGGGACAGGTGGATGCCAGCGAAAGAGCTGCAGCCCCTAGTGTGCTGGCAGAAGGTGAGAGCTGGCTTCTTTGTAGAGGGCACAGACCAGGTGGCACTGCCTGGCCTCCAGGGTTCACAGACTAGGCTTCTATGAAGAGACTGCAGGGGATGAAGCCAAGAGACTTGATTCTGATCAGCAGGCCTTCCTAGACACAATACCCAAGGATGCTCTGAGGAGGTTGAGGCCAACCTCTGTCAGACAGAAGATTCGGGAGCTCAGAGTCAGTGGACTAAGATGCATGTGCACTGACTCGTGAGGCTGGGGTGGGAAGGGGAGATGAGGACCCAGAGGAAAACTAACTAGTGCTACTAGAAACTAAGCATGGGCAATGGATGAACAGAGCACGGACTATCTAACAATGACACTTTCTTATGCAGAGCCTGGGGAGAACATGAAGAAACACATTTGTGTATGAACAAGTGATAGAAGCATTTCAAAACAACAACTCACATTTCACAAGCAAAAAGTCCCTGAATTCCTGGTGGTCTGTAAACACCGGTGGCGTTGGCAAGGGTGGGCCAAAAAGTGGCACGCTTTCTTCTGAAAATATTTTCAGCCTATACAAAGAACATTCCAGAATTAGTTGGTTCTGTTTTTCTAAGGTCACCAATATTTTTTGTAAGTCACTGTGTTCAGAGACCTATGTAATATGTCGGGGAGATTCATCCCAGAGGAGCCTGTGTCACCTCTGAGCACCTCCCTTCCAGGGGACAGGCCCTGACTTTAGGACCTACCAGCCTATGGATAGACTGAACAACAGCAATGGTGCCCTGAGCAACCAGGGCATACCAGGAAGTGTACTTTGGATTTTAAAGCTTGCTAAACATGCCAGTGGTAAATGTACTCATTCTACAGCGGGTTCAAGGTCCCTGGGGGACAAATACTTTTCACAAATCTTCAGTCAGTAAATGACTGAGGGTCAAACCCACTTCCCCTATCTGGCAGAAATTGACATTCCTTCCACAACATCCTTTTAACAGATTCATTTTGAGAAACATAAAGTCAAGTGGGCAAGGTAGTAGTAGGGAAGGGGCACTCTGACCAAGGTCAAACAAATTTTTTTCTCCTCTAAATTACAAAACACCAAACTAACCCTGTCCCCTGGGCCCACTGTGAATAGTAATACTATATGGAGCAAGATTCTTCTGAAGAGAGGTGGCTTCACAGGATATTCTAGAAGGTGAGAACATGTCTAATAAGCCACCCAAAGAATAGAGGTGAGGTACATCAGAATAGAGTTGAGGTTATCACCTACCTGTAATGGTCATTTTGCTGGTCATACCTCACTAAGGCAAAAATATCTGTGGGGACAGTCAAGGCAATTTACAATATCCTTGATGCTACACCTGACAGCTTGTGCCCTGAGATCTTTCCTGCAGAATTCTTGAGCAAGCTTTCTGTGGCTAGGCACCTATTGCTCTGAAGCAGGGCTAGAACCCCACCTCTTGATGAGAGACGGCCTTGGAGAGCACACCTCAGATCTGGTGTCTAGGGTTAGCATCTGTGTGTTCTTCTGCTGCTGGGAAGAGCTTAGATGAATCCTCCAAAACTGTCAGATCAGCAATGTAAGTAAACACACTAAACAGCCAAGGAGACAGCAGAACCAAAGGAGCAGTTCCCTCCCTGGAGCCCAAACAAGATCCTGACACGGATTCCTCATCTATTTCATTTCACACATTCTGAGATGGGAAAACAATCGAAATGTTTCTACTGAACACCTTCCCTCTCCTTCTGCCTTTGGTAGACAAAACAGCACCGGAGAACAAGCCAAAATAGCAAGTGGCAGCTTCTGAGCAGAGTCGACTCTGCTTGGGCTGAAGCTTGACGTGTCCAGAATAGCTCAACTGCTGGGGTGTGGATCAGTGGCAGAGCACTTGTCTAACACGTGGGAAGCCTGGAGTCCATCCAGCACTTAAGAAAAAAGGATAAATGATATGTTATAGATTTCAATCTCAATATAACTCTTTAAAAATAAACTCAAATGGCACAGCTACCTGCTCTGAGGAGTGCTCTTCCGCTGCCCTCCTCTCTCATGGCCAGCCCTGCTGCTGTCTAGGGCTGAAGCCAGCAGGCTGGGGTACCCCACTTCTGTGCAGCTGCAAATACTCTGCTCTTGTGCTCTGCGGGATGAACTCTCATTAACCACCTTTTGGTTCTTTTAGAAGCCCACGTGCCAAGCCCAGTGTGGAGAATCTCCAATAAGGGGCATTGTAAAGCTCCTCTCACAACAAACCACTGTGTCTTCCCTGCTCCACTCAGAGTTTTCTGTCATGTAAGAAAAATCACCATGGAAATGGGAACTATCAGTGCCATAGCCCAATGAGCGGGGACAACAGGCTGTGATCAGAATGAGCAAAGAAGGCAGGCACATGGGTTCCACCTTAATTTATCTTCCTACTCTGTGGAAGAGATTTGGCCATTTCAACTTTTAAACACTTCCTTGCAAGATGTTGTTTGGCTTCAGGAGACAAGTCAGGATATAGAGAGCAGCTTCACCTGCAGACACGTGAGGTATAACAGTCTGTCTCTGGGGATAGGAGCAAGGGGATTAGACTTTATTTTGAAAATGCCCACTAGATGTCCCTTATTTACTGTGGCTAACCTATAGAGCCACTGCCTTTGCGGTTTACTCTCATGGCCTGTGACCATGGCAAGTGGGCAATGACTGAAATCTGGAAGGCCAGGATGAGCACATGTCCTGGGGTTGTCTGGCTGAGCAATGATGAGGTCATCGCCCCCCCCCCCCCCATTCTACAGACAATCTGAGTTTAGCAGGATTAGAGAAAGCAAGCATTATTAATTTTCTTGTTGTTGTTCTTTTCAAGACAGGTTTCTCTATGTAGTCCTGGCTGTCCTGGAACTCACTCTGTAGATCAGGCTGGCCTTGAACTCACTGAGATCCACCTGCCTCTACCTCCCAAATGCTGGTATTAAAGGTGTGTGCTCCCACTGCCTGGCAACATCATTAATTTTACCATGCCTCAGACTTTAATTAAGCAGCTATTATCAGGGCTTAGAATAATTCCTCAGAGACCTCCTGCCTACACTCTTGAGTGCTGCCATTACAGGTGTGAGCCAGTGTGCCCAGTTTTTTTTTTTTTTCCATATTTGAGACAAGGTTTTTGTTATGTGGACCCAGCTGGCCTCAAACCTGTGATTCCCTGCCCAGGCCTTCAGTATGTTGGGACTGTAGGCAAGCAGCCACAGACTTTTATACTTGAAGTCAACTTCCCAGAGGGTTTTCTGCTTATTCCTCGGATTTATTGTTGCCAGTGGATAATGGGGCACCACTCCTTCTTATTTCAGAGACTTCCTGAGAAAAGAGAAGACATTTTGGAAGTCAAAGCTGGGTGTGGTGGCACGTGCTTGTAGCCTCAGCACCCAGAGGGCTGAGGCAGGAGGATCTAAGTTCTAGATTCCCTCGGGAGTTAGCTGTGAAACACAATCTTCTGCACATGACATAGTGGATGCACCCATGAACACATAGCCATCCACAGGACTGGGCCCACCAACATTCCATTGTGGATAGGGAGGGATTCATGAGGCCCTAACCATCCCTGAAGAGCAGTAGGTAGTTAATGGTTGCTGGGATACAAAGAGTCATATTTCTCAGTGGTGTAGCCACTGGTAAGTTGCCTTTGCTCAAATAAATAACCGATGCTTATGCAAGCTTCACTGATTAAATACAGCAGGGCACACACAGAGACAAAAATGTGGGAGTGGACTTGGGAAGATGAGTTTTAGCAGGAGAGGGAGGATGACAACAGGACAGTGGAGGGCTGACCAAGGCACATCGCGTATGTGTGTGTGAAACTGAGAAACATGGAAAAGTGATTTCCTGAGAATTACTCCCACAGACGGTGGAAAGAGGAAGGGCAAGTGCAGTGCTTAGGCAAAAATTCCCCAACAATGTGTTAGGCCAGCCACCCAGGACATGCCTATCACCGAAGGTCCAGTGAGGCTGTTGAGTTGGAGCATGTATGCAGGCCCAGGATACGTGTAAAATGGGAGCGGATCATGGAAGGCTTAAAGGCGGGAGAAGATTCCTCTCCTTCCTGGAATACGATGGTGACAATATCGTTTCCAATGTGGCGCTTCCTTTCCACCTGTGATGAGCATAAAAGACACCATGAGAAGACCTGCTCTACCAGGGCGTACTCAGTTAAAGCACACTGTAGCAAAACCCCAGAGCCATCACGTAGCCCCAAGTAGTCTATGTGGCCTTGATACGCTATCTGGGTGCCTCTCCCAATGCAGGGTTCTTCATTTCCTCTTGCCAGCCCTCAGCTAATGTCTCCTTGTCAACCTCAAGGCCACCATGCTCAACAAACATCAACAAACATTACTGTGTCTGTCATGTTTAACATGATTCCTCATCCCCAGAGCTGTATTCGACGCACACATGAGGGTGCCTGGGGGAGAGAGCACACATGTACACTGGGGCTTCATGTAGGCTATCCAAGTGCTCCACCACTGATCTACACTACCAACTTACCTTAGCTAAGTTGAGAGCTCATACTTGGTGACAAAATATCTCTATATAATTTGACCCTAGTCAAATGCAGTATTTACAACTTCATAGACTGTATGGACTCTTTACAGCTACGTAGCTCCTAAGGCACAAAAGCTGCCACAAAGAATATGTGAGTAGATGTGGTATATGCCAGCTACATGGCACTCAGCAGAACAGAGACAGGCCAATTTGCCAGCTTTGTTCAAGACCTCTACTTACCTGGTCAAACTGAAATAATGCTGTTCCCCTGGATCCCTGTTGAGTCCCTATGTTGGGTCAGTGGTTTACTAAGGATGCTCACTTGTTTTTTGGCTTGGCCCTCACTGAAAGGTGGAGTTTATTTGCTTGCCCTGTCAATATGGGTCTTTCCCTCTTAGTAGAGTCAGAGTTTTATGTGACAGGAGTCTCAACTAAGCTAAGCATAACTCCCCAAATCCCCTCTGTCTAAACCCAGCTGCTAGGGCTGGAAAGAGCGCTTGGCAGTTAAGAGCATTTGTTACTCTTGTAGGGGACCTGGGTTTGACTCCCAGTATCTACATGGCTTACAACCATCCTTAACTTCAGCTTCAGATGATCAAAACCCTGTTCTTTCTCTGGGGGCACTGTATAACACAGCACACACATACAAATAGGCAAAACACTTATATATATTAAAACCAAACCAAACCCCAGCAGCCCACATCTTTATTGTGTCTAAATTTCAACAGGTTGGAATATTTTCTTCCCAAAATGGTCAACCTCTGGGGTGGGTAAGGAGAGCTCTGAGGGGACATTCCCAGCATGGCCAGCCCATGCAGACACTCAACGGTTAACTTCAACATCATTCTAAAAGCCACTTTTAACACCACATAACCAACTTTCTTAGAGTTTCTCTTGCTGTGACAAAACACCATTGACCAAAATCAACTTGGGGTTGAAAGGGTTTATTTCAGATTACAACTGTTATACTCCATCATCTAAGGAAGTTACTGCAGGATCTGATGCAGAGGCAATAGAGGAGCCCTTCTCACTGGCTTGCTCCCCATGGCTTTCTCAGTCTGTGTGTTTTTTTGTTTGTTTGTTTGTTTGTTTTGTTTTTAGTCCTGGCTGTCCTAGAACTCACTCTGTAGACCAGCCTGGTCTTGAACTCACAAAGATCTACCTGCCTCCGCCTCCTGAGTTGGGATTAAAGATGTGAGCTACCTCCACCCAGCTCAGTCTGTGTTCTTATAGCACCCAAGACCATCAGCCCAGGGATGGCATCACCCAATGAGCTGGACCTTCCCACAACAATTATCAATAAAAGGGGCACCTCAGGACAATCTGGTGAGGTTATTTTCTGAACTGAGGCTCCCTCCTCCCGAATGACTCTAGTTGCCAAGCTGATATAAAACTAGCCAGCACACCAACTTACTTTGTGTTCAGAATCTCATTCTGACAAGGCCAAAGGCAGGCACACTGGATGAAGCCACAGGGAGAAAGCATGTTAAATACAGAACAGTTTGCAAGGCTTCTTCTTGTAGTTGAGCAGGTCCCCCAGCTACATGTGCTGGAAGCCTGGCTCCAGGCATGGTCTTGCTAAGGGGTGGTGGTGTCTTGGAGAGGTGGGGCCTGGTGGGGTGATGCTTTTCTCATGGGAGATCATTCTTCCTCACTTAGGTCTATCTGGAACCTAACCTGGATTTCTCATGGCTGTGTGATTTCTTCAACATCTGTACCAACATGATAACCACCATAGGGGTCTCACTGAAGCCTAGTAAATGTCAGTGCTCTTGAAACTACATGACTCTGAGTGGAATAAACCTCTTTTCTTTATAAAGTACCCAGCTCCCAAGTATTTTGTTGTGGCAATATCACATAGACTAGTATGTCTTTAAAATCACAGTTGCACATGTACAAGCACATATATGTGTACGTATACCCACAGGCTCACTACTATTTCTGATCCTTAATTGAGATGATAGAGGCAGTTCAATTTCCAGCACCCACATTGCAGTTTACAGCTGTCTGTCACTCCAGTTCAAGCAGACATACATACATACAGGCAAAACCCCAATGTACATAAAAAACCTTTACAAGATGATAGAGGCAGTAACACCATGCTTCCTGAGCTTTGTTTGCAGTTCACACACAGACTATAAAGGAGTGCCTGAACTGGTAGCTGGTAACTGAAGCAGAGCTCACAGTAACATGCCTTGTCTCTAATTCTGCAAATCATTGCAATGCTCAGCTCACATTCAGTCACCATCTGATGGTCTGTGCTGTCAGAGAGCCTGTGGTCACATGTACCTGCTGTCTGTTTTCTTTGGAATACGGCAACATGGTGGAAACGTGAAACATGACCTCATGCCCTTGGTACACAGTATAGACTGAGTTGATCCCTGTGGTATTGTCTGTAAAACACAAGAACACAGTCAGTGAGTACACAGACGAAGGCATGCGGCACGCAGTACATTCTCAAAGACCATCAGGTTCATGAGTGTTGGCAAGCAGGGTAGATCACCGGATGTCAACTCTGCACTCGAGGCTCCTGTCCATGAGGACAGACCTGGCTCATACTCTCTAAGCTCCCTGCTGCCTGCTGCACATCTAGTTTGAACACAGGAAGTCAGGAGAAGTCTGGCTAGCAAGGGAGAACATGCTGCAGTCCCCATCTTCCTGTGGCTGTGGGGTAAAGGACACTCATGCTGATGCAGCTGCGATGCCCACAAAATCACAGGGAGGTTTCAGAAGAACAGTCTTGATGAAAGGCATAGGCTCTGGAGGCAGATGGACCAGGGCCTGAGTTCTCACTGGCTATGCTGCCCTCCTCAAATTTAAGGCGTTATCTTATTTTATAATTCACTTTTTAAAACTATGTTACTTTTTGTTTTTAAGTGTGTGCACATGTGTGGGGGTCCAAATGTCCATATCTAGTGTCTTCTTCAATTGCTCTTAGCATATCTTTTCTCCAAGTTTCACTTTTGATTTAAAGTCAGTCATTATATCAGTTATTCCTAAGCTTGGTGGATTAAATCAATGACTAACACTTATTTTTTTTAAAAGAAGATTTATTTATTTTTATGTGTTTGAGTGTTTTGCCTGCATGTATGTTTGTGTACCAAGTGTTTACAGTGCCCACAGAGTCCAGAAAAGTGTATCAGACCCCCTAGAACTGAAATTACAGAGTTTCTCTGATTCTGTGTCTTAATTTGAACAGGGGACAGTAGTATCTAACTCTCAGGGACACAGGAAGACTCAGACTTTGCAGGTCCCTGTAAAGTGCTTAACCTAGCAGAGACCTGGCTTGAGAGAGCTCAGCAGATAGTAGTCAGGACCTATAGTGAGGCTAAGAGCTGACCACCAGTGACGAGCTTACAGGTGCTTAGGAGCCCATCATGTACATGAGAAAGCTTGTCAGAAGAAAGCTGGGCCACACCTTCCACCTCTGGACTGGTAACTAAGGCATTTCCATGGCAGTTCTCATGCATTGCTTTCCTGCTGTGGGCTGTCAGGAAGACAGGCTCCCAGACAGTCAGGCTACCTAGACTAGAAGTCTGTCACATTTAAGCAAAAGGAGCCTTGTACCACCTGACTGACTTTCTCTGAGGCTTGACTGAAGATCAAACAAAAACCACAAACACAGAAGCACAAGAAAATGCTAGAAACGCTTCTCTTACGTTTTTTGGTTGTGAGCCTAGCCTTTAATGGCTGAGCCATCTCTCCAGCCCAGAAACGCTTCTCAGATAGAAGCTAACCTAAGTGATTCAAGTCTAAACCTGCCATCTAGTCTGTCTTCAACCACCTTCTACCTTTCCAAGCTCCCCATTCAATACCCTGAGATCAGTTACCTCAGGGCAGAGACCCAGGGATCTGGTGGGAATCCTTCTTCCTCTTCTCCCCCATTATCCATCATCATGGGATCTGGTGTCTTCTTCCTCAGAGGCTCTGGAGTTTGTACACTTGTCTCCGTGCCAGCCTGCTGTTCTACCAACCATGACAGTCATCACCACCCCCACTCCACCCCACCCCTGTTTACACTGTGGAATCTGCTTCTCCAATGGCCTGCTCCCTCCAGATTATCATCCCCACAGGTCTGCCCTAAGGGGACCTCACTGCTCTACTCAATGACATGCAAGGGGACTTCAAACACCTTACAGGGCCAAACCTTTCCTTTTCTAGTCTGAATTACAACCTTTTTGTTCCCTCTGTTCCTTCCAGCCAGAAAGATATTCTCTTAGTTTCTAGAACAGCATGCCACATTTGCTCCTGCCTCAAGGACTTCACAGATGTTCCCTGTCTGAATTCTTTTCTCATATTCTCCAACTGTTCCCACTCATCACTCCCTTGCTCCCTCAGAGAAGTCTTCTATTCCATGATTCGACAAAGCGCCTGTGGCACTCTCTGTGGCTCCTGATTCCTGTGAGCACTGACTGCCAAACTATTTCATAATCACTATTACTGTGCTGCCTGTGCTGCCCAAGGGACTGTCGGCTCCTAGAAAGGTAGGGGCCATGTTGTTTTGTGCACACAGACCCCAGGGCCCAGCAGGGTCCTGGAACACAGATGGTGCTTATTGGTAAATATAGCTATGGGATAACTGAGACATGTCACAAATGGCCCTCGATGAGGTGGGATAGCCTTATGAGATTCTACAACAGATGTGGCCCTTCCTTGATGGAAATACCATTCATTGTGCATGACCTTATGTATTTGTTGATCATGTCTCTTGGTGCGTCCTATGAGTCTTATAAAACCAATGGAGTCGATGACTGCCCAGAAAGACCTATGTTAGACTGGGGATGATCGTCATGTAACAGAATTTTACTAATTCCAACAAAGGGCAGCTTACTTTTAGTGTCCAGACCGCCACGGTAGCCTGTCCAGCCCTTTAGAGTAATGGTGTCACCGAGGAGATTCAAAAATTTTTGAAAAGCTTCACTTCCAATTTCTGCAAGAAAAGGCAAGGGATGAGGAAAGCATGGATCTCTGGTCCTCATTTCCTGACCATAATGAAATCGGTGGACAATGAGGTGTTGTTGATATGCACTATATCAAAACACCAGGTTGCATGGCCTTCCAGCCAGGGGCCATAAGGAGGCTCCATAATTCTCAGGAAGCCAAGGAAGGAAAAAAAACCAGGTACTGTTGTTGCTTTGCCCAGTGATAAACATGAAAGATACAAATGCAGGAAGAGGGTACTGTCTTTATATTTACTTAACCAGAAACAGTGTTCTCCAGGACCCACCCACTGCAGGGACCCATAGAAGTTAGGCGGCAGTAAAATACTTAGTAAATGAGTGAAACTGGTTGTGAGCTGCCTTATAAAACTCTGTAAACTGCCTCCTGGTATTGGAGATTCCAAATAAATACTCAGTTTTGGCTGTGGGAAAGGCAGTAAAGGGCACCCCCAGTAGGGGTGAGGTAAAGGGCAGGGTCTCCCTCAGCAGGGGTGAGGAGGAGCTGCTCACCATTGCTGAACATCTCGTCGTCTGTGAGCTGCCCATCCTTGGCAAAAAGTACCCCGAATTTGAAATTCACAGAGCCCTTACAATGAGACAGCAAAAGAGAGGCCAGTTAATCTTATCACTGAAGCATGCATAGTGTTTGCCATTTAGGATTACTGCAATCATCCGACTGGACACTTAGGGGAGTCCTTCCTCCCATGAGCCCCAGGGCTGACCAATGTTAACAAGAGACACTCTTTTTTCTGTAGGTTGCAAAATAACTAGCAGATGAGTAGATCCATTTCTATACCAGTTAACAATTTCATTATTGATGGCATCAGGAGGATGCCAGGTCCATGCAGGAGCAGCATGGTGCTGCTGACACACAGCCACAGGTACTCATGGGTCTGGCACCACATTCTGATCTACCCATCAGCAACAGTTCCCAGAAGAGTAGGGGAGCTAATTGTCACTCAGAGCCAAACAGAACAATCTCAGACTGAAGTCTGGTAGGCTCTTCTAGAAATAGATATGGAAATTGTGGGCAATTTATGTGAAAAGCTCACCTCCCCCCATTCCTGAAGATATTTAATCTGAACAGATGTGCAAATAAAAGACAAAGCAAGCCAAGCAAGCATGGTTTGAGTTTATAATTCTCAGTTTGAGTTTATAGTTCTCAGTTCTTTGGAGGATTGATATAATCTGATCCTGCAAAAAATGACCACCACCAATGTATGATGGGAGCGCTTCAGAGAAGAGAGGAAGACAGAGGAATGGAGTCAGGGAGCAGGAAGTAGGCTCTCAACTGTTACTTTTAAAAGATTTGTTTATTACATATGGCTTGTTATGTGTTGCCATAATTCATTACTATATATGTATGTGGTGGTTATATTTATCACACAAGAGCATGTGCCCTCAAAACAGGGTACTGGATCCCTTAGAGCTGGTGTTACAGGCGGTATGACTTGCTGGACATGAGTGCTGGGAAGCAAATCTGGTTTCTATGCAGGAACAGTACATGGTCTTAATTGCTGAACCATCCCTGGAGCGCCCCCCCCCCAACTCTGTGTTTTTAATGATATTGCCATTAATCTGGGCAGGGGATTTATATGCCATTCTCTCTAATTTTGTGCACGCCCAAATTACTTAATAATAAAAGAATCCACTGTTGGAAGAACAGCACCATTACAAGGGTGTCTCACCCACCACTTGGTGAAGGATTCTTGTTGGCCAGTCAAGGTGTGGGTGATCAAGAGTATTAGTCCATGGGGCCAGAGGTGGGAGGCCAAGGCACAATGCTGGGAATGACAAAATTAAGACTCTGAAAACCCAGCCTAGGCTGATGGCTCAGTGATTAAAGTGCTTACCACATATGCAAGAAAAAGTGGAATTCAGACCCCAGAACCCACATAAATGCCTGGTAGGTATGGCAAGGTGTCTGCCTGCCTTTCTAGTAAGGAACCCCAAAGTAAGCTAGCTACCAAACTGGATGTGTCAGGGAGCTCTGAATTTGATTTGGAAATTCCAACTCAATGAATAAGGTAGAAGAGGGGTAGTAGATGAGTCCTGACATCAACTTAAGACATCTACATGTATGTGCACATGTACCCAACACACAGAAACATGCACACATACCACATACATATAATTATGAAAAGAAAGAAAAGAATCTGAAAATCTATGCCTGAGGCTGTGCTTAAACCCTTCTCTGTGTCTAACACACCAGCAGACAGATGCATGTCCTTCTGTAACAGTGGCTTTCTATACAGACACAGAAACAGGGAGGGTATTCCTATTGTGGGGGATAATGTTCTTCCCCACCAGGCAAGCCTCAGCTCCAACAACAATTTCCAGAGAGACCACCTACCACTGCCCCTGTTCACTCTCTTTACACCACTATCCCGACTGTAATTCTTCTTTGTTTCTTTTTTTCAGGACAGGGTTTCTCCGTGTAGCCTTGGCTGTTTTGAAATTCTCTGTGTAGACCAGGCTGGCCTCGAACTCACAGAGATCCACCTGCAGGTTTGCCACGATGGCCCTGGTCTGCATCTCTTTTCTCTTGTCCTGGTGTTAATAATACTCCCCAGAGAGTCCCAGTTTAAATGAGAAATTGTATAGAACCTTCCACGTCAGGTGGACGTTTCAGGAAGAACTTGTCTTAAGTTCTTGAACTTTCTTGGACTCTACTGAAATAATTTGCTGTCTGGGCTTCGCAGATGATGCCCACAATGAGCAGAACGTATTCATCTATTTTCAGAAATCAAGGTGTCTACCAGCATAATGAGCTGTTTTGTACTTTAGGAGAGGTAACTGCATCTGGAACTACTGGATCATAACACACTATTTTGAGATGTTGCTTTCCTGCACTAGGAACTGAACCCAGGAATTCACCACACATGCTAGGCATATGCTCTACCACTGAGCTCCATCCCCTAACAGACTATGTTGGAATAAGACACTAAACACATCAGGGCTTCATAAGCATTGGATTTTGAGGGATGTAGAGAGCTTTCCAGGCCCCAAGTTCAGTCTGGGTCTCTGGAGAGAGCCTGTTGGAGAGTTATAGGCATTGATTTCCTCAGGACATGGTCCTGCTCAGACACAGAAACTGGTCACATTTGTCATTTCTATTTGTTTGGAAGTTAAAATATTTATAAAATTTAAAAAGATATATTTATTTGTATTTTATATGCATATGTTTGCCTGCATATATGTTTGTGCACTACATGTGTGTTCAGTGCCTGTGGAGGCTTGTAGGGGTACTGGAACTGGAGTTACACATGTTGTGAGCCACTATGTGATGCTAGGAACTGAACCTGTTCTGCAAGAACAGCCAGTGTTCACTGCTGAGCCACTTGTCCAGCCCCTACTTCTAATTTTATCTATGGAATTTACGTTCTAAATTATATTTCTTCTGTTAAAAGCAAAGTCTGAGCAGAAAATTCCAGCAAAGCCAGACTTGCTGGAACTGAGAAAGGATGGCCTTGTTCAAAACAGCACTGCTGGTTCCCTGCCACTGTTGTTCAGACAGGGCCCTGGCTAGTGTTATGACAACTTGACACAGCTAGAGTCACCTGAAAGAGGGAACCTCAATTGAGAAAAGGCCTCCATAAGATAAGGCTGTAAGACATTTTCTAAATTAGTGACTGATGGGGGAGGGGGAGGGCCCACCCCAGTATGGGTGGGGCCACATCTGCACTGGTGGTCCTGGGTTCTGTAAGAAAGGAGGTTGATCGAGCTAGTAATGAACAGCTCTCCATGGCCTCTGCATCAGCTCCTGCCTCTAGGTACTACCCTGCTTGAGTTCCTGTCCTGACTTCCTTCAGTGATGAACAGTGATGTGGAAGCATGAGCCAAATACATGCTTTCCTCCCAACTTACTTTTGGTCATTGTGTTTCATCACAGCAATGGTAACCCAAACTAAGACAGTCTTCTGTGTTTATAGGGTTCCACCTGTTTGTAGTTCACTGGTTTCCCCTGTGTGCATACTGCACAAGACACCATATCTCTTTTGGGGATGCCTGTCTGTGCAGCCATGAGCAAATAAAACACGGATTTCCGGTCACCAGCTTCATTTTACTAAATAGCTAATCTTTCAGGGACATTGCAAGTATTCCGTATTGTTTTTTGTTTCCTGCTTTTCCTGCCCATCATCACAACTCATAGCTCATCACTAGGATGGACTAGAGTCAAGGCCAGTGTGCCCTGCTGATTCTAGACGAGATGCTATAGGATTCAATGAGGATGCCTGGACCCATTGCTTAGAAAAGCTCTGATGGATATGACCTCTGCTCACCCCTCCCCAAGTCATCAACAAGGGACATTTTCTTCAAGCAAATATCCCCTTAGTAAGGAACAAAACAGAAACGGAAATCTAGCCTGTACAGGGTAGGTCAGAGATGAAGTGGGTGTTGTCAGCACACTGGAGTGGTTATAACAAATTCACTAAGACACATTTGAGTTCAGGACATTTTATAAAGACATGTCAACTAGGTGAGGTGATGGATTGGACTTGGGGTATCAGGGAAATGGAGGAGTTAGGATTTTACCAAGAAATTAGACAAATGATATTTTCATTTCTGCTATGGATAATATGCACAAACCATCATTTCCTTACTCAGTTATCTAAGGATAACATGCTGGATATTTCTATGACACACATACATTTGCACAGGGCACACATGTGTGCACACAGGAGCACACACACACACACACTTAAAATGAGGGTAACAGAATGAAGCATGCAGATGTCTTTGGCACTTAGCACAATACAGTATGTGGCTACTGCACAGACATCCTACTTGAATGGAAATGTGCACTTCTTTACACTACATTCATGTATTTATGCAGATTTAAGTATACTGGTCTATTTACAGACAGCTGTACAGAAAGTTCTGAAGAAGACCTTGGCCAGCCCATTCAGTCATGCCCCTCTGTGAGAACAAGCCAACACCGCAGATGCACTAAGAGAGACTCTGAGAGTCTCTGACTCAGAAAGAAGGCTGCACTCGCAGTGAAGGGACTGATACTCACCTCTTGTTCTTCCAGAACCAGCAAGTCCTGTCAAGCAAAGTTTCAGAAGTTATATTTATACATCATGGTGATTACTGGATTTTGGTTCTCTGAGAAAGCCAAGCTTTACATACTCACATGATTTGATGTTAAGATAATTTGGAAATAATGTAAGTTGGTTATTGGATCTCTCTTTAAGGAAAACAAAACCAAAAATAAACAACTGAAAACAAAACTCCAGCTGGGCCATACACCTCTCAGAAAACCTCTGATAAATACTAACTGCTGCTCACCCACCCTAAATCAATGCACACTCACTGCTTCAGAAAAACATTCCCTTAGTAAGGAGATAAAATTGAGAAGTAGAGAACTAAACACCAATGTCAAAGGTTGACAGCAGGATTAAGATATTGGTCCAGAGCATCTCATTACTTGCCCCACACTAGGACAGCTGCCCTGAAGAGACCGTCTCCTGAGATCAGCAGGAAGCAGCGTAATCCTAAAGAGCCCTGGCTTTGAGTTCTTGCTCTGCTGCCTACAACTGTGTTTGTTTCTTACCCATGACTATCTTGCCCTACATGGGTCACTATGGAAAGTGACAGAATGAGTGTGAGGGACATCTGGCAAACAGCCTCAGGTCATTTTCCCATCTCACACTCAGTTATTTCATAATAAAGTGAAGTTGGTAAGCAGATACCAAGGCCAAAGGCTTCAATAGAGGTCACTGGGTGAGTGGAGGTGGGGAAGGTGGGTCCAGGTAAGCCATGGCTGCCAGTGAGAGCTGAGAGGAGGGCCAGGATAGAGGTGGAAGAGGCTGTGGGAGCCTCATCTTCCTTGTCAACCCTGGAGATGACAATTCTTCAATTCTTTTGTTTTTTTCTTGATTTCTTTTTTAAAATAAAATTTTATTTAAATTGAGAAGCAATATTATTTTAGATATTGATCCCAGTTCCCTCTCCCTCCCATCCTTCCATGTCTCCCCACTGCCCCCCATTCCATCTCCCATCCACTCCCCAGGGAGAGTGAGGTCTTCACTGAGGGATCATCAAAGTCTGTCACTTTGATGACAGAGACAGAGGGCCTAGGCCCTCCCCTGTTTATCTAAGCTAAGAGAGTGTCCCTCCATAGGGAATGGGCTCCCAAAGTCCATTCATGCACTAGGGATAAATCTGCTTCCACTGCCAGAGGCCCCATGAACTGCTCAGGCCTCCTAACTGACACCCGCATTCGGGGGGGTGGGGCTGGTTCAGCCCTATGCTGGTTTCCCAGCTGTCAGTATGTAGTCTGTGAGCTCCCACTTGCTCAGGGAACTGACAATTCTTAAAGAAGTATGTGAGGCACACAAAATCCTCCATTTTTTGTAACACAAGGGCTCTTTTGTTCAGAATTCAGCCATTATTGTTTCTGAATCCTGGAAAAAATAAAACTGCTATGTGTCTTATACTTCATATTTGCATGTCGTTACACACTTTACTGAAAAACCCTCTTTTCCATAATTTCCTTTGATCTCAAGCACCCTGCCATGTAGCCTAATCATTCCAGAATTACAGGTAAGGAATTGGAGATCCAGCAGAGCCTAGATTCTTCTGAAACCTGCAAGTACACACTTATGGTGAATACAATAACGGGGAGCTTCCCAACTGCCTTTAGTCCAGCAAGTATCAGACCTGGGGCACTCTGCTACCTACTGGCCCCTGGCCTGGTGAGGGTCCTCAGTGTCCAGGCTGTGGAAGTAGCCTTGTACCAGGAGGCCCCAGGGTCTCAATATGCAGCTCTGGTGGCAGAAGAGATGCCACAGGCTGCCAGCTCATATTTCCTTTGTATCTTCCTTGTTTTGGACTATATCTGCTCAGAAGTAGGTGCTCCTGCCAGGCACTGTGGTCTACCAATGTCACACCTGACAGCATTCAAAGTTTTAAAACTCTCATTTCTGGATTTGTGAGCACCAACTAGATCTCTTTTTGTTGTTTCCTAGTTTGTAATTTCAGCCTGGAAGGTCTAATTTTATGTTAGTAATGGTGTTTCTTAAAGTCCTAGTGATGTTATTTTTCTTTGTGTCTGTGTGTACATGTTTGTGTATGTATGCATGTGTGTAGGAGGCATGTGCATGTCATAGGTCATGTGTGAATATCAGAAGAAACCTGTGGTGTTGGTTCTTGCCTTCCACACTGTTTTCCACTGTGTGCGGCAGGTTAGCTGGCCTGGCTTCTGAAAATTTCCCCATCCCTGCCTTTCACCTTGCTGCAATTATGGATGCTAGCTACTGCCTTAAGCGGGCTCTGAGGATCTGAAACCAGTCTTCAAACTTTGCCAGTCCCTGCTGTTGCTTTTTTAAGGTAATTTTGATTTTGACCATTAGTATGTAGCTAACATTAAACTAAAACAACAACGACAACAAATATTAGCCAGGCAGTGGTGGTGTATGCCTTTAATCCCAGCACTCAGGAGGCAGAGGGAGATGGATTTCTCTGAGTTCAAGGCCAGTCAGGTATACAGAGCTAGTTCTAGGACAACCAAGGATACACAAAGAAAGCCTATCTCAACAAAGCTAAACCAAACTAAATTAAAAAAAAAAAAAAGTGCATGATTTTAAATAGACTTAAAAAAACTAGAAATGCTTTAAACATTCAGATTTAGTTCTGTAGATTTTTATTCAATCCCTGGTCACCAGGGATTGTCATCTACAACTATCCAGAACACAAGATGATAGAGAGATGCAGATCGGTAACACAGAGATGCCCACTTACCCACTTACTTAAAGCCAACTTACTTCTGGAAGGAATTTGGTCAAGAAAAGTGTCACTGCATTCTGGCAAGCAGAAGCAGAGGGGCAGCATTTTAATAGGACCAGACACCTTCCTTTTCTAATGAGGTGGTTCAACTTCTGTTCACTGTGTGGGTCCTGTGACTGTCAAGGGATCCTAACAATAATGTGCAGAAGTTGGGTGGTAGCTCTGATAGCGTGACTTTGGGGACTGCCCTCAGGCCCAGGGAGGCTCATGAGTGTTCATTGTTAAAGGGAGAAACCTAAAACACAATTATAGGAAATAATAAGATAACATTTTCATAGGAAACAGGCACAGAATGGTGACCCCAGCAGGCAGGGTGCTGATTGACTCTGTTACTCTGTGGGAGAGAAGGCAGCTGGGGCAGGCTAGCACAACCGCTGAGAGACAGGTGCCACAGGGCAGCTCCTCCAGGACTCTGGGGTGGTGTCTTCAGAGTGGGGAGAGTAGTGGTGATCACTCACAGGCACCAAGAAGGAAAGGGTTAAGAATGTTCTCATAGGCTGTTGTGGAGGTTCATGCCCATATGCCCAGCACTGCAGGGACTCAGGCAGGAAGGACATAAGCTTGAGGTCAGCCTAGTTTAATAAAGTGAGTTCTAGGGTAGCCTGGGCTTTATGGTCTTAAAAAAATCCAAGCTATATAATGGAGCAGTGAAAGCACATTGCTACTGATGTATTTAATTCTCATTTGCTTTTAAGGTTTCCGTAGTCATTTTAAGCACAGCACGGCTTAAATTTGCTCAGTTTAACCTAACACACTAAATTTTGCCCAAGTTTATTCTAGCAGAGTACAATATTATTTTATTGCTTATTTATGTATTTAGTACGTGTCTCTGTGTGTAGATGCATGCAATGCTTTGGTGTATGAGTGAAATTCAGAGGACAACTTGCAGAAGTCACTTCCCTCCTTCTACCATGCTGGTCCTGGTGGTCACACAAATAGTATTTTACAAATTAAGTGAAAGCAAAGGCTTGAGGACATTCAACTCTGTAAGTCTGGGTTAAGCTAAGTTGAAAGGCAATGACCTTAGTTTGAAAGCTTTCCTTAAAGGGATACAGAAACTAATTATTCATGCTCTCATCAGTTCTCAGATTCTCATTTGAGTTATTTCCCCTGCAAATGAACTCATTTACCTCTCTGCCTAGAGACCCCTGCTGCCTCCTGGACACAACCCCAGCTGCCTCTCCAGCCATGCCTTGTCATCTAGCTCTGGCACAACCCACCTCCTTGAAGCTCAGCTTGCTCTGTTGACTGGCATCCCATTGAGGATGGCTACAGTTCTAAAATTTCACAGCTATGAAGGCACAATATACACACATAGGCGCGCGCACACACACACATACGCACGCACGCACACACAGAATCCATGTATTGTTATGAAGCCCCACAGCTTCTTTTACCTTTTGTATCTCGGGATGAAAAATTTCCCTAGGGCCTTTCTCAAACTTGTCCAGGTTCATGGCACTGAAACAGAAGACAGAGTGAGTCAGTGAGGCAGGGACAGAAGCAACAGGGAGGAGGTGCCTTCACTGAAGAAGACAGGTAACATTGTCTCAAAAAACCATAGTGGACTCTCTGTAGGGCCTGATACACTGGAAATGAAGGAACTGAGCGAATCCATGAACTTCACCAATTGCCATGGGTAACTGTCCTTTCTTTCAGGATACTCATGCAGTGAGACAGTGGCTGTCATCTGGGACATTGGCCTCTCTCATATTGCTATTGACTCATTCGTTGTTCTGTTATCAACAATTTCATATTTATGATATCTTTACCCCTGGGCCCTGGAGCACAGATACTTGGTCTAAACCTTGCAGTTTACTAGCTCTGCAGTCTCTCCTGCCATCCTCTTAGGGGAATGGAGGCAACTGCAAGTAGACTTCGTGCAACTGAATTAGAGTCACTGAGAAAATGCTGGGAAAGCATTCAGCATGGTGTCTGACAAGGAAGCTACTATCATTAGGATGTAATGTCTTAGCTGGAGATAGAGTGACAGGCTCCATCTGAGTGGCAGCTTTCCCGGAGCCTGGGAGGGAGGATGAGAGGGATGTGGGAACCAAGGGCAGGAGCCAGATGTTCCAGTCCTTTCACTAGTTGTTCAGTGAAGAATAAAGCACATCCCCCCAGGGAGCCTTTGCTGACATCTGGGTTTCTATTTCAAAGTATAAGAATGAAATGAAAAAGATTTCTTGATTTTCTTTCTAAACCCAAAGTACCCAAGAGGGAGAAAAAAAAGCATCAGGCAAAGAATGCAGCAGGGAGGGAGGGTGCTTAGGAGCTGTGACTGGATAGTGTGGGACACTAGCCGTGAAATCTGGTTTTTCTGCTCTGAGCCTCCATTTCATCATTTGTAAAATGGAGGCAACCACAGTCCTGCCCTCTGGGGCTGCCTTGGAGACTCTAGGAGGGGATGCCCAGCTAGACAAAGTGCCAATCAAGGAAAGTGAATACACAAGGATCCCAGGAACATGCAATGCACACAGGGCCTCAGACTAGTGTGGGTCCGTCCTGAGTACTCACCTTAAAATGGACTTCACAGACAGCGTCTTTGTGGGACTGTAGGGAAGGCATATTTTTTGCGTACCCTGGAAGAAGCAAAGTGCCAAGCAGTGATGAGTCTGGCGTCTTCCCCTCTGAAGAGCATCATCTGGTCTCTGTTGTGAAACCATGCCTGATCTGTTTTTGCTCCGGCTGGCAGCACCTCCCTCTATGAACTCCTGGTTCTGATCAGAATTCAACACACCAGGCCTCTGCATCCTGGTACCATGGACAGTGGAGCCATCTGCTACACTTTGGATACAGCCCATTTGTTGAAGGCTATGTTACCAGTCTAGGGCACTGTTAGAAGGTGTGGAAGCTTTAGGAGCTGGACTTGATGGAAAGTCTTAGGTCACTGGGGTGATGTGCTCTCAGTAGGACCCTGGTCTGGTGGTTCCCAGCTGCCATGAGGGGACCAGCTTCCTCTAGCTCCACAGATTCTGCTGTGAAGTGCTGCCTCTCCACAGGCCCCAAAGCAATGGGCACCTGACCTCCACAGCTGTGAGCCAACATGAACCTTCCCTCTTTTCAATTCTGTCATCATTTCGGCTTCCTGGGATCCTGAGAACCACACCACCTACACCATTCAAAGGGACTGGTTTGGTCTCTGAGCTAAAAATCAGACATGATTCAAAGATTATAAAAAAAAAATTAAGTCTCCTTTTGTTCAATGAGATTCAAGTACCATGCCATCCAGTCAAAGACCTTTTAACTAGAAATCACCCCAATCTTCCAGCGAGGTTTTAATACCTGTGCTGATTTATTTAAGTCATTTACTTGCTTTAAAATGAGTACCCACTTTGACTGACTCACAGGAAGGGCTGGAGAGTCCTGTGTCCAGCCCACCCAGACCAGAGGAGCTCCCTTCCATTACACAGGACTTACTATGCATGGATAGCAGATGTTATCCATATACTCATTTAAAGGCTTCTTTGTAACTTTGGAAAAAAATCACAAACTGGCATCACAAACAATTAGACAAGGGTTGTAATGTTTTTGCAGGAAATGAGCAAAGCAATAAATACTTTTTGTATGTGTTTGGGGGGACACTTCTAGCAATTTCTCTGTCCAAGCTGAGAACAATGGCCTGGGGTAGAGTTCCTCTGCCTTTCCAAGCCTGTGATCTTTCTTCGTAAAGAAAACATTTGACCAGTGTACAAGATACCTGACTCTCATCACCACCACTGGTCATGAAAGATTATCCCCACACTGGACCTTCTTTCTGGGTCCTCTACTGTATTAACTTTTTGACACAGAGATTGGAAACACTTCAAATACAGGAATGTAATAATAGTTCATGTGTCACACTTCCCAGGTCCCACCACTGGGAGCAGAGTTCTTCCTATGGCTTTGCGATACACTGGTCCCAGTGTACTATTCACCTATACAGGAGGCTAACCTGCTCAAGGTGGTCTCAGATCTGTGCCTCTGCTTAGCTTACTCCTTACTACCTTCTCTACTCATCAAACACACCAAAGGCAGTTTTAAAGACAAGCTCAGTATAGTTTTTAGCAGGTGACAATGACATCTTCATAGGTAATTATGTGGGTAGGAACCCAGGGCTTTCTTCACTACAATCTGGCAAAGCTCTCCCTTCCCATCTCCTGTTTTCAGTTCTCTAGAGTCAATACTCAAATAAAACCACTCTGTAATCTCTGGTGGAAACATCAAATGCCCTAAGTGGAGGTCCTGTGTCTGCACATCTCAGGCAACCAGAGGTGAGGTGAGCACTGTACAGATTCACAAGCACAAGCTGGATATTATATGGTTTGTATAATAATGGATGTGTGCACGCGCACACTTGCCAATACACACTTGTAGAGACTCCCAGAAGGGTGCTACAATTACAGACATTGATCCCCCTCTTTACACCAGCTGTATTATCTGGATGGAATTTTTAAAGTGAGTATGAATCATTTCTATATACAAATCTTCCCCATGTGTTCAGATGACATCAAGCATAGTACTGGGAATGTCACCCAGTGGCAGGGTGTTTGTTTGCCTAGCAAGTGCTTTACCCTGGTTCCATCCCCAGCACCTCAAAAAACAAGCACAGATACACAGAAAGGACTGCTTGCAGTAGGGTTATATGTTCTGTTGGTTTCTAACTGATATTTAACTAAGACAACATGGGCTTGTGTGCATAGAGGGCTGGGCAGAGCCTGCTATCTGAACTTCCCACAGTCTCCAGAGCCAGCTTGTGGTTACAGGGATTTAGTAACTGGCTTCTGCTGACATTCTGGTTTTATTTATTTTTTTATTAAAGATTTATTATTTATTATGTATAGTGTTCTGTCTGCATGTACACCTGCACACCAGAAGAGAACACCAGATCTCATTACAGATAGTTGTGAGCTACCATGTGGTTGCTGGGAATTGATCTCAGGCCCTCTGGAAGAGCATCCAGTGCTGTTAACCTCTGAGCCATCTTTCCAGCCCCATCTGGTTTTTCTCATCCCTTTCAATATTTCCATTTGTAGCTAGAAGCAGCTACTTACACTGTTGATGGCCCCGGTTATGGTGGTGGCATGGGGAGATGTGTTGGTCCTTCTAGTTCTTTTGAGTCTTGGAAAGCACCTGTCCCTGTAAACCTTGATTCCATTAAAGTCCCTTGTTATGAACATACCTCTGCTGGAAACAGGTTTATGAGATTTTTTTTTAATCCAAAATCTGCTTCAAAAATAGACAAACTTGAAAAAACTATAGAAGTTTACTTAAATGGAAGAAGCTGCATCCAGAGCTGTTAAGCTGGGCCTTGGTGCTATCTACTTACTCATTCAACACATCCTTCTAGAGCTATGCCTGTGTGTTAGGTACTCTGCTATACGGTGGGGGCATTGAGGGAGGACATGAGTATGCACTTGAGTGGGAAGACATTATGAGTCAAAGATTTACATATATTATTACATTATGAATATTAATTATGTACAGTAGGGACACCCTGGTAACTGGGCCCTGGGATGAATCTCCTGGGAGGCACTTTGGCCATGCCATTTAACTTCTGTAATTGCAATAGCAGGTATTAAGATTTGGGTAGTTAAAGAATTATCTAGCACAGTGGTTCTCAACCTGGGGAATCATAACCCCTTTGAGATCTAATGACCCTTTCATAGGGGGTTGCCTAAGACCACTGGAAATCATAGTTACATTCCAATTCATAACAGTAGCAAAATTACAGTTATGAAGTAGTAACAAATAATTTTATGGATGGGGGTCACCATAAAATTATACTGTATTAAAGGGTTGCAGCATTACAAAGGGTGAGAACCACTGATGTAGCTTATATTAAGTACACAATAAATGTTAGGTTTTATTCTTTACTATTTTAGAAGTACCTAATCATAATTTGTTGAATAGTAGTGGTTCCTAGAAAGTTTTTCTTTGTGCGATAGAGTCTCATATCCCAAAATGACCTCAAACTTATTACGTGAGGATGGCTTTTAACTCCTGACTCTCCTGCCTCTGATTCCCAAGTGCTGGGGTTACCTGGTTTATGCAATGCTGGGATGTTGTGATATAATATTTATGATTTAATAAAGATTGCCTGAAGTATCAGAATGCAAAGCCACACTAGTTAGCTATGGAAGGTAGGCATTGGTGGCACACACCTTTAATCCCAGGACTCAGGAGAGAGGCAGATGGATCTCCATTTGTGCAAGGCCACCCTGAGCTACACAAAATTGATCCAGTCTAAAAGAGAAATAGCTCACACAAAGGTGATCTCAGCACTTGGGATCACACACCTTTAATCCCAGCACTTGAGGTATGTACGATAGGAGCAGATATTCAGGCTGGAGCATTTTGGTCTCCAGCCACATTGAGGGCAGGATTGCTACAGCTTGGGCAGAGGTAAAAGCTACTGGCTTAGCTTCTTTGCTTCTCTGATTTTTCAGCTTTAACCCCAATATCTGTCACTGGGTTTCTATTTTTCATGTTACAATGGGGGCTGAACACAGGATTTCATGCATGCTGGGCAAGCATCCAATCAACAAAGCCTTATCCTCAGTCCTTCTTTCTAAGTCATTTAAAGTTGTTACTCTATTGCTACATATGCACATGTGTGTAGAATGTGAGTGGATATGTGTATGTGTATATGCTTTTACCAGGGTATCATACTGTCTGTGTAAAAACACTCCGAGAAGATAATATGAAAAGAGAATAATGGGAAAAACTTATGAAAAAATCAAATACAAGAATTATTAGAAAACAAATTTATGAGTCAGAGTAGCAAGTAGACATAATAAAAACATGTAAGGAAAATATGAAACCTAAACCAAATTCCAGCAGTATAATTGGATGCTGGTGCTGGCTGAACATGTAAGAGAAATGGGGACACATAGGGACTATAGCCAGATAATAATCATCTGTTCTTCCAATATAACTAAAAGCTGGGCCAGTTCGCAGCTTTAACTAGTAAACATAGCTTGGGTCAGGGCCTGAGGAGATGACTCCGATGGGAGATGCCATTCTGTAAATATGTTTCTCTTATTGGTTAATGAATAAAGCACCGTTGGCAAATAGGAAAGCAAGATAGGTGGGACTAGGAGACAAGGAGGAGAGAGGAAGTAGGAGGGAGGAGATCCAACATGGAGGACACAGAGAGAAGATGAGACCATGTGGAAATACTTAGATTAATAAAAATGGGTTAATATTTAAGACAGAGCTACCCAATAAGAAACTAGTAACAGGCCAATAGCTTTGTATCAAATACAGCATCTCAGTGTGTTAATTGGGCCTGGCTTGGCGGTGGGACCAGACCGGCGGGGGGTGTGGAGGGGGGGGAAAATACTCATAACATGACTCAGTGCTTCAGAGTGGTAATTGTTCTTCCAGAGGACCCAGGTATGCTTCCCAGCACCCACATGATGACTTATAATCATCCCTAACTGCAGCTCCAGGGGACCCAGTGTCCTTTTCTGACCTCCCTGGGCATTAGGCACACATGGTACACAGATGTACATTAAGACAAAATACTCATACACATAAAATTACAAGAAATGTAATTTAAAAAACAGCTAGGGCTAGCTGGGTGTGGTGGACTCCTATAAGCTTGGTCTCAGGTGGCTGAGACAGGAGGATTGTGAAGTTTGAGGTCAACTTGGTCTACAGAGGAAGTTCATGAATACAAAGTGAGATCCTATCTCAACAAACAAACAAAATGATAAGAAAAACTAGGGCTGGAATGCGACTCAGTGGCAGAATGCTTGCCTAGCATGCATGGAGCTCTGGGTTTGGTCCCTACAACATCATAAACTAGCATGGTAGTGCATAATCTCAACACTGAGGAATTAGAGACAGCAGGGTCAGGAATTCAAGGTCACCCTCAACTACAAAGTGAGTGTGAAGATAACCTGGGCTATATGAGACTGTCTCTAAAAACAAAACAAACAAAACCCTCCACAGCCTCCCCTCCAGCCCCCAAACAAAGAGGAACATACCACTACCATTAAACATCCCAAAAAGTAATAGATAAAACCTACTATAAAACCCACTGCCATTCCCCAGAGAACAAGATTTAGGGTATGGCTGTACCTGGCCGTGGCCTAGAGATGGAGGAGAAGCTGCTGTTCATGTCAGGCTCGGTAGCCCCAGCTTTGAATAATGACACTCTGAATTATCTACAATGAGAGGAACAGCCTGACAATGGGCTAACTGGACTCTGAGATGGGCATGTGTGCTGAACAGGCAACACCAGAGTGCAAGTCAGGTACTCACTGTTTTCCGCCACAGAATGGCACGGTACTGAGGGACACGCTGGTTGTTCTGGTCAGAAAGTGTCACAGACAAGAAGAAGGGGCTCTTCTCTGCATCGTTTCCAATGTAATTCTGATGTACTGCAGAAGAGACGATCTGTGAAAATGCTTCAGCCAGCAGTGGCCAGCACCCACATGAGCAGCCAGCCTAAGACTGGTATGGGTAGGAACTGACCACTAATTCTACACCCACATCCCTTTGCCTGCAACTGGTTCAGAAATGAACATGTTATTCAGTGTTGGCCAAGGCAAGATGAGAAATCTGCCAAGAGCCTTCTAGAAAGGCTTCCCACTCTAAATATACCCCCCTTCCTCTGGATATTGTAGTGTCAAGTGATATCTGGAGCTACTGCAGCCCCCTGTGCTCACAGTAAGGGTAGGGAGGCAGAAAAGGCAAACAGGCCTAAGCCTCTAATATCACTGAACTGTTGATGCCACCAACCACAGGGCCTTCTTGGCTCATCTGTAGCTTGCTATGCAGACTATGTTGGCCTCAAACTTTATTCTCTGTTTCCTTCTTGTTTAAACCAGTTTGAGTAGGCTTTGCATTACCTCGTTGGATGCTGCTGGCACTCAAACTTGCAGCAACCCTTTTGCTGTAAAGCCAATGCTATGGGCACTCTGTGCACAGCTATGGGGAAGAAGACTGGCACATTTCTTTCTTTGTAAATGCTTCTATATTCCTCACCCACCTGAGCAAACCCGCCTAGCCAGACCTGAACTTTAACTTTTTAGAATAATACTGTAACAGGTTTTCTTTTCTGTGTGTAGCACATTGGTATTGGTGTGTGTGTGTGTGTGTGTGTGTGTGTGTGTGTGTGTGTGTGCGCTGCACACACATGCTGTATGGGTGTGTATGACTGTCTGTGCACTTAGGGAAGCCAAGGGAAGCTACAGTCTTCTTCATTGCTCTCAGCTTTACTGCCTGCTGACAGGATCTCTTGCTTAACTGGATATGCTCCATCATTTTGGCCATGCTACTTGGCCACTGAGCTCCCATGATCTGCCTGTCTTTGCCTCTCCAGTGCTGTGTTGCAGGAATGCACAGCTATGCCAAGACATTTTACATGGGCTGGGGATTTGAATTTAAGTCATCATGCTGCAGAGCAATCACTCTTAACCCTTTGAGCCCCGTGACAGGTTTCTAAAAAGACACCACTTTCATTTCCTGGCTTGAGAATCATGTTCTACAATGGATGCCTCATGGAGTTTCTCTGCCACCAGTTACTTTTTCCTCCATTTCCAGCCCCCATCTCATTAGCAACTCACTTGCTTTCTGTCTTTCCATGTGCTCTCTACATGTACAGCCTAAAACCTATGTGTAACTGAGCTCTCGGTGTGTGTTAGGCACTGGTCTTTGTGTTATTTTTGTACATCTCTTTGGCAGCTTTGCTCAGACCTCTAGGGAAGGACCAGAAATAGTTCTACTTTACAGACATAGAAACCAAGTCCAAGCCCTCAGGCTGATGAGAGCAGAACCATGTTGCAAACCCATTCTATAGGTTCCATGAGGGCAGGAAGTGAGCCTTAGCACTGCTGCTCTCTGTACACTGCCAGACAGCAGGTGGAGCTTAAATCCTTGTCGCTGGTGAGTTAATGTGGCAGAGCCTGCAGTTTTATGGCCAAGATTTGCTCAGGAAACTGTTCTCTCCTTCATGGTCAAGAACTAGACGCTCAAAATGCGTGCAGATGTGTACTGACTCAGTTAAGTTAAAGCCTCTTTTCCATCCTGAAAATTTCTATCTCTCAAAGAAGAGATGGACTAATTGCCCATTTACCAGGGGCTAAAACAACAACAAGCCGGGTGGCAGTGGTACATGCAGAGGTGGGCAGATCTCTGAGTTTGAGGCCAGGCTGGTCTACAGAGTGAGTTTCAGTACAGCCAGGGATATACAGAGAAACTCTGTAGTTAAAAACAAAAACAAACAAACAAATAAAAAAACAACAACCAAAACCCCAAAACCAAACCAAAAAACTCCAACCCCCTCCCACCAAAAAACCAAGCCAAACAAACAAAAACCCAACAACAAAACCCAACCCCATGACACTTCTCAAAATGGTAACCCACATCAAGACAGCTCTGACTTGTAGCTCTTAACCCATAATGTTCACCACTGACCTTAATGGGAACTTCTCTGACACTGTCGTCCTACATTATTTCATCCCACCCATACAGGGTGTCTGAGATTATGCTGTTTTGAACATCATTTCTTTTCTGTTACCACAGAGGCATAATTACCTTGTCCTAAGAAATACTTGAAATACCACCGGGTGTGGTACTCTGGGTTTTCTAAGTGCACGTCTGTTCTTCGCCAAGTGCCTGGCAGAGCAGCTGCATTCTGTAACGGAACAAAGCTGCGTGGTTAAGAGTTGTGCTTGGAAAGTGAACATGAAGCTAGAAATAAAGCACAGTCAGAGAACCAGGAAAAGAGTCGCCACTAAAAGCACACACATGAGGGCTGTAACCGCATATTCTCACTAGCAGAGACACTTGGTATAAAGTCACTCAAATAGACAGTCTAGAAGTCTGCAGGGTGCAAGAATAAGAAGTGAACCCAGTTCTAACAGGTGTGTGAAGTCTTTCTCTTCCCAATAAATGGAGTCCCAATAAATAGAACTGCTGTCCCCTAGGGCACCAATTCTTACCACCTTACTACCAGTACATGTCCTCCACAGGATATTTCTTTGGATCTTACTCAAGTTAATTTGTTTTGTATGTTTTGTTTGTTTGTTTGTTTGTTTTGAAGCAGCGTTTCTCTGTGTAGCTTTGGAGCCTGTCTTGGCACTCGCTCTGTAGATCAGGCTGGCCCGAACTCACAGAAATCCACTTGCCTCTGCCTCCTGAGTGCTGGGATTAAATGCATTTTAACATTTATCCAGTTGGTGTGGATAATATGGACAACCGTAATAAGTAATCTATTTAAAGACAGTCATTGTTACTGTTTTGTATATATGATTATTAATCCTGGTTGCCAACTTGACTGGTCTGGAATTAACTAAGAGGTAAGCCACTGGGCACATCTACAGATAATTTCTTGATTAGGCTATTTGTGGTGGGGGACCTACCCTAAATGTGGGGGCACCTTCTGGTGGAGGCCTGACAAAAGCAAGTGCGACAGAAAAGGCTTTTTTATATCTTGCTGTTGGGTCAACACCACTGTTGCTGCCATCACTGCTGCTGTTCTTTGCTGACATAAGAGCCTGAAGACCAGCGAATCTCCAGCAATCTTCTAGGCTTTCAGCACCAGGCTGGGACTGCTGAGGCATCCATCCGTGTGGATCAGGTACCTACTGGGTTCTCAGCTTTTCCAGTGTGAAGACAGGAATCACTGGACTACACAGATGACATCATGCAAGCCAATATAATAGATCTCCTTTTAATAGATATTCAGTCCATCACTTCTGTTGCTTTAGACTCCGACTAACACACATTCCCTAACTACATCCATGTACACAGGTATTTTTTTTTCTTAACAACATGGAATCATACCAAGTCATGCAGTTTGGAAGATTGCAGATGCCCACAGTGGTCAGAAGAGGCCATTAGATTCCTTCGAACTGGAATTACAAGCAGTTGTGAGCTGCCATGTGGGTACTAGGAACTGAACCTGGGTTCTCTACAGGAGCAGTAAGTGCTCTTAATCTCTGAGCCATCACTCCAGCTTTTCTTTTCCCATCTCTATGAGACATTAAATACCCTTACATTGAACATCTTGATGGACAGGCTGAGACTGTGTCAAAGTCATTGGAGAGAAGCTCCAAGGACATACAGTTGCCATGGTGGGGAACAGCCTCTACAGAGCATGAGTTGTGACCCTGACATGTTCCTGTGACTTTCTAGACAGTTCTGACCAGTTCTCTCTCTCTCTCTCTCTCTCTCTCTCTCTCTCTCTCTCTCTCTCTCTGTTTCTGATGGTGAACTAACCAGTTCTTTATCATGTTGAAGTTTTCTTCAATTCTTAATTTACAAAGAGGCTATCAATTTTTTTCTTTGCCAGATCTTTGTAGAAGAGATTAAATGGAGTAGAATTGCAGTAGGTCTGATGCTGAATGGTTCTTTGATTTCTGGAGCTCCATACTAGATCATGTAATATTCTCTGAATAGATCACTGGACTTTTAAAAAGATGGATGTGTTATGGTTGTTCCCAAGGGCATCTGCTGATCTGCAGGCTGCTTCTCTGATGATGTTACTATCAACTTGACTTTTTGTGCCCTGGTCTCTTGTGAACTTGAAGCTCCCTAATTGGCCAGGTTTCCAGACAGTAAGTTCCAGGGCTCCCTCTTTCTCTGTCCTCCACACCAGTGCTGGGACTACAGGTGCCTATTGCCATGCCTGGCTTTTCACATGCTGGAGATCTGAGCACAGATCCTCATGTTTGTACAGCAAGCACTCTACCAATGGAACCATCTATCCAGCACAGCCACACACACCCCCACGCCATTGAAGACTCAGTTGCACAGGTTAAAGTTCTTTATCCCTAAACACTTCAGTGTCTATTTCTCAGGAAAGGGGTCTTTTCTTGTGTAACTAGAATACAGCTTTTGTCCTGGTGCTGGGAATTGAACCTTGTTCCTTCAACCATTGAGCTATATCACTAGACCTGCAATTCAGCTTTATCAACTTCATAAATTTAACATCTATACAATACATTATCATCTGTATTCTGAATCTGTCAACATACTCAATGCTGATGAAAGCGCCCCCCCACCCCCAGCACATAGTCATTTTGTTGCTGTGTCTCATTTAGCTGCCCTTTGGAACATTTTCAGATTGCTGTCTTTTGTGACAGTGGCAATTTGAAGCACATAGTGTCCTCTCTCCCTTGCTTTTTCTTGTGCCTGTTTGATGCATCTCCACAGATTCAGGGTTTGCAAACCCAATTAGAGCACTATGTATGTAAGGCTGTCCTCAGCTCATCAAGATAAACTTACTTTAGCTGCTTATGTGCTCCTTGTTGGAAAGGTTAACTGTGACAACCACAAGGTGTTTCCTCTTTGTTTTGACCTTTTGGGGTGACTTGGGAGGAGCAACAAATTGGCTTCTGTTCCTTGGAAGATGTCTGCTTGATTCATTATCTATAGCCACGTGTCTTAACCACGAACCCTGGCAGTACTCCTGCTCCAAAGAGTGTTCCATTATGCAGCCAGGTGCACACAGGTAGGGCATGGCCCTGGGGCACTGGCCAGCCATAGAGGTTGGTGTCGTGGTTTCAGTGCCCTAGACCCTAGCAAGTTTCACGTGAGCTTTGAGAACTCCATAACCCCTGCACAGTCAGGCTTCTGGAGCTTCCACGACTCAGGTAGAGAAACCAGAGAGGTTCCTTTCAAGTAGAGCCTTAGCTCAGTGCTTCTCAATGCACTGAAATGTGCACTTTCTGGCTCTGCTACCAAGCTGCTTCCCCAGAGCTCTCTAGGTGGAGTCTGCCAAACTTTCTTTTCTATGTTTTCTTTTTTTCCCTTTCCCTTTTCTCCCTGTCGTCTGCTTTCTCTCTCCCATCCTTCCCTCTCTCCCTGAAGGACTGAGGACCAAAGCGAGGCCCTCTTTCATTTGAACAAGCAAGCAGGTGGTTCTGGTAACAAAGAACTTTGGGAAGCAATGGTCTATACCAGAGATTCAACATTACAGAGTATATGAAACCTGCTCTTGGACTGGCTCTCTAATGTATTAAAAGTACTATGGATCCAGGCATAATAAATTATTTTTAAAAGGCTTTCCCTTTATCATAGTCTGTGTTTTATGCATTTAAAACCAAAATTCTGATTTTGGGTCTGATGGGGAATGTCCTTCTGTATATATGTTTCTCTTACTGGTTGGTGAATAAAACACTGTCTGGCCAATACATAGATTGATAAAAATGGGTTAATAATTAAGACAGAACTAGTCAATAAGAAGCTCTAGACACCAGCCAACAGCTTTATAATTAATATAGCGTCTGTGTGTTCATTTGGGGCCAAACGGCTGTGGGAAGCTCCAGCTACAGGGGTCTACAGGTTTGATTGTCAGAACTTTTGAATGTCCTGCCTTGGTCCATACATGTCCTTTACCCTGGAGGCTGAGCATGACAACTGCAGAACAGAAGAAGCCATGGAGAGGCAGCCTGAAGTTGAGAGTTAAAGTGGCACTGTGGGCAATGACATGCTGTGCACCTCTTTGAGAACCAAGTGTTAATGATGAGGTCTTTTTTAAGGACTGAAAAGCTATTTCACTTGCATCTTCACTAAATACTTAACTGAAATGGAGGGAGGGGACCCCCAATACCCAAAAGTTGTGAGTCTTGCAGAACCAGACACCTTCTGTCCCTTATTAAATGCTAAGGAGGATAGACAAGAGTGTGCAAAAGAAATGGAGAAGCAAGTAAAACCCTCTGCCCGGGGCCCCACAGAAAATGAGCCCTGCATTCTGATGATGTGTAGCACTGGCAGAGGGTAAAGAGTACAAAGCAGGGTGAAGTTGAATGACTTTCTCCACATGTCCAACCTTGTAACAATGACATAGATAGATACAGCCCCACCATTCATGTCCCCAGCCATTCTCCAATCACAGCCACCTCCCTGACTTCTCACCATGGGGTTAGTCTCACCTGCTGCTGGACTTCACAGGAATGAAACCCTATCATGTGTATTCACTTAAGCCAGCTTTTCATCCTTCAATACTACGTCTGTGACCTTCATCTTTTTGTTGGTACAGTGATTCTGTTTTTCATCACCATATAGTCTACAGGACAAATGCCACGACTGATGTATTCACTATTCTGTTGTTGGATGTTTAGATTGTACGTAACTGAAGCCACCGTGAATAGGACTCTGTCCTTGGTGGATACACACACTGTTGTGCATTCAGTTTTAGCAAGGATGGCCAGATAGAGCTCCAGAGAAGATGCATCACCCTGTGCTCCTGTTAGCACTGTAAGTCAGGGTTCTCACTGCTCCATGGCCTCTGGCCAAGCTCTGGGCATCCCAGGCCTCTTCTTTTCTAATGTTCTGAGAGGGTGTGGTGGTGCCTAACTGCAGCCTTAGTTCTCAGCAAGTCCTATTTTTAAGTATGACCTGTTTTATTAGAGGATGTCAGAGACAGACAGAAATAACAGCAGTTTCAGGTGGGAATGAAAGAGAAACACATGATTTGATATCAAAAAGAAAACTAAGGTGTCTGCTGCTAAGACTCATAACCTGAGTTTGATCCCCAGGGCCCACATTGGTTGTCCTGTCATGTCACACATGTGTGGTGGCATGCCCTTTCCCTCCATAAATGTAATTAAAAACAAAGTCAAGAGGAAATAGTCTAACAAATCCATTTTCCAGACAACTGATGTTCAACATTGCAACTACCACACTTACTTTATGCCCTTTGAGGCAAACATTTTTTTCAAAGACTTACCCTAGGAGAATGCACTTAAATGTCTCTTGCTGCAGGTGTGCCCACAGAAGCCCCTGGTGGCTAGTGAATTCTGATGTGGAGAAAGCCTCATTATTTCTGTACCAACTGCAAAGCCACAAAAGCTTCTTTTTGCTCTCTGTTTCTCCCTCCCATCTGGACTTGTGGGAAATGAATGAGGGGCACTGAATCTGACCTGAATATTTTAAGAATTTAATTAAAATCCATATAAAACACCTGATTCTGCTTGAGTGTTCCCGAATATTTGGCTTCTGGCAGGAAATCCACACATACATTCAGGCTACAAATGATACCTCTAGTTTTATGTTATGCCCATGATTCCCCAGAGTTGTGCCACAGTGGGGTAGACAGAGGACTGAATGCATTTAAGTAGCTCCACTTCACAGGTTAGACTGCTGAAATAGCACCAGACCTTTTTTTCTTTTACAGTTTCTATATATTTTTAAATGACTGTGGTGGCTGACTGGAATGGGAAATGTCTCCCACAGGCTCGGGTATTTGAACACTTGGGTCTCAGTTCCCGCACTGTTTGGGAGGTTTAGAGGGTGCAACCTTGTTGGAGGAAGTTTGTCTCTGGGAGCAAGCTTTGAGATGATAGAACTTTGGCCCCTTCCAGTTCACTGTCTCTGCTTGGTGCCTGCATTATAAGATGTGAGCTTTCAGCTTCCTGCTCCTGCCAAAATGCTTGCTGCTTGCTGCCATGTTTTCCCACCATAATGGACTCTTATCCTTATGAACCATAAACCAAAATCAACTTTCTTCCTCAGTTGCCATCAGTCACAATACTTTATCACAGCGACAGAAAAATAATAATACTGCAGCATTACAATTGTAAACATAAATGTAAGCCCACTGTGAAAAAGTGAAACCAAACACAACTTAAAATATTTTCTCCCCCATCCTCCACATCCCAATCCACTTCTGCCCAGTAAAACCATGTGACAAAATTGGCTTGAATACTCCAGACCTTTGTTATGTATTTACAAAGATGTGTGTACTTTACATGTGCACACATTTACATACTATACATATGCACTTACACACATGGGAGGTATTATATTGACACCTGTTTTTCCATTAAAGAAAATGCCTTGGGGGCTAGGGATGTAGCTCAATTGGATTGGTAGAATGTTTGCTGAGCATGCCATGAGGTCCCAAGTTCAAGTCCCAGAACCATAGAAACCAGGCGTGGGGGCACAGGTCTGTAATCCTAGCATTTGAGAAACAGAAGCAGAAATATCAGCTTAAGTTCATCCTATGTTACCCAGAGACGTTGGCTAAGCTGAGGAACATGAGATCAAAGAGAGGGAAGGAGGGAGGCAGGGAAGGAAGGAAAGAAGGACAGAAGGAAGGAATAGAAAAGATCTAGGAAAATTTTCTGTTAGCACGTCTAGATCTACTTGGTTCTTATTAATAACTGTTTAAGCTCTTTTTCATTTCTTTTTTAAATTTTTTTTAAATTAACTTTTTACATTCCAGTCTCAATTCCCTCTCCCTCCTCTTCTCCCACTCCCCTCACCTCTCCCACTCCCATCAGCTCCTCAGAGAGGGTAAGGCCTCCCCCTAGGAAGTCTACTAAGTCTGTCCCATCATCTCATTGAGGCGGGACCAAGGCACCTCTCCATTCCCCACACCCCTGTGCTTAGGCTGAGCAAGGTATCTCTCCATATGGAATGGGCTCCACTAAGTCAGTTTGTGCATTAGAGTTAGATCTTGGGACCCACTGCTAGTGGCCTCATATATTGTCCCAATCACACCATTGTCGTCTATATTAAGGGAGTCTAGTACAGTCTTATGCAGATTCCCCATTTGTCAGACCTGAGTCAGTGATCTCTCACTAGCTAGGGTCAGCTGATTCTGTAGGTTTCCCCATCATGGTCTTGACTCATTTGTTCATATTATTGCTCCTCCCTCACTTCGAGTGCACTCCAGGAGCTTGGCCCATTGGCTAGGTGTGAATTTCTGCATCTGTTTACATCTGTTTCTGGAAAAGAGTTCTAGCTTCTCTGGGGTTGTGAATTATAGGCTGGGTATCTTTTGCTTTATTTCTGGTATCCATTTATGAGTGAATACATATTTGTCTTTCTGGTTTTGGGTTACCTCACTCAGGATAGCTTTTTCTAGTTCTGTCCATTTGCCTGTGAATTTTAGGATGTCATTGTTTCTTACCGCTAAGTAGTATTCCATTGTGTAAATGTATCACATTTTCTTTATCCATTCTTAAGTTGAGGGGCATCTAGGTTGTTTCCAAGATCTGGCTATTACGAATATATTGCTATGATCATTTCTTTGTTTTTTGTTTCATTTTGGTTTGGTTTGACACAGGATTTCACTGTGCAGCCCTGCCTGTCCTGGAACTCACTTTGTAGACCAGGCTGGGCTGGAACTCATAGAGATCCTGTCTCTGACTCCTGAGTGCTGGGATTAAAGGTGTTTGTACAACCATCACCCAGCTTAAATTCTTAAAAAAAAAAAAAAAAAAAAAGTTAAACACTTGAGCCAGGCATGGTGGATGGTGGCTCAATTTGTAATCCCAGCACTTGGGAGATGGAGGCAGGAAGATCATAAGTTCAAAATTTCCATAAGCTACACAGAGTTCTAGGATAACCTGAGCTATATGGTGAGACCCTTGTCTTAAAACAAAACCTTAAAAGATCCAAACAACAACTCCATTGACTGTAGACTCATAAACTATGTAGCATGCATAGAAGATCACGAAGTAGGATGCCAAGGTCCTCCAGCTGTTTTCTGACCTTCTGTTGTTATTTTTCCAGAGGTACTTTTTTTTTTTTTTGTCATTGTTGTTGGTTTTTACAACCCAACCAAAGTTTCCCCTCCCCACCTCTCACCTCTCCTCTCCTTTACCTCACCCATCCACTCCTCCTCCATGGTTTCTCTTCAGCTATAGGCAGGCAGGCCTCCCATGGATATCAGCCAGCCAATGTGTATCAAATTGCAGTGAGACTAGGCTCCTCCTCTTCTTTTAAAACTTGATGAGGTAATTCAGTGGGAGGAATAGGTCCCAAAGCAGACATCAGAGTCAGAGAGAGTCCCTGCTCTCAGTTAGCAGTCCCACAAGAAGACCAAGCTACACAACTGTAGCATATATTCAGAGGGCCTAGATCAGTCCCATGCAGACTCCCTGGTTCTTGGTTCACTCTGAGCCCATTTTAGCTGGTTGTGGTGTGTGTGTGTCTGCTGCAGGCGTGTGCTCTTGTGTGCATGTCAATGCAAGTTCAAGTCATTGAGTATTTGCCTCTATTCCTCTCTGCCTTATTTCCTTTAAGACAGTGTCTCTCACTGAACCAAAAGTGTGTGTTTTCAGGTAGGCTGGCTGACTAGTGAGCTCTCAGGATCTATCCAACTCTGTCCTCTAATACTGGATCTACAGGCACATGCAGCCATGGCTTTGATATGGGTGCCTGGGATTAGAACTCAGGTCCTCATGCTTGCAGACAAAGTGCTCTTACCCACTGAGCCACCTCTCTAGCCCCTAAAATTGGGTTTTTATGTCCTCAGACAGTAGACAGTTCTTCCCATGCTAACAAAGGTAGATTTGTAGGAAGCTGGAAGACTGTCTGCTCTGTTCTGCCATCATCTAACTGATGCACCAGGAAACAGGGAGGGAGCTCCCCAGTGGTCCACTCGGGGGCAACACTCATTTTAATTAATACTTGGAATGAGAACACAGATGGCACAGTAGCACATATTTAGGAGACACAAAGCTGCTCAGTGGGTGAGATAATAGGACAGGTGACAGAATCAAGATGTCACAAAACTCCTGACAGTAACTGTGGGATGTGTTAATGAGATTACACTCAGTGTGAACTATGCAAAATCCTGTGCTCAAGTGCAGAACACATATTACTCATGGGGAGACCAAGTGCTGCAAAGGCTGAGATTTAAATCCAGGTCTGTTGGAGTCAAAAGTCATCCACTATACCCTGATGCTGTCCCACATCTAAGCAAAAGTCTCGTGAGCTAGGCTGCCAGGCAGAGGCAACTCACAGCCCTCAGAGCATCTCCAGTAAGGCACAGGCCAAGCCTGCTTTTCCTATGGTCTTGCATTAATATGTGAAAACTTCAATTTAAAAGGCTCAGGGTCATGAGGACAGTTTATGTACAGCATCTTCCAAGGATATATGAAGCTCAGGGCTTGTTCTCAGCATTTCAAATAAACTATAATAAACTAGAATGTGTCCAGTTGGACATGCTAATTGCCATGACTTGTTAATTCCGTGAGATGTATACGTATTGAAAGTTTACACTATGGGACTGGGGACATAGCTCAGGCAGAGTGCTTGTTTAGTATGCACAGCACTGCATACATTGGTGTGGTGGTGCATGTACACCTGTAATCCCAGTGCTCTGAGTAGGTGGAGGCAGGAGGCCCAAGAGTTCAAGGCCATCCTTAGAGAAACACAGACTCATTAAAGAGGCTGCAGATCTCCCTCTGGTCTGCTGTGAGCAGAGCAGTCCTGTGTGTCTACCTGACCTTATGACGATCTTTGAAAGAACATGTGGAATTACCAGCACCTTCTGTACCCCCACAATGGTAAAACTCTGACACGCTCTTATTTGTCCCTTGTAGGGCTCAGCTGAGGAAACTCATCTGTGCCATGGGGTCTGAGAGCTTGATGACAATATATGAGCTGGGGGTGTTCTTACCTCATCTGCAGAACCATTTTCCACTCGGAATCTTCCTGCTCTTTGGATGGCTCCATCAGCATCACTAGAAATAAGCTGGGGAGAAAATGTTCAGTTAGGTAGCTGGGCCTCCATTTGCAAAGCTACTGAGACTCCCTCCTAGAAGCAGACCCGTCTATACAAACACATCAGCTGGTGGATCCAGCCTAGAGGCAAAGAGTCTACTTTGATCCCTAAGGCCTTACAAGTTCAAGCTCAAGTTCCACCTAGAGGGAACATTTTACAAACTGAAAAACATTAAAGCTAAGATCCATGGGCAAACAGTCTTAATCCACATCACATGGGGACAAGTGGCAGCTCGCAGATGGCAGAACTCAGAGCCAAGCCCCAAACTCAGCCATATTCCCAGCCTAGATAACAATTAGTGGCTGGCGTGAACTCAAGGTGTAACATTAGAGAAAGCTCTTGTGCTTCACTCAGTTTTAAATAGTCTCTGGAAGGCCAATGCAGCCCCTCCAGGCCAGCTGTGCTGCGTGCCAGTAGACTGCCTTCAGGAGTGCAGGGCTAGAAAGTGGTGAGCAGGAAGGAGGCTGGAGCTCCATCATGCAGTCTGTAAGCCACTCTCAAGATGTTTCCCTTTCAGTCTTCTCAGAAGCAACATGGGAAGGGGTATATATAAGATTTTCAAGTTTTAAAATCTACCTGCAGTTTGCAGCAAAGGTCTGCCAATAATGTCCACATTTCAAATGTATCAGAGAACAATTGCCCGGGGCTGGTGGGGGGGGGGAGTGTCTTTTCACCTCTAAGTTGGGCTCATTCCCAAACCAGAGCACAACCTCTTCAGACTGCTACCTCATACTTGCACTTATACTTATGAGACATGAAGGTGGGAAATAAAGGACACACTTTCAGAACCACCCCACACAAGAAAATTCTGCCATATTAAAGGATCTGAAAAAAGATTGGAATAGTTTTCTCATGGTAAATATGAAAACAGAAGGTAGGGGGCTGGAGAGATGGCTCAGAGGTTAAGAGTACTGGCTGCTCTTCCAGAGGTTCTGAGTTCAATTCCCAGCAACCACATAATGGTTCACAACCATCTGTAATGAGATCTGGTGCCCTCTTCTGGCAGACAGAATACTGTATACATAAGCAAGTAAGTAAGTAAATAAATAAATAAATAAAAATCTAAAATATAGCTAAATAAAAAACAAATAAAAATGTTTAAATAAAAATGTAAATCTTAAAAAAAAAAAGAAAACAGAAGGAAGGAGGATATGAGTTCAAGTCCAGCCTGGGATACATAGAGAGTTTCAGGTTAGCCAGGGATACACAGTGAGATCCTATTTCAAAAAACGGGGGCAGGGGTGCTGGAAAGATGGCTCAGCAGTTAAGTGCACTTGTTGCTCTTACAGAAAAGCTGGCTTCAATTTCTAGCACCCACATGGTAGCTCACAGCCATCTGTAATTCTAGTTACAGGGATCTGGCACCTTGCTCTGACCTCCACAGATACCAGGTATTTACATGGTGCATAACACGCACTAAACAAATCTAAAAATTAAAAAATAAAAATGAAGAGGGCTAGAGAGATAGGTCAGCTGGTTAGATCATTTGTTGCTCTTGCAGATGACCCAGATACAGTTCCTAGCACAAATGCCTGCAACTCTAGTTATAGGGGATCGACCCTCTTTTAACTTCTGTGGGCACCAGGTATGTATGCGGCATAATACAAACACATAGGCAAAACATTAACATATATAAAATAAATTAATACAAAACACCCCAAACACAAAATTGCATCATTTTTTATTTTGTGCTCCTATGTACCATGTATTCTTCTGCCCCTAGCAATACTATCTCATTCACCTTATGTATTAGAGTAATCTTAGTTTTAATGAGGAGGTGAGGTTACTTGACTAATTGACAGAAGCAGAGCTGGGATGTGACAATGGCAACTGGGCCTCAGAAGCTGACAGCTGTCTTCATCTAAACATTGCCTCACCTAGAAAGTCCACAGCAAGCCCAGTTTTACTACTAAACCTCAGCCTGCAAAGAAACCTCCAGACACAGGCGGAAGCCATCTATGTTTATGGCTGGCTATTGGCAATATATAATGCCATACTGTTACGAGGCAGAGAGTAAGCTGTGGAATTTCACTTTGCCCAAATAGAGGTCTAGCCAGGCATGGTGGCACACACCTGTAATCCCCACACTCAGGAGGCTGGGGCAGAAGGCTGTTGAGTTCAAGACCATCCTCAGTAAGAACCCTTTCCACAAATAAAACAGAACAAAACAAAACAAAGCCCAAACTAAACAGGACTGGCTTTGCCCCTGGCATTTGAGAGGTGACTTCTTAGCCTAGTAGTGTCCTATGTGAGTATCTCTTTTCTTAAGGGCTTAAAGCCATACTGGCAAGTAACACTGTAGTTTATGGTGGGGGCTTTAGTTCATGCATGTTAGCTCTCCCTCTGGAGGGACAGAAGGCTAAGGTCAGCCATATGTTCGGCTCCACTAGAAAGCCACCTAGTCACTCTGGTAGTGCTCCATACAGCATGGCTGGGACAAGCCAGGATGCCACCAGAGAGGACATTTGGAAGCTCTATGCTGGGACTCACTTGGATTATGTTTGTGCTGAGTTGAGACTGTCCTTTGGCTGTCACAAAACTAAGTATGCTAACAGCTATCAATAAGTTCTATGAGTCCTTCTGGCAAATGATAAAGGGTGGGGGACTCACAGCACAAACTCTGCAGATGGTGTGGGAAGGAAGGGTGAGTTTGTGGGCTGACTTCCCCTGGGGTCAGTCCTGAACTGCAAGTGAAAGGGCCTGAGAGAGGGCTCAGTGGGGAGAGTCATTTGCTGAGAAAGCCTGGTAACCTCAATCAATTCCCAGAATCTACACAGAGGTAGAAAGAGAAAAGAGACTCTACAAAGCTGTTCTCTGGACTCTGTCCACATTGGTACCAGGGCAAACGTCACCACACACAAACACACAAAACATAATGAAGCACAAGAGAAAGGTTAGGTTGGGTCTCCAGGGACTCTGCCATTCTCATAGGGGAGGCAGCAGTGTCAATGTCTCCCTGGACAGTGGGCACCCACACCCTGTTACAGGAAACAACAGAGGGAATGTGAGTATGGTGGTGCTGGTGCAGGCTGCTGAAGGGGCTTGGCATGAAGTATCTGAGGGTCACATTAGGACATGGCAGGAACAGAGCTCCACACTCAGTTCCCAGTGGCTCCCATGGGCAGAGGAAGGGATGGGGGTCACTCATCCTCACTACTCCTGAAATGTAAGTTAGTGAAATCCTGGCCATGGCAGCTCATGGAGGGCTTGGGAGAAGAGCTGATGCTGGACTTCATTTCCCATGAGGTAGCTGATCATCTGACTTGATTCTCTCCATCTGTGGGTAGGCCAGAGTCTTGAGTGGCATGGACAGACTACCTTCCACAGGCCCTTTCCTTGCCATTGGCAATAACTCCAGACACAAGAGACACCACAAAGCCCATATTATGATGGCAGAATCATCCTGACCCTGAGTGTGTAGAGCCACTCACAGTAGCTGGCTGGATGGGAAGAAGAATGAACTTATTAAGTTTCTCTTCATTGTCCTGCTCTCCCGTAAGGGAGGAAATCTCTTGCCCTGTGATTAGTTCACGATTCAAAACGTGAAAAATGACCCAAAGCCTTGAGCATGTGTAATTAAAGAGTAAAGCGCATAAAGGGCTTTGCTGTGTAGCCCAGGCTATTTCTGAATTTATGAGCCTCCTGCCTCAACCATGTGAGTGCTGGAACTCCAAGTATATACTTCCACAGCTCCCTGTAAATGCACAACTTCCCAAAGCATTTATTTAACTTTAAAATATGGAGCCAATATTGAACAGTAGCATCAACAAATAAAATACCACAAAAGAGAAAAAAATGTGGAAAATGCTGTATAACTGTATAGATCCTGTATCAGTATAATGGAACTGGGATTCAGGTTAAAGAGTAAAGCCATGGGACATTTAAAACCACACATCTGGGACTCCCAAAGTAGGGCCTCTGCTAAAGAAAGAGGCCTCAGGTGGAGAGTGCCAGGTCCCAGTGAGATCCTACTATCGGTAGGATCCCAAGTTTCAGCCCAGCCTTTGTCCTCTTCTGCCAGCCATTGGCTAGAGGTGAGTCTGGGCCCAATTGGGGCACCCTCTCCCCTACAACCTCCCCCACCCCGGAACTCGCTAGGTTGGCCCCAGATCCCCCTGCTCCTGTGTCCTGTCCCCATCGAGAGCACCCTTGGAGCTCTGATACACCCCCACCCATCCCCACCGCGAGCCTGCCCCCCACATCCTGTGCCCTACCCTGCCCACTGTCCCACCACTATGGTTGAGCACTGGGACAGAGGGTGGAGCCAACAGTCCACACTACTTCTGGGACTTCTCGGAGCGACTCTGAACACAGGAGACCTGCCTATCCACGCGGAACCACCAGTAATTTCCACCTGCTTGGTCTCTGACCCCGCCTCCAGTCCTCTGCTGGAGTCCCGGGCCCCTCCCAGAGATCCGCCTATCTCTGTGGGACCACTCTGAGTTCCAGCCGGCATCTTCTACTGGATCCTCATCCCTGACCCCATCCCTGGGCCCCTGTCTATGGGGCCTGTCTATGGAGAGACCTTCTAGAGAGCTACAGATATTGAATCTCAGACCCACATAAGCCCAGCGGGGAAGTACCATAGAGAGAGGGGGAGACCCCACCAACACCTACTGGAAGAAGCTATGGGAAGACAGCATACAAGAAAACACTAACAACAGAAAGACAAGCATGACACCACCAGAATCTAGGGAATTTACCTCAACTAGAATGGAACACAACAACAAAGCAGAGGAAGCAGAAGGGAATGACTTAAAAATTACCGTCATAAAAATGATAGAGGCCCTCAAAGAAGATGTGAGAAAATCCCTTAAAGAAATGGAAGAAAAAAACAAACAAAAAAGTGGAAGAAATGAACAAATTTCTTAAGGAAAGTAAAGAAAGTACAGAAAGCCAAGAAAAAACAATTAAGCAGGTGAAGGAAATGGTTCAAGGCTTGAAAACTGAAATAGAGAAAATAAAGGCAA